ACATGGAGAAAGCCTGAAAGGGACAGATTACCCCATCCCTAGTCCAGACCCAGATGAGAATTCTCTGGTGTTTTCCCTCTGCTCAGGACCCAGTTTTGTTTTCGGGCTCTCTAAGAATGAACCTTGATCCTTTGGGTGTGTGCTCCGAGGAGGAGATCTGGACTGCTCTCGAACTGACGCGGCTCAAGAGCTTTGTTTTGGATCTGCCCGACCAGTTGGCATACGAGTGCTCGGAAGGAGGCGAAAATCTGAGGTACCCAATGGAAGGAGAAAGAAAAGGAGACTTCACTTGTGCCTTGGTTTCTGGGGCTATAGGTTTGTCAGGACCTGGGGATCATCAGTTGTTGGGAAACATGAGCAGGAGAGGGACCGTGCCTTTGCATCTTGTTTATGGTCTTCCAATAGACTGGCCACATGGAAGCAGAATTCCAGGCATGTTTTCCTCTGGCATTTAACCTCTTCTGTGTTCTCCGTCCCTTAGTGTTGCCTTTTTCATTGTTAGTTATCTGTGTTGTCGATTGAATGTTGGTTAGAGTGTTGGACTAGGGCTAGGGCAGGCATACGCAAACTCGGCCCTCCAGATGTTTTGGGACTGCGACTCCCATCATTCCTAGCTAACAGGGCCAGTGGTCAGGGATGATGGGAGTTGTAGTCCCAAAACATCTGGAGGGCCGAGTTTGCCTATGCCTGGGCTAGGGAGAACAGGGTTTGAATCCCCACTCAGCCATGAAGCTCACACTAGGGTGACCTTGGGCCAGTTACCATATCTCAGCCTCACCTACTGCACAGGGTTGCTTTGAGGGTAAAATGGGGAGGAAGAGAACTATATATACCACCTTGTGCCCCTTGGAGGGAAGGTGGGATAAAACAGACAATAAATAAGAAGAGCTCTGCTGGATCCGGCCAATGGCCCATCTAATCCAGCATCCTGTGGCCAACCAGACACTTGCAGAAAATCTCCAAGCAGGATCCAAGCACAAGAGCACTCTTTCCTTCTGTGATCTCCGGCAACCGGCATTCAGAACATAGCTGTCAACTTTTACCTTTTCTTGCGAGGAATCCTATTCGGAATAAGGGAATTTCCCTTTAAAAAAGGGAAACGTTGACAGCTATGACAGCTGCGGAAGCAGAGCATAGCCGCCATGATTAGCGGCTGTATCCTCAAATGAATTTATCCAATCTTCTTTTGAAGCCATTCAGGCTGGTGGCCATCACTGCCCGCCTGCGAAAGTGAGTTCTGTGGCTTCGCTATGCGCAGTGTAAAGAAGTGCTTTCCTTTTATCTGTCCTGAAAGGTGCCGTATATAAATACATGAGCAAATAGAAGACATGTTGGGTCATGTAGTTTTCCCTAGCTGGAAAATCTGGGTGGCCAGTTAATCGCCCTTGCTTCTTTCCAGTGTCGGCCAGCGGCAGCTCATCTGCCTGGCACGAGCTCTGCTTCGGAAAGCCAAGATCCTGGTCCTGGATGAGGCCACTGCAGCTGTGGATCTTGAAACAGATTTGCAGATTCAGGCCACCATAAGGACTCAGTTCAGGGAGTGCACAGTTCTGACCATAGCCCACCGAGTGAACACCCTTTTGGACTGTGACAGGTAAGTCTTCTTCAGCTGCCAGTTAACATTAATGCTTTGTGCTGTTTTTTGTGTGTGGTGGGGGGTGTTGCACGGCATTTAGTTGTGGATACGCCACTATTTATAGATCTGCTGCTTTTTGGTTGTCAATAAGTATCAAAACCAGGAATAATTAGTAGAACAGAAGCAGCCATCTTAGGAATTATGCACGGAAAGGCAAGGTATACTTTTTAACAAATGTAGGAGATTGTAATTATAATTGAGAAGAGAGCAAAAGGATAGCAATTAGAAGATAAGGGCAAAAAAAACACCAAACCACCAATCATTACAGAAAGCTTGACGGAAAAGAATCATCTGTTGGAAAGAAGAAAGTAAGATCACACAGGGAGGAAGGGGTTCCACAGTCCTAAGTGCCACCACTGAAAAGGGCCGTCCCGCATCCCCACCAACTTTGTTTCCAATGACAACGGGATGCAGAACAGAGCCCCCTCCAAAGTGATCAGTGGCTTGGGCAGAATCATTTGGAAATTAGCAGTCATCAAGAGACCATGATGGTGTTCATGAGTTCTGCACATACTCTCCGAAATGAGCATAATAGCACCCTTTGCCCAAGAAACTGTATACCTTGTAGGTCGCCGTCAGCAATGCCAATTGATGAATTTTGCCATGGCTGCTTACAAAAACCACATCTCATCATAAGCTGGTTGGTTTAACTAGTTACGATTTCATTGCATATCGAAAGCCTAGCTCTTTCTTTCTTTCTTTCTTGATTTGGCATGACTAGCAATATAGTCTAACACTTTATGCTCCACTTCTAATATTTGCAGGGTTTTAGTGATGGAAAGTGGCCGAGTGGCAGAATTCAATGCCCCAGAGACATTAATAGCCCAGAAAGGACTGTTCTACAGAATGGCTGAAGAATCAGGGCTGGTATGATGATTGAGCCTCAAGGAATAGACTGTGGTACAGGATTTGGGGGTCTGAAGGAAGACATCTGCCTCTTAACCTTTTGTCATTCATATGTAAGTCCCAGTCCTTCTGGTGTCCAAATACACACACAAGAGGTGTATCAAACATCTCAAGGGAACCCAGAAATTTATGTAAGTACACCAGGGATATATGAAGGTTTCGTTTTCTATTCCACCCTGTATTCGTTGCATTTGGCACTGTTTCCATTCTGCTGCAGCTCATCTTCCAGCAAATATCTAAATCATTCTTAATTCTTAATTTTATTTTATTTTAATTATATGATGAGATATGGTTCCAATGATTACACTTGGTTGAGCATAGACTAAAAACTCCACAGAGATAATAGAACAGCTCTCCACCATGTTAAAATGGATGCAGAAATCTTAAAATATGAACAACTAAGAACTGCATGGAGGCAGAAGGAAGTCATTAAATAAATCACGGGAACAAAACCAGAGATTAGGCATAGATAAGAAAGTGAGAGTCGCGAGAAGAAAAAGATAAGGTGATGCGAAAAGAATCTCATACTGGAAATATGTGTTAATAATAATGTCAGTGATGAAGAAAGCAGAATGGGGTAAATTTATGGCACATATAAGAACAAACTGTAGAATCTTAAAAACTATGGCAGGGTTAACATAATTCTTGTGATGTGCATAGAAGGGGAATAAGAATCTACAGGAGGGGATATATCTCAAGAAAACCGAAGCAGGGAAGGAAGGAAGCCGAGGCGTGAGGACACGCAGTGTAAATATGAAGACTTAAAATGTTGATTGTAAAAGATTGCTTTATTTTCTTGTTGTTTGTGTGTGAAAAACCCAATTAAATTAAAAAAATAAGTGCTCATCTTGGTGCCACAAAAAAAATAAAAAAATAATGTCAATGATGGCTTGTATTCCTTAATCACTGTATGTATTTGACAGTATTTTTTGTTGAATGTTCTTTTTATTCTTTCTTTCTTTCTTCTTTTTTCCTATTTTTTTTTATACTAGATCAACGTGTTTCATTATGTGTAACTTTTAATGTGTAAATAAAGTATTAAAAAAAATCTACATTATTCATCTGCTGGCCACTGCAGCAGAATTACTTAACTTATGCAATTTACATAATTAACGTTAATTAAGTTGTCACTATGTTACTCCACCCAGTTCATTTCAGTACAAAGGAAGCTCATTGTGGGTGGAGGGGATTAACTAATTATGTATCATTTGCAGAGTGAAAGCAATGGCAGTGAATACCAACTTGTATTTGATGGGTTGATTTACATCCTGGACATGGGATGCATACACAAACTTGGGCCAATTTCCACTCATGTTTCAGTTTTCCTTAGAATTCTCCAGCACTCTTAGGTGTAACAAATATTTACGGGGGGGGGGGCTTAAGGGGAGAGGAGAAACTCCCAAACAGCTCGCTTCCACTGTATCTCTGCCCATCATTCATTTCAAAGAAACAGAATAGAATTGTCCATTTGACAATATGTGTTGGTCCGTAGGCACGTGGTATGAGTCTTGTTCTGTCTCTGTGGGTTGCATACAGTGATTCCTTGAGGATCATGCTAATTTTATACACACACACACACACACACAAAAAAAAACACATTTGCAAAGATGAACCAGAAATATCCATTCCCTATGTGTGCAGGCACCAAAATGAACACACAGCATGAATAAAATATGCATACGACAGACATTGGTGCAAATTCAGCAATCCTAAGTTAGACTGCATGACCTGTTACTGTGCAAAATTCATTCCAATGAAACAACATTCTTTAAGAGAAAGGAACAGGAGGGAGATCTTGGAAATTGAAAAAAAAACCATGGGAAACATTAATGCCAGACTGAGAGAAATCCACATGAGATACTACCAGACACATCCAAGAGCAGAATGGTTAGATTCCTGCCTCCTTTTATGCAACTCCAAAACATGTGTGTGTCCCCCGCCACACATGTGGCTTTTATTATTATTCTGTTGTAAAGATTTCCACATGTATTGTGTACACCTCTGGTGGTAACTTCTTATTAGAGAAAAGCCATTGCATCTAAATCAGCAGAATTTCCCCCCAGAAAGAGTAGTTTTCCTCTTAAGTTGGGCATATACAGAGATAGTGATGGACTTTTATACAGTGGTACCTCAGGTTAAGAACTTAATTCGTTCTGGAGGTCCGTTCTTAACCTGAAACTGTTCTTAACCTGAAGCACCACTTTAGCTAATGGGGCCTCCCGCTGCTGCCGTGCGATTTCTGTTCTCATCCTGAAGCAAAGTTCTTAACCTGAGGTACTATTTCTGGGTTAGCGGAGTCTGTAACCTGAAGCGTATGTAAGTAGTGTGTGTGTGTGTGTGTATCATTGAGGAGGTGTTGTCTAAGCAATATGAAAGAACTTCGCTTGGTTGGGTGGATGTCCCCTTATCCCAAAGCAAGCAAACAAAAAAAAAAAATCCCACCCTCCTCAACCCCTCCCCTGGCTTGAAGATCTGAAATCGTCAGCTCCTGTTTTTTGTGAAGAAAAAAGTTTCCTTCAGCTGCGCTCCTCCAGAGCTGCCTCTGAAAGGGAGGTCTGATGTGGTTTTGCAAACACTGAGGAGGATTCCAACGCCATGGAGTTTCGGCACCTAATCATTTTCCTTTCCATTTTTGCAGCCGGCATATCGAGGCGTAAGTAGAAGAAACTAAATTAACCGTTTCATCTCTTTGGAAACCACGACTCTCACTCTCCTCCTCCCCCACCCCTCCTTTTCTCTCTTGTCAAATGCAAAAATGTGGCTTCAGAGAAATGATCTCATTTGCCTGGCATTTGATTGTGTCGAGGCTGCGCTTTTTTTTTGACATAGGTGGGAAGGTTGGCAGGTGGTAGAAGTGGGGGAGGAGGAATTCAATTCAGTTGTCATTTAAAGGTGAACCCACCAAATTCACACGTTCCGAAACAGATACTCAAAACTGAAACGCAGCCATCCTTCAAAATTCGCGCTTTTCCAAATTTTGCAATGCAGTTCTTCAGCCTAGGAATGTGTAGCAAAAAAAAAATGTGTTACTTGGGTGGAGTGTGCATCTTAATGAATATATTAGTGAAAATGACATTCAAAAAGGAATTATAAGGGGAATAGCTTCGCAAAGGTGGGTTTGTTAAGCAATTTTGTAGGTTCAAGTCCCACGTTGAGCAAAAGATTCCTGCATTGCAGGGGTTGGACTAGATGACCCTCATGTACCCTATCAACTTGCAATCTATTCTATTTATTAGGAGAATTTCACGCTAAAATTTCATGAGAATTTTGAAACGCACACACACCAAAAATTGCTGCAGAAATTCAGAGAGCTGATTTTAAGACTGGAAAAACAAAAAACGGAGAACCGTCATTCATAGCAGGCATTGGCTAAAATCATATCAGCCAATTCAGAAGATGTGAGGTGATCAGCTTAGTCAAGTGTTTAGTTTTCCACCCACCCCAGCCTTATTGTCTGATAGGTAAGGCTGCTTGGGGAACTCAATCTTTGCACATTCTTATATGAACTCCTGTGGGTGGGTGTGCACTAGGTTTCGTCTGTCTGACATTTGTGACTCCATCCTCAGTTGCTTAAATGTATTGAAACATGCATTTCAGTGTGTATTTAGAGAGAAAATGTACATTCAAATAAGTAACTTAAGAGGTTTTTTTAAAAAAAGCAATCTTTAAGCATTTTGCAGATTAATGGAATTGTAACTAAAAACATGATAGGAAATAGATTTGCTCACCCCCAGTTAAAATGGATGTTTAATACATGCTTGTTCTCTCGGGCTCAGCTCAATATGCTACTAAATGTGCCACTTGCCATGATGTAAGGTGTTGTTGTTGTTTTTTAGAATAATAAAACAAAGTGCACAGGGGTGGGGTGGTGCTATCTAGATTGAGATGATAGCATCTCAATGTTTCCAAAAAGAGGTAGATGTTTGGCAGAGGGGAGGATTAGCGTGGAAGTTAAACACACACATGCACACACCAAAGTTGTGTCAGTAAGAGGTGTTTCTCCCACTGCTATTTGCAGAGCGAGGGGGGGGGGATTTTCAAACAGAAACATTTAGACATTTTACTACAGTAACAACAGTAATTTACAGCTGAGCATTTTTGAAGTGTTGTTCCTTTTAACTTTAAGGTGGCAATCCCATTTCTATTTACTTGCCGGTAAGTCCCAATGAACTCAGTGGGATTTCCTATTGCGCAGGCATGTGTAAGACTGCAGGGCAACGCAGTGTATTTATTTAATTCTTTTCAAACTATCTCACTTTGTTGCATCTTTTAAACCTTTGAATCTGTTCTGCAAGAGTTAAGTTTTTTTGGGTTTTGTATACTGGAAGCTAATTCTTTATAACTGGAAAATGCAGATGGGATGAATTTAAAGTATAAACTCTTGTCAAGATAAACGACGGCAGAGAAGCGAAATTTGCCAGGGCTACTGTGAAATTTGTCTGGGAATTGCATTATTTGGGCTTGCTGCCTTTCACTAGATGTGTAGCCTCAAACTATGGTTACAGCAGAGAGGGCAAGATGCCTCCACATGTTCTGGGGTCCCACAAATGTTATTAGTTTACCTGCTTCAGAATTGAATTCTGAAATTAAAACAGACCCCCATTTCGTGTCGTTTCCAAGGATCAATTACATATACTCATTCAGCCTCTGTTTCTGGTCTCTGTCTCTTCTTATTGTCTCAGTGTTAAGCTGGGCAGTTGCTTTGCAAAAACGTGATCAGTGCATGCTCAGTGGCCATGGGATGCTGACTCGACTGTAAGGAAAATATAAATGGAGGTGCAATGGTATCCTAGAAAGGGGTGTAGCTGGCTGGCACTCTGAACAGGAGCACTTTTCACAGCAATGTTTATTAGAGGCTACCGCCCACACACTTCTGCTACGTTTTTCTGCTTGTGTGATGGCACCTCGGTAAAACCACGTCTTACTGTTTGTAGCAGAGTTTTCCCCAGAGGCAGAGGCCAAGAACAGGAGTCATATTCAAATTCACAGCCAAGAGCCAGTGTGGTGTAGTGGTTAAGAGCAGTAGACTCGTAATCTGGTGAACCGGGTTCGCGTCTCCGCTCCTCCACATGCAGCTGCTGGGTGACCTTGGGCCAGTCACACTTCTCTGAAGTCTCTCAGCCCCACTCACCTCACAGAGTGTTTGTTGTGGGGGAGGAAGGGAAAGGAGAATGTTAGCCGCTTTGAGATTCCTTCAAGTAGTGATAAAGCGGGGTATCAAATCCAAACTCTTCTTCAAGAGCTTTATTGCTTGACTGGTTGCACAAGCATTTCTGTTACTATTGTATACAAGCTATTTACATTCCTTCTTTATTTCTTCAGCACGGTATATTCTCAGTCCAGTGATTAACAATCCTGAGACAGCAAAACTCAAGTGTCAGCAGCACACATTGTCTTACTTCCAACCTTGTTGTCAGCATGCGTGCTGCTGACAGCATGTGTGTGTGTGCTTTCATCGTGTGGAAATTGCAGCCTGCAACTTCCTTGTCACGGTCCGGTTCATGGGCAATCAAAGTCCCAGCAGGGGGCGTTAGGACCTGGGGCAAGATGACAGGGTGGGAGCAGGAACGGGGTCCAGAAGCCAGGAGTCAGGAAGCCAAGAGTCCGAGGGTCAGAGAGACAGGAGTCAGGAAGCCAAGGGTCCGAGGTTTAGGAAGCAAGGAGTCAAGAAGCCGAGGTTCAAGGATCAGGAAGCAAGAAGCCCAAGGCAGGAAGTGTGTTGCTGTGGCAAAGAGCTGAAGCGAAATGCTGACCTTATAACCCTTCCCAGCTCTTGCCACCAGGTGCTGTGAGTTACCAATCGGCCTCACCTGTGAACGCCTCTTCAGAACAAACTTAGGAAGGCCCCAGTCCTGCAAAGTCCTATTGGTCACAGGGCCTGGCTCCTGCACGCACACCTGACATTCCTCCCTTAATTTGCACCTCCAGCTGACACCAATCGAGCCTAGAGTGCCATTCCTACACACTAAAGAAAAATTCTGGGACCCTCTTTAAAGCTTCCAGGAACTTTTATCTGTTTCTTAAAGAATGTTTTCCTAACAATATTTTGTTGCAGGTCTGATTTGTGCAAGAGGGGCAGCAACATGGTGAACAATTGTGCCCTCAAAGGCTGTCCCTGGTGCCCACAGGTTCTCATCCCCACTTCCTGCATCCCCCCCCCAAAAAAAATGAGGTTTGGAAACTGCATTCTGTTGTAGTCAGTGTAAAATAAAAGGCTGTACTCCTTATGTTTCTCCAGTTTGCAAATCTGCCTATCAGTCCAAAAAGGTTGGTAACTCCTGTATGTGGTGGATGTTGGAGACAAAAGCTTCCAACAATGTGTGAAGGTTGGGTAGAGATGCTTCAACAGGGAAGCTGACAGATAGTTTCTTCTGGGTTTAATATCCAAGGGAATCCCAACTGAAACATTAGGAGAAAGATGGCTTGATTAAAAGCACATTGGCTGGTTTAATGCCTTTGCTTGGGAGAATGTTTTTCCTTCAGGGCCTCAAAAAGGATGTTTTAGAGTCAGAGAATAACCAGAATGATCCAGGGTGTGGAGCAGCTCCTCTGTAAGGAAAGGATGCAACATTTGGGGGTGTTCTGGTTTAAAGAAAAGGCAAGTAAGAGGCGACATGACAGAAGTTTACAGATTATGCATGGCATAGAGAAGGCGGATAGAGAAAAGTTTTCTCCTTCTCTCGGAACGTTAGAATTCAAGGACATCCAGTGAAGCTGTTGGGGGATTCTGCACAGATAAAAGACTCCTTCATGCACTGTGGAACTCACTCCCACAAGAGGCAGTGACAGCCACTTGTGTTGTTTAGTCGTGTCCGACCCTTCGTGACCCCATGGACCACAGCACGCCAGGCACTCCTGTCTTCCACTGCCTCCCGCAGTTTGGTCAGACTCATGTTTGTAGCTTTGAGAACACCACCCAACCATCTCGTCCTGTGTCGTAGCCTTCTCCTAGTGCCCTCCATCTTTCCCAACATCAGGGTCTTTTCCAGGGAGTCTTCTCTTCTCATGAGGTGGCCAAAGTCTTGGAGTCTCAGTTTCAGGATCTGTCCTTCCAGTGAGCACTCAGGGCTTATTTCCTTCAGAATGGATAGGTTTGATCTTCTTGCAGTCCATGGGACTCTCAAGAGTCTCCTCCAGCACCATAATTCAAAAGCATCAATTCTTTGGCGATCAGCCTTCTTTGTGGTCCAGCTCTCACTTCCATACATCACTACTGGGAAAACCATAGCTTTTAATATACGGACAGTGACAGCCACTTTGTTGTTGTTGTTTAGTCGTTTAGTCGTGTCCGACTCTTCGTGACCGCATGGACCAGAGCACGCCAGGCACTTCTGTCTTCCACTGCCTCCCGCAGTTTGGTCAAACTAGACAGCCACTAGTTGTCTTTAAAAGAGAATTAGACAAATTCATGGAGGTGAAGGCTATCAGTTGCTACTAGCCATGATGTGCATGTTCTGCCTCCGCAATCAAAGGCAGCACACTTTTGAATACCAGTTACTGGAAACCACAGGGTGGAGAGTGCTCTTGCACTCAGATCCTGCCTGTGTTTTTCCTACAGGCATCTGGTTGGCCACTGTAAGACTGGGATGCCAAAAAGACCTGTTCTTATTTTTTTGAGCAGAGTTTTGTATTCTGAAGATCATCAGGTTTCAGGGAAAGGGGGAACTGAATCACAGTTAATATTAATCAGATTGAAATTGTCAGAAGCATAACCCTTGTGCGGATTAAACCGAGAGCACATTCTGCAGAGGAAATGGTTTTAGAACAAAAACGGCCATTTTCTTCATGGATAGAATCCATTTATTATTATTGCTAAATAAACATGGTGGTCTCCAAGATGACAGTGTCGACCTGAATTCCAGTAAATGTGACGCTGCATTTAAGCTCTTTTTTTTAGGTCTATGGTAAATAAACAGCTGCAGGATCAGCAACTGAACCTACAGAGAGTTTTCTCTAAATGCCTTTCTGCAATCCCTCTTGGTTTGTTATTATAGGAACTCTGGAGAATTCAAAGCATGAAGAGTCCTGTGTCTCTCAATGTGCTGGTGAGTAGACAAGGCAAATTCTTAGTACTGAACTGTGGTGGGGCAGTTTATATGGGGGTGGGGCAGGGAATTCTCCAGCAAGTTTTAGCCTCTTGGATAAATAATATGAATACAGAAGAACCTCAGAGGAGGGAGGGGAGAGAAAATTAGTTTGTATCTTAATACAAAGTTCCCTAATTTTCCTTTTCAGAAACAATATGCAAACTGAAGCACAATTGTCCTTCAAAATTCACATTCCTCTGAATTTTGCAATGCAGTTCTATAAACACATTATGGGCACAAAATGTGTTCATTGTGGAAAAACTGCATACAAATTTATATATTGGTAAAAATAGCATTAAAAGCTACTGGGACACTACCAGGGAATTTGTAGAATTCCCAATATATGTGGGGGGGGTAAAATGGATAGTGTAATTTATTATTTTGGACCCATTATACCCCAGATAAGTCATGCCAAAATCATGTTTCAGTCTGCCATCTTCAATCCAAATGGTGCCTGGCATGCAACCACCACTGCCACATTGGGAATATTCACACCAAGTTTAGTGGGGCTATGAGAGAGAGAGATTGAGAGAGGGGGGGCAGGCAGGCAGAAGAAAAAGGCTGGGATGGATCTGCAGCTTCTGTTTGCATCTGGTAGGAGCTGCAGCTCCAGTCCAGATCTAGTCCAGCCTTTTAATTCTGCCTGTGTCATTAAAAAAATGACAACAACCATTCGGGTGTGCCTGGGCACACCCAATACACCCTGTGTGCACACCTTTGTGCCCATCTGCCAATAACAAAGTTGTCTCAAAACTTTACTCTCCCCGCTAGAAATCAATGTGCTGCCTCTCCCAACTGGATCCAGATTCAGCTATAGATACTCCACTTCAACCAACACATTCCTTCCAGGAAGGGCTGAAGAAAGGAGTGGCATCTCCCTTGAAGGCACCGCTGTTGTTGAAGTGCTGGCAAGATGTCACAGAGTCTTAAAAGTGAGTGTGGTGGCAAGTCCAACAGGGGCACAAAAGGCTTTGTGCTCCTGCTCCAAATATAGATAGATGATAGAGATGATAGAGATAGAGATAGAGATAGAGATAGAGATAGAGATAGAGATAGAGATAGAGATAGAGATAGAGATAGAGATAGAGATGATAGAGATAGAGATAGAGATAGAGATAGAGATAGATAGAGATATATGCATTTTTATTGGGTTTTCTTTAACATAAATCAAACAAACAAAACAAATACAATAAAGTTCCATAATCTTATACCCACTTGTTTTCCCTCCCTCCCTTCAGCAGGTTTTCATTTTATGCTTTTCTTTCCGCAGTTTCTTAATAACATCCTATCCACATCATAAGATTTATTTTAATCCTGCTACAGTCTTTAGACTTCTACAGTTATTACTTATATACGCCACAAATTTACTCCACTCTCTTCTGCACTTTGTTTCCTCTTGGTTACGAATCTTGTAAGTCAGTTTTGCTAATTCCGCATATTCTACCATTTTTGTCTGCCACTCCTCCAATGTTGGTAATTCCTGTGTTTTCCATTTTGGGGCTACCAGGATTCTAGCAGCAGTCGTGGCATACATGAATAATCTCTGGTCTACTTTTCCTATTTCTTCACCTATCAAGCCTAGCAAAAAGGCTTCCGGTTTTTTGGGGGAAGGTATATTTAAAAAGCCTTTTCAGCTCGTTATAAATCATGTCCCAAAATTGTTTCATTGATTCTGCTCCAGTTATAGGAGTGGAAGTTCAGATTTGGGAAGTTTGAAAACCTGCCATGAGCCCTGCAGTGCTGTCAATATGAGGCTTGGTCCCCAGGCTCCAGTACAATAGGAAGAGGAAGAAGAAACAGACCGGGCCTGGTTGGTGGGACCTGGCATTGGAAGAAAGGGGCTCTCTCCTTTGTGCCTTATCTTCAGCCACTTCAGAAGAAGGAGCAATGATGTTAGCTATTCCCCCTGACCTCCAAGAGAGCAGAGAATCTCAATGGAGGCCAGGGAGTGCTGTGGGAGGAGGCAACTCAGGAGTTGGCAGCAACAGAAGAGTGCAGGATAGTTGCCTAGAACCAGGCCCCACCTCCACAGATGAGAGCAGCCCCACTCACCCTGGAGGGTTGCGTTTTTACAATCCCAACGTTCCCATGAAGTGAAGGAGTGTCGCAAGTGAAACTCAATGAGAGTTGAGAGCAATTCACCCATCACACAATAACCGCTCCCCACATTAAATGGGGGGTGCCTTTTGTGTGGTCGCGCACAGCCCCCTGGACCCTATGCGGCACCATTAGCACAGGCTTGGCTTCGCCTTCCCCAGGTGGGATACCTGGAGGTCTCCGCCTACCTCAGCCAGTTGCCCAATCCTGCCTGGGGAGGCGTTGCCAAGGTGATCAATTTATCCCTCTGAACCATTGAAAAACCCTCTTACCTCATTTCTCCTTGTGAAGAGCTCCAAATTCCCCCTTCCATCAGAGAAAGGGCAGTGCAACTGGGCCAGTTCTCCTGGTCTCCAGCACCAGAGGTTCAAGCAGTCTGCAAAATCCCAACGTTTCCCCTCACAACCCTTCTCCCTTGTAGTTAGTCATACGATGAAAAGAACCTTTTAACAAATGTCGTTGCTGTTCCCAGTTGCAAGATGTCCAGATCAAGATGACAGCTGGGTCCAAAGACAGGCCGCACAAAGAAAATGGAAGTTTAAGGTAAAACAAGACTGTCAAAAACGAGTACTCACTGTGGGAGCAAAATAACTTGGGAGCAACATGGCCTATACTGGAAAGATTGCACCGACCCCCACAGGTGTTAAGATCAGTAGTTTGGGTGGGTGACCCCATGAGAAGGTATTATCTGTGGCAACCCCTAAGTTGTGGAACTCCCTCTCCACAGAGATGCGTCCGGCACAAAAGGTATTTACAAATATCCTGAATCAACCCTATATAGTATCCTAGGAAGGCCTGGTTTTCTACCAAGATAGAGTATCTGAATGTGTGGGAGATGTGGATATTATTTACTGGTCCAATGGCTTCGCATGTACATCATTTGTAAGCAAGTGGTTATTTTACATCACTTCACCAGAGGGGGGTGGGACCAAGAAACCATCCCCTTCCTTATTTTACAGGGAAGCGCTGGAGCAGCATCCCCTTTGGTTTTGTTACCATAATGGAAAGATTCTGAAGATTTTCCCCCGAGGGAGTGAGCCAATCTGGGCACTCAACATCAAGCGTGGCATCCTCAGTGCTCTTCAGACATCCTTGGTGGCAACAACCAATGGCAGTGTGGAAGAGGTGAGCAGTTCTGAACATTCAAAGCTGCCTTGGTCCAGTATATACTCTTGGTCTGAAATATTGGTGAATTTTGTACAGTGGAGACTAGTTCAATAGGGAAAATGTGCACTGCTCCACCAACCCCAGTCTGCCTTCTGCCAGCCCTCAACTGTTTACCTTCTTATTTGCAGCCCGCCCAGTGGGAGGGGGGCTTTTGCTGTCAACTTGCGCTCCCCCCCCCCCTTAGTCTCATTCTTGCCCCTTTTAGAACTACATAACATCACATAGCACCACACTCACATCCACATACTTTAACAGAGCAACACCTAACATGGCATCCACATAACATAACATAACACAGGGGGGACGTCTGTTGTTTGATACAGATCTAACCGATTCTGTGAATTAGCCTATACAATGATGTACAGTAAATTCATCCCATGAAAATACAAATTACCAGTCATTCGTAGCATTAAGAAATAATAGATAGTTATGGAACAGACTCAATTGTTCATTTATTGTTCAACCAAGCCAGAAATAATTATCAGGCACCACATATATTGGGTCACCACCATGACACATGGCCACCTTTCATCATCTACCTGAATGACTGTCACCATCTGAGATGATAAAAGCATAGTCTCAAAGGCCAATGGAAAGCAATTGTTTCCAAGTGATTTTATACTGTGAGGTGCCCTGTAATCTTTGGATGAAGGGCAGTATGCACACACACACCACACACACTGTCTCGCACAGCACTATTACTATGCAATTTCCACTTGTTTCATTCACAGTCAGACTGGGATTGGAGGTGAAATGGAGATGCTCTTTCGCTCAGAAGTGGGTGAAGCAACAAATATAAATTTTACCATTATACAACGAGTTGGTTTCTACAAACACTCACACACGACTCCCTATCCTCTGTCCCAGGGGTCAGCAAACTTTTTAGCAGGGGGCCGGTCCACTGTCCCTCAGACCTTGTGGGGGGCTGGACTATATTTTGGGTGGGGAAATAAACGAATTCCTATGCCCCACAAATAACCCAGAGATGCATTTTAAATAAAAGCACACATTCTACTCATGTAAAAACACCAGGCAGGCCCCACAAATAACCCAGAGATGCATTTTAAATAAAAGGACACATTCTACTCATGTAAAAACACGCTGATTCCTGGACCGTCTGTAGGCCGGATTTAGAAGGCGATTGGGCCAGATCCAGCCCCCGGGCCTTAGTTTGCCTACCCATGCAGTCTGTCCGGACAAGCACATTCTAGTCAGGCAAAAGTTGTGGGGTGTGTGTGTGGAAAAGCAAGGCCAATGTATGTGGGAGGGAGAGTTCCAAAGGCTAAGACACTGCAGACCCATCTCTCCCCCCCACCACCCAATGCACCTTCTGTTGGGTTGTAGGTTCAAATTATCATGCACTTTGGAGCCCAATAAAATAATTCCCTTTTGTTGTGATTGTTAATTAGGTGGATGTCCTGGGAAAATGCCCAACCAGATATCAGCAGAAAGGGCCTCTCCTTTTGAAGACGAAAGATTTAAACCTGTGTTCTCACCGGTTTTCTGGATTCACTTCTCTGAGGTCCATTGCTTTGCCCAATGCACCAGTAAGTACTGTTAAACCTCTTGTTCTTCCACTATTTCTTTCAAGAAACTAGCTATGTTGTTACTCAAGAACTTATATGCATTAAAAACATGAATCATTATTTATCAAGAGGCAATTCACTGTGTTGAGCCTGTAAACACATGGGGAATGGTTCATATCTAGTAGGAATAGATAAGGTTCTTTTATTTCTGTGCGAGTTTCACATAATGTCTGCTCATAAGCCTGTCCCAGCCTGTTTTCTATGATTCTGTAAAGCCACGTGAAAAATCTACATTTAATAATAATAATTATACCCCACCCTCCCCGGCCAGAGCAGGGCTCAGGTTGGCTAGCAACAGTAAAATTACAGTAAAAACATAATAGGGGGAAACCAATTTAAAATACAGGTTAAAATGCAATTTAAATGGTATGCACTTTTTTCCTGAAATGCGTTTCCCCCCAAATAAGTATTTTTGTGCACACTTTTCCTGTAAAACATACATTTTAAAACTGAAATGGCGTCACAACATTTGGAGGAACACACAGCTTGTTTGGCCTGATGTGTTGTATGCATTTAAAGCACTGTCATACCACTTTAAACAGTCATGGTTTTCACACACACACACACACACACACACACACACACACACACACACAATGAATCTTGGGAGGTGTAGTTTGTTAAGGGTGCTGAGAGTATTAGTTGGCCCCTGTTCCCCTCACAGAGCTAAAACTCTTAGAGTGATTCAACAATCAAACCTTTTTCACAGGGAAAACCTTGGGAACTGTAGCTATGTGAGGAGAAAGGGGGGGGTCTCCTGACAAGTCTCCACACCCTTAAAAAATGACTTTCCCAGAATTCTTTGGGGGAAGCCATGACTGTTTAAAGTGGCATCATAGTGGCTATAAAGGTATGGTGTGAATGTGGCCTAAGTGGACATTTGATCATCTCTCTATTCCTATGTTTTAGCCTGATCAGCAGCTCATATCCTCCAAACTTGAGTGTGTTCAGAAGTTTGAGGAGGGAATCCTGGCAGAATCCCAATGTATAGAGTCTCATCTCACTGCATCTCCTGGGAGGAAGGGCAGCGGAGTGAAGACCCAAACTCGGATGGCAATGAAACTGTTCCGAACGGAAGCTGAAATCACAGCACATGAAAGAGGTTGGAGCCTGACTCTGTTACCATGTTTATTTGCCCCACCCCCAAGCCAAGTGCCCTCTCTTCTCTCCAGATTGATCATTTAAAGAGCAAAGAGGGTGTGATTTTCATTCCCATCATGTCTTTGGGTTGGGTAGAGAGGGAGGCAAATCACAGCTTCTTACGTGTGTGTGTGTGTGTGTGTGTGTGTCATGTTCACTTTTGTGCCACCACCAATCAATGGCATGTCACACACACACACACACACACACACACAGTGTGGCTCTGGGGTTGAAAATGTTTACCCACTCTGGGTTAGTGAATGTCTCTAAGCAATGACAAGTTAATAGAAAGTCTTTTTGAACTGCCCTTGCATGGGGTATAAGATTTCTTTTACCCCACTTATTAGGCTACAATGTCATTTGGGATGGGGGAGAAAGCTGAAGCTATTTAAAGGTGAACCTACTCAAGTCACGCTTCTGTTAACAATGTGCAAAGTAAAACACAGCCATCCTTTAAAATTTGCACTTTTCTGAATTTTGCAACCCTGTTGTTCTCCAGCCAAGTCATGTCTACAGAAAAGCATATCCTTGGATAAAGCATGTGTAGAGGTGCATATATTAAAAGGGGGAAATCATAGTTTTGTATTTTAGATTAGCAGAAATTTGCACTAAAGGGATGGTAAATTGACAATATTCCCAAATGCTAACAAAAAAAATGTGTATGGTGATGTAATATATTGCAAATCATAATGGGAGGATTGAAGCTGAGAGCTCAGTTGCCTTTCTGGTGGTTTTCCTAAGGCCACAGAGTGATGACTATGTGTTTCAGTTGTTCCCCATTGCCTGGTTTTACTTCTGCAGTAGACATCAAGGATATCTACGAGAGCAGCCTCTTATATGAAAGGGAAAAAACAGCACGATGGCCAGGAAAGGAGGATGAGGTGGTGGTGGTCTCCAAAATACTACAGAAGCTTTGTATGAATCCTAGAGCGGATTCCGAGGCAAGTTATTATATATATTTTTTGTCATAGTTATTGGTTATTGCTGGTGTTGAAAATGTGGCACTTGCTTGTGAGAAATTGAATTCTTGCACTCTTCCTCTGCCCCTGCCCCTCCCCCCAAAAGATTGATAGCCTTGTTGTCCAATAATTTGCACAAGCCGTTTTTAAAGCCATCATGTATTATGGCGTTAGCTTTCATGAACCGGAATCTAGCTGCAGACAAATTGTATTTGTGTTTGGGGTGAGGGTGTTGTGTGAATCAGCCCTGAGATGTATTGGCTCCAAAGGGCCCAAGATAAATATGTACTTTTCATCAATGCTCTATGTGTCCCTGGGTTGAGAGGTCACTGTAAGAGACCAATAGCTCCAATCAGAAGAACAGATTCAGGGTCACTTGTGCTGAGTTACATTCCCTCCTGGCCTGTTATCCGATGACCATTCTTTTGTTAGCCCAGCCTCTGAGAGCTATTGTCACTGGTAACAAAACAGAAGGTCTTGTCTAAGTTCTTTTGTGTTTATTTTATTTCCTACCGTAATCATAAAAGGCACTCCTCAAAGCTGTTTTACATATGCTGGAGTTGAACGCTTTGGAGAGTATTATTGAAATTTATTAATAAGGCAACCAAATACACAAACACACCCTTTCTCACACTCGACAATCACCCTAACCCAACACCCCACTGAGCGCAGATGTAGAATACAGGTTGTAACCAAGCAGAAACGTGTGAACATATAATAAAAATGACAACATGTCCTATACAATTAGTAAACTTACAAGAATAACAGGATATTAACTCTCTAGGGAGCCTGTGTGACTTTGTCTAGGTTGAGAAGCCTTCACTGCTCAAATTTAGGTGTATTAAACATTATAGTCCTGTCCAAACCAGACTCTCTCTCTCTCTCTCTCTCTCTCTCTCTCTCTCTCACACACACACACACACACACACACACCCAAGGTAGCATTTGCCACTGAAGGTTTCTCTAACTACTTTTGCCTTGGTGGTTCATACAGTCTACAGCAGGGGTCAGCAAACTTGTTCAGGAGGGGGCCGGTCCACTGTCCCTCAGACCTTGTGGGGGGCTGGACCCACCACCTCCCAAAAGCCCCCCCCCCAATGCCACTAACGCCACAACCGCCGATGCTGCCTTGTCTTTGGCAGAGTCGATGTCCTCTGTCTCGGGGGGCAGAGAGCCCAAGCCGCTGGCCTGGGCGGCAGAGGCAGCCTCCATGCCACTGCCGCTTCCTTCCTGCTTGGCCGTTTCCTCCCACTTGGCCACCTTAGCAGGAAGGAAGGGGCAGCGCCCAGAGGCGTCTGTGGTTTCTGATTGGCTGCAGGAGCTTCCTGCAGCCAATCAAAAACTGTGCCGCATCGCAGAAGTCAGTCTCCGCACAACGAGGCTTCTGCGCTGCGCCTGTTTAGCTCAGGGACTGACCGAGTGGGTGGCAGGGTCCGCAAGGTTTGTGGGCCGGATTAACAAGCCCGGTGGGCCGTATCTAGCCTGTGGGCCTTAGTTTGATGACCTCTGGTCTACGGTGCAGCATAGAGTGAATGGTGCCCTCAATCTATTACAGGCATAGGCAAACTTGGCCCTCCAGATGTTTCAGCCTACAACTCCCATGATTCCTAGCTAACAGGACCAGTGGTCAGGGATGATAGGAATTGTAGTCTCAAAACATCTGGAGGGCCGAGTTTGCCTATGCCTGATCTATTAACTACCACATGCACAGAAGCACCAATCTGGACAGTGTTAACTGTACATAGCCTGAGAAATTTAACACAATGCCACATCCAAATGTGCCACAGCATTGTTTACACTTATCCTTTATTTTGTTATTCATTTTCATCATTTTTCTTGTTCCTTTTTTTGAGGTTTGCAACTGTTTTCTCTACTAACGTAACAAAATGAACACACACAACATAGGTCACGGCTCATTTTGTAATCGAGGACGCGGAATTGAGTTGTTGTTTTTAATGGCAGTTTTATTTCAACACGGTTGAACAGGTCGTATTCTTACGGGCCGCACTTATTCAGTGATTCCTGCATTTCAGCAGATTGGATTAGGTGACCCTTTTGGGGTGCCTTCCAACAATTCTATGAGTTTCCTTATTCACCTGTAGAGAAAGCTAGCCAGCCAAATAAATCAAACAGCAACAAAGTGGAGACGGAAACCCAAACTGTCTGCCTGCACAGTGGCTTTCATTCTGGAGAACTGTCAACTCATCAGACCATCCATCTTTGAAACAGAATTTTCCCCCACCCCCACCCCTCCTTTTCTCCCCTTTTGGACAGCTTCTTCCTTCCCACTTCCCGCCCTGCCTGGACACTTCTGCCCCCTTAACGCCCCATTGCTTAATCTGCATTTAAATCCAATCCCTCCGCACAATGGCATTGGAAATAACTCTCTAAGGCTCCCTGGTGAGTGGCGTGCTTTCCCTCCTCTCCTCTGAATGAGAATCGGGGAGCTTCTCCCCCCGCCCCACCCCCGGCATTTATCCCTGGTTTTTTGTCGCCTGAATGTAGCGCATAATCTCGCCCCCATTCAAAACCACAACAATGCAAGGGACAAATAAGACTATCCATGGCTGGTAAGGATGTGTTTTCCCAGGCTGTGCTGTGGACATTTCCCATCAGCCTCTTCCTGGGCCAGGGGTCTTTAAAAAGATGGTTGGAGAGAAGGAGATAGGAATGAAGGAAAGGGGGGTGGATGGGTTGGAGCCGACACCATAATACAGGGGAAAAAACATGCTCTTAGCACTGAAAACAGCAGATAGCCTGTTCAGGACCGAAACAGGCATGCTATGAATAATTTGCCTCTCTTTAAAGGCATGCGCAAATTACCATATGAAGACAAGCAACAGTGCCTTCCAAAATCTAAATGACACCCAGTTGATAGAGGGAAAGGTACCGTATTTTTTGCTCTATAAGACTCACTTTTTCCCTCCTAAAAAGTAAGGGGAAATGTGTGTGCATCTTATGGAGCGAATGCAGGCTGCGCAGCTATCCCAGAAGCCAGAACAGCAAGAGGGATCGCTGCTTTTACTGCTCAGTGATCCCTCTTGCTGTTCTGGCTTCTGAGATTCAGAATATTTTTTTTCTTGTTTTCCTCCCCTAAAAACTAGGTGTGTCTTATGGTCTGGTGTGTCTTACAGAGCGAAAAATACGGTAATTCTGTCTGTTCCTTCAAGGAGACAAAAGGACACATCAGCAACTAAGAGAAGAGCTGTAGCTCAATAGCAGAGCAAAGGATGCAGGAGAAATTCATTTCTGTTCGCATTGAAAGGCCGACCTACGTAATCTGCAGTTTCCGAAACAATACGTGAACCAAAAGTGAGCCATCCTTTGGCATTTGAGCAGTCTCTGAATATTGCACTGCAATTCTCCATCTGTGCAATGTCTGCCAAATACACAAGTGGAGGGTGTGCATAATAATATTGCATGTCGGTGAGAAAGCCCATTTTGTAAGCATTTTTATGACTGCATTTTATTAGGGGAAACTGTTCTGCAAAAATGTGTACGTTAGGAGAAGTTGGCACACTAAGGTCCTTTTGAATTTACATGAGGACTTTTAAAAGCAATAAACTGATATGGGTACTTAAGACTTGAGAAAGGGAGAGAATAAAAAATGGACACGTTTGCCCATCCCTCAATAGAGTTCATGCTTGGCAAAAAATGTTACCGGGTTAAATCCCTGGCATGCCCAGGTAGGGCTGGAAAAGACCCAGAAGTCAAATTCAGGAGGGAAGGCAGATTCTCCTTTAAATGCAAACTGAACTGACTTTCCCCCACATGCCTAGTTCTATATCGCCATGCGTTCCTTTGGGGGATATTCATAAACATCATATAGAAATAAATAAGATGGCATCCTCTCCTCCTTTTCCATTTTTCTTTTAACAAGATTTGCAAATACAAAAAAAAAAGCCCAACAACAAAAACTGTCATAAAGGCAAAGAGAATCAAAATGCAAGACGAAAAAGAGCTAGCAAAACAAAAAACAAAAAAAACCCATGCAAAATATATTCCCTAGTGGAATCCAAGGTTCATATTCACACAAAATACATCAAGTATTCATAAATGTTGCCAGATTTAGTAGGAATGTGCCAACCGTGAGATTATTTGGTCTTATAAATCACAAACAACTTCCCAAACAGATTCAAAATATGAAGGGTCCTGAAAGCACATGGACCAACTTTTCACAGATGGCAATAAACATGACTTTTCAAAACCATACATCCAAAGAGTAGCAATTATTATTATTCCATCCTTGAGAGATCACAAAATAGGTGGTGATCAGCAGACATAAAATTAATTGTTGACTAATAAAAGCTGGCGGGGTGCGCTCCCGTCGTTCGGTCCCAGCGCCTGCCAACCTTGCAGTTCGAAAGCACCCCCGGGTGCAAGTAGATAAATAGGGACCGCTTACAAGCGGGAAGGTAAACGGCGTTTCTGTGTCTCCGGACAGCGCTGGCCCCCGGCCTCTTGAGTGAGATGGGCGCACAACCCTAGAGTCTGGCAAGACTGGCCCGTACGGGCAGGGGTACCTTTACCTTTTTAATAAAAGCTGCAGTAGCACCATCAAAAATGGGTAGGGTGTAAAGCGACTTGTTTACTTGTAATAATACTAATTTCAGATACAACCCCTCATATCTTACAATCCTGAGAGAGTGTAACAGGGGGAAACAAATATTGCAATATGAGCTAGTCAGACTAAGGTTAAAAACCAGCACCGGAGCCAAATTTTTCAATACTGGCAAACATCTGGGACACAGAGCCAGTCCTGGTGCAGCTCAATTGATCAACAGCATTTTTCCTTTTTTCTTCTTTTTTTGCATTATTATTTTTTGACAAAACATATATACAAATGGAAGTGAGAGCTGGACCATAAAGAAGGCTGATCACCGAAGAATTGATGCTTTTGAATTGTGGTGCTGGAGGAGACTCTTGAGAGTCCCATGGACTGCAAGAAGATCAAACGCATCCATTCTTAAGGAAATCAGCCCTGAGTGCTCACTGGAAGGACAGATCGTGAAGCTGAGGCTCCAGTGCTTTGGCCACCTCATGAGAAGAGAAGACTCCCTAGAGAAGACACTGATGCTGGGAAAGATGGAGGGCACAAGGAGAAGGGGGCGACAGAGGACGAGATGGTTGGATAGTGTTTTTGAGGTTACCAGCATGAGTTTGACCAAACTGCAGGAAGTAGTGGAGGACAGAGGTGCCTGGCGTGCTCTGGTCCATGGGGTCACGAAGAGTCGGACACGACTAAACGACTAAACAACAACAACAACAATATACAAATAAAAATTGTATAAACACAAAAATCCACATCAGTATCATAACACAAATTGCTAAACAACCAACAAGCAGTCAATCTCTTTTGTATCATACAGTAAACATCTTCAGAAAAATAGTCTCCCTTGTGCAATAGACAAATACCGTAATTCAAAACCAATATATTGCTTTGGTCTCTTTTAGGATTGTTTACGGTTAAATAAATTCAGTCTGGCTTCAAAGCACTCCGAACAAAAAGCGTGGTTTTGTATTTTCCTGTACTTTGCTCCCCCCCCCAATAGATAATAAAAGTGAGCCATATTTAGGTTGCCATATTTGAAAAAGTAAAAACCAGGAAACCCCAAAATTGTTGAGATTTTTAAGGAAACCACCAAAATTGTTGAGCTTTGTAAAGGAAAACCCCAAAGTGATTGAGCTTTATTTAGACAAACCCCAAAGTTGATTCGCTTTTTTAAATAAAAGCTACAAGAATTTTTGAGCTCTGGAGCTTTTTAAAAGCATTTGGGGCACGATTTAACCCCTAGTAAATTTTCCAGGACGTTTGCCAGATTTCCAAAAAAAAAATCCAGGATGCAATTTTTGGAGGTGAATTCCAGGACATGTCCTGGATAATCAGGACGTATGGCAGCCCTACCATATTTCAACAGAAGCATCTCTTATTTTTTCCCCAATGAGTCAAATATTTCTGAACCAATTGGTCTGATTTGATCAGCTCAAGTTCAAAAGTGGGAAGGCGCTGGGTTCCTGACCCTCAAGCTATGCAAAATGCTGTACGATCCCAGGGGTATTAAGTGTGTTCCTACCAAAGGCAGGCCTCTTCAGTAAACACCCTGCTCGCTTACAAAAAGCCTCAGTGTTTGTGGAAAAGGAGCGTTCAGGAGTGGTTTCCAAGAACAACAAAATTGCGGGTATGATCTGCAGCCAGCTCTGGATGAGGTCTGCCAAGAGTTTTCCACGTCCCCCCCTCCCCACACCTTAAAATAAATAAATGAATGAATGAATAAAAGAAGCCGACTCTAAGGTAGTAAAGGAACACCTTCCCCGCTTAATCACTTCAGGAAGACTTTTTAAAGCACTTTCCTGTTTTTCGCTACTCTGACAGCACAAGCCTACAGAGTGGTCCCATCAGGGTAGGAACTGGGGGGTAGATGTCAAGGGCCCCATTCAGTAGAAGAAGCTGGTGGGCCCCCAAATACAACAAAGTTGCCTTACCACAATTTTAAGTGAAATAATACCCACAGCCATCCAAGAAACCCCCTCCACCTTTAATGTGAATCCATCCCACTTCTGAGTAATTTGAATGCACCCAAAGGTGGGTCCCCTCTCCACTGGGAACTATCCATGGTGCTGACTCATGGACCAGCCCACCTAGATTATTGCCATACCCAATCAGAACACCCTTGGGGATCCCAGCTTGGAATGGGAGAGCTTCCAACCAAACACACATCTGGGCTTTCGCCCCAAGCAGGGCCTGAGAAATCCTTCAAGAAACAAGGGAAAATCCAGCGTTGCCAAAAACTCTTTGACTTACGCTTCCAGTTTTGAAGAACACTGGTTCCAGTCTCCTTATGGCTTCACTCTTAAAAGCAACTGAAGATAACTGGTGCCATTGGTTCATTGATCGCTTGTACTTTCATAGGTGTGGTTCTATGAAATCAAAGAGAATTGCTTGTAACTCATGTCTGAAGATTAGGGATGGGGAAGAAATTTGATTCAGTATGCATTTAAAGGTGAGACTATTTCCTTCGCAAAACAGTAAACAAACAGAAACACAGCCGTCATTCAAAATTCACACTTCTCCAAATTTCTGCAAGGCAATTCTGCAGCCAGGTAACGTGTACAAAAGTGCATATCCTGGGGGCAATGCATATGTTAGTGAAAACAATTTGCAAAAAATGCATTATTATCCTGGCAAATGCACTATTACAAGTGAAGTATTTTAATAACAGCAACAAGCTGTGACTTGGGGAGTTGGAAGTCTTCTTATCACACGCCTTTGCTTGCACAGGGTCTTGCAAACAATCTGGTAAAATGAAGAACTTACACCAGCTTCCTAAGGAAAGCACTCACACCTGATGTTTCAATCACTTTATCAGGAGAATCTTTGATGAAATCACATGTCATCTCTTTGCTTCTCCTCCACAATGAGATACTTTTCTCCTTTTATCTTATTTTACACTTCCACCAAGGATTCTCTTACATCTTGCGGTTGTAATTATAAATTATATTAATGGCTTTTTAAACGTGTTTGTGGGCGAGGGGTTATTGGTTTGTTTTTTATTTTGTTTCATTTTGTAATTTGTGTTCTCATTTTGCATTTTTCTGCCCTGAGATCTTCAGATGAAGAGCAGTATACAAATTTAATAAACACAATTGTTGTCGTTGTTTTGGAAGAATGCATTAAAAATGTGCATGTTGAGAGAAATTTGCCTTAAAATCCCGAGGAATTTTCATGAAAACACACAGCCCTCCGCTATGGAAACAGATGTTTAAAATAAGAAACAGAGAGAGTAAAGCTTGACAGATTTGCCCATTCCCACTGAAGACAGAATTCAAAGGAATTGAGAGCAAGCAATCTGACTGCACTTTGCTAACATCCTTGGCAGGGCATTGGGGGTGGGTGGAAGGAAGTTACACTTGAACAGAATTCCTTATACATATACGTGCAGTTCTAGATTCATTTTTCTGGTCTCATTTCCAACACTGCCTCCGCTGTGTCACTTAGAAGCACTGGCATCTGGCAGTCAATAAATAGTGATCTTTGAAGGGAATAAGTGCTTCTGTTTAATATCAACCAATATCCTTTTTATCAGGAAATAAGCCAGAAGCACCTCTTCAATTAGTCCTTTCTTTCATCCCACGGCCTTCCCAATGTCAAATGCAAGTATTTTAGGTGGCTGCTTCCCTCCGGGGAGTAGCTGGGTGGATTGCAGTGTTTAGACTTTGGCTGGAATTACAGAGGTTCCACAGGCCGAGGAAGAGGAAAAATAAATATTTAGGGTAGTAAGTAGGTTTCCCACCCACTCACCCCAATTATTTTTTATTAGTAAAAGAGAATGATTAGAAGAATCTACTGTAAGGTGCTACCTTTAAAATCTCCCAAAGCATTAGGACTGAGAACAGAGACCAGTTTTTTTCAGTCAGCTTGTTGGGGTTTCTGTGGTTATGTTGGCTGCATGTCTGGAAGGCCATATTCTTGTTCTTCAATTGCTTTCCGTGTTCAAAAGTATTTCAGAAAGAACCCATCTTGCTTTGCTTGCTTCTTAGCTTTTTCCGCCTTTCATTTGTGGTACTGAGCTCCAGATGGTAGTTATTTGACTGTCTACTTAGTTACTTCTTATTACTTCATATTCAAAGGCATGTGGCTTACAATACATTTAAAAGTATAAGCATTAATACATTCTATCATCTTTTAATCATACAAAACACCTACCATTCACTATATACATTCCTGCTTTGCAGGGGCTTAGACTGGATGACCCTTGGGGTCCTTCCAGCTCAACAGTTCTTTTATTTATTTTGTTGTTGTTGTTGTTATTGTTGTTGTTAATTTAATAGCCTGCACTTCACCCCAAGGTTCTAGGGTGAGTCACAACAATTTAAAATATGTTAAAAATTGCAACAACCACGCAATTAGGTGGACCATAGAAATATGTATCCCAATATATACAATAGGCACACCACAACAGAACCTCCTATAACTGGATGCATACTAGCAGCAAAACAACATCTCGGTCTATCGAAAGCTGTGCCCCTCCGACTCAGGCAAGATGAAAATCCATGCAAAATGGAGGGAAATTCATAATTCATAATTGAACTCTTTTGCAGGATTTGAATAACACTTGTAGTGTAACAAGAACTAGGGTTATATGGGATACTTAAAAAATGGGAGTGACTTTAAATATGCAGCGGAAAAGGACTCAAGATGGAACCCACGAAAGGGTGGGAGGAAGTCCAGAGATTCGGGTGAATCTTTGTTTGTTGTTGTTGTTTAGTCGTTTAGTCGTGTCCAACTCTTCGTGACCCCATGGACCAGAGCACACCAAGCACTCCTGTCTTCCACTGCCTCCTGCAGTTTGGTCAAGCTCATGCTGGTAGCTTCAAGAACACTCTCCAACCATCTCGTCCTCTTGTCATCCCCTTCTCCTAGTGCCATCAATCTTTCCCAACATCAGGGTCTTTTCCAGGGAGTCTTCTCTTCTCATGAGGTGACCAAAGTATTGGAGCCTCAGTTTCAGGATCTGTCCTTCCAGTGAGCACTCAGGGCTGATTTCCTTAAGAATGGGTAGGTTTGATCTTCTTGCAGTCCATGGGACTCTCAAGAGTCTCCTCCAGCACCATAATTCTTTGTTTACTTATCTTTTTATTACTTAAGACTTTGAATGTAGCCTTTAATTTGTAAAACCAAATAAAATTATTATTTTTTATAGATAGATAGATAGATGATAGATAGATAGATAGATAGATAGATATAAAGAAAATCCATGCCACCGTCTCCGGCAGAGATCCTGAAGGCTTTGGTGATGGTTTCAGAGCTGAAGACAACCAGTTCAGTTGACCAGACATGTGAAGCAGATTTCTGTCCTCCTTTCCTTCTAGTCTGCCGACCTGTTCATGGCATTGGTGTTTGAACTTCGCCTTCTCTCTGCTGGTGCCTTGCTGAGCCTGTGGCAGGGATCTTCATCGAAGTGTCAAGGCAACTGGTAAGACAACTTCAAAATGGCCGTTTGGTCTGGGTAGATTTGCCAGCTCTGAACTCCAAGATCTTTTCTGCCCCTTTCACCCAGGCTGTCCGTCCCTGGTGCCCTCCAGTTGACTACGACTTGTACCACCCCTGTGTATTTAGTATTTTGTGTTGCCTGAGGCAGTTACTTATCCATTGGCAAAAAGAAGTTCTAAGAAGGGACACTGAACTGCATATGATTCACACAGCCATCAAGACCCTGGTGATCTTCCAGTGTTGATGGATTGCAACTCCCATCAGCTCCAGTCCACATGACCAATGGTCAGGGGGGATGGGGCTTGCCCTCCAGATGTTTGTGGACTACACTAGGTTGCTGAAAATTGGCCCAAAAAATTATTCATCCACTCAACATGCAAGCTGTGAAGGAGTGGTTGAAGAACAGCAGCAGCAAGAGTTGCGACATTATCAAGGAAGAACCATGATCATTCTGTGGGACCCACCCACCTTAGAGATTTCTGGAAGAAGATAAACAGCCAATGGGGTGTGTTCAACTAACTTTTATTCAGGGTAAACCCATTGGAATTAAGGGTTGTGATGTTCTTAGGTCCATTGGAGAGCCAGTGTGGTGTAGTGGTTAAGAGCGGTAGTCTCGTAATCTGGGGAACCGGGTTCACGTCTCCGCTCCTCCACATGCAGCTGCTGGGTGACCTTGGGCCAGTCACACTTCTCTGAAGTCTCTCAGCCCCACTCACCTCACAGAGTGTTTGTTGTGGGGGAGGAAGGGAAAGGAGAATGTTAGCTGCTTTGAGACTCCTTAAAGGGAGTGAAAGGTGGGATATCAAATCCAAACTCTTCTTCTTCTTCTTCATTAATCTCAATGTGTCTACTCTGATTAAAAGTTAATTGAATGCAACTAGCAACAAAACAGCTACTTCAAAACTATATATTTATTTCCATCTTGGCTGTGCTGTAGCTCAGTCATAGAGCATCTGCAAAAGCTCCAGGTTCAATCCCTGGTATCTCCAAGTAGGGTTGGTAGAAACGTTTGCAGAGCTGCTGCCAGTCTGTGTAGGCAGTACTGATCTAGATAGACCAATCATGGGACTCATTATAAGGCAACTTTCTACGTTCCTCTTGTGTCAAATTAGATGCGCTTTTCTTTTTGGGTTCCTTTCAGGCAACCTCTAGTGGACGCTCTCCCCTCCTGCGCCACCGAAGCCTGTGTGGTCCTGATGAAAGAGATGATCGTCTCTGAAGAAGTAGACGAGGACAAGATGGAATCATTCCTTTGGTCCCTCTCCTTCATCCCTGAGCCTACTGCAGGCATGATTGATGCTCTGGCTGTAAGCACGGAAGTGAAATTTAGCTGAGTCAAATTGGATAGCTCAGTCTGTAGAGCATGAGACTCTTAATCCCAGGGTTGCAGGTTTGAGCCCTACTTTGGGTGAAAGATTCCTGCATTTCAGGGGATTTGACTCGACAACCCTTGTGACCCCTTCCAACTCTACAATTCCATGAATCATCCCTATTTCTGTAGAAGCACCATATGCATATGTATGGAATGGGACATACGCCCTTGGCTATGGTCTTGAAATTGGGGTGGATAACTGAAGATAGGGATGTGGAAGAAATATAGTTATGTTTGCATTTAAAGGTGGACCGATTTAATTCACACTTGGCTGGAGTTCTGAAGAGCAGCGCTTCGCCCGGCAACATTTTGTTGCAGTTCCCATTGGTTGGTTGTCATGATGGGTTGACATAGATGTGCACAGCACCTTATATAAGGTGCAAGTGTAGGGATGGGGAAGAAACCAAATCCACCTTCACATTTAAAGGTGAACCTCCCTGTTTTGCACATTCTGAAACAATATGCAAACCAATACGAAGCCATCTTTTGAAATTCACACTTCTCCAAATTTTGAAGTGTGTTTCTTCAGCTATATCCTATCTTCAGAAATGCATATCCTTGTGTAAGGTGTGCATAGAAATGCACACATTAGTGAATGCAGCATACAACAAAGGATTGTATTGGGGGCAGCGTTTTGCAAAAATGTGTACATTAGAGGCAAAATCCCGTGCAAAAGTTGTGTACATTACGAGAAATTTGCACTAAAACACTGATGAATTTCCATGAGAGCTTTTTTTAACGTACAAACTGCTGTGGAAATGTGGGGAACTGAATTCTCAATCTTTGAAAAATGAGAAGTGGAGAGAATACCAAAAAGGACAGCTTCAGCCATGTAGTCTGGGTGATTTGCAATGGGTCGCCAATACTGTAGGTTCTCACTCCCAATTACTTAATAGCAATAATAGATTCAGGTCTGGGGACAGGTCTGGGAGAAAACAGGAGTGGATATTGTGTGATGGGACAGTGGACCTGAGTCCTTCTTCTATAATGAAATTCTTGAGCTAGGTGTGAAGCACCATCTTCCTTCATTCTACTGATGGTTCCCTGAGCCATTATTTCATAGCTGGCTCCAGTCAGTGGACCTTGAGTTTTGAATTAAAGTAGATTTCACAAGCCTGAAGTCTGCCCATCCCTGATTTACTGTAACCACAAACCTGTGTTTATGCATATTTCCAGCCTCTGCTACAGTCACCACGAAGGAGACAGAGTGCCTTTTTAGGAATAACTGCCCTGGTAAATCACTTCTGTTCCACGAGAAATGACTGTGACCATGAGCCTGCCGTTGGGGGCATTATGCGGATTCTGGAGGGATACCTGGGAAGAAAATGTACCTTGCATGAGTCAGTAGGTATCAGCCAGGTAGGTGGTTCCGAGGCAACTTGAAAGATCAACTTCTGTTTTCACTGTATCAGCATGTCTTAATGGAACTGAAATGTCACCTATTGAAAATAGATGAATATTCAGATTTTGAAGTTCCGTTTTGGATAGCAGCCATGATAAGCCATGGCCTCCTACAGGGCTCATGTTCTTCCTTCTTCCGCTCATCCTCCAGCATCTCTGTCCCGAGGACTTTCAAGGTTTCCCCTTGCATTCTTAACTGCTGCTTGCAGCATCATCCAAACCCAACAAACTCTGGTTAATTTTAATCATGGTTTGTTGGAAAGAAGCCAACTTCAAACCACGGTTTATGAAGCTAGCTTGTTTCAATAAACTATAGGCAAGATTATACACAGTTTAGGGTTCAGATGTACAATTAAACTGCAGCTAATTGAAATTGGGGAACCCATGGTTTACCATAACAGTCTTAGCTGTGCAGTGCTCTGATCTGCTTAGGGGGGGAGAGGGCGATATAAATGATTTTTAAAGGAAGGCACTTTATTTCAACTTCATTTTGAATTTTCAGGTGGAACTAATTTTAAAAGCAATTGGAAATGCAGGACTTGCAGCAGCACATCTTGTGCCCATCCTGAGTTCCTGTGCGATGCTGAAAAGCAACCCTACAGAAATCCGACTGGCTGCCATAGAGGCCTTTCGCCGTGTTCCTTGTGCAGCCAATGTAGGTGGTGTGTGGTTGGCTTTCCTGTGCTATTTTTGGCCTCTGTATCATGATAAAATAAGATGTACGCAATGTGTCTGAGCACCAGGTTGGGGCAGCAAGTCAAGAGGGGTGGTGGTAGGCGGGTCCTAAAATGCACACCTCTCAGGTGTCAAAGGCCAAGGTAAAGAGGTCTCCACCTCCATCGTTCAGCCCGGACACTGAGGTCCAGCGCCGAGGGCCTTCTGGCAGTTCCCTCATTGCAAGAAGTGAGGTTACAGGGAACCAGACAGAGGGCCTTCTCAGTAGTGGCGCCCGCCCTGTGGAACGCCCTCCCTTCAGATGTGAAGGAAATAAGTAGCTATCATCTCTTTAAAAGACATCTGAAGGCAGCCCTGTTTAGGGAAGTTTTTAATATTTAATGCTGTATTGTTTTTAACACTTGATTGGAAGCCGCCCTGAGTGGCTGGGGAAGCTCGGCCAGATGGGTGGGGTATAAGTGATAAATTATTATTATTATTATTATTATTATTATTATTATTATTATTATTATTATTATTATCTTCAGCATTCACCAAACTTAGAGGCTGCCACAGAGAAGGTCCTGAACTGAAGGAACTGAACTGAGGTCCTGAACAGAGAAGGTCCTGAAGAGGAACTGAACTGAAGAGGAACTGAACTGTTTCTTTTGCTTTCTTCCTTTTTAGCATGCTACATTAGTCCGTCTGTATCAAGCCTACAATGAGGATGTAGAAATAAGAATAGCTTCTTATCTCATGGCCATGAAATGTCCCAGTGAAGAATTATTTCACCAAGTTAAATGGACTTTGCAGGAGGAGAAGTCCAGCCAAGGTAAGGTGCAACCATTGAAATATTGAGGCTCAGCCTGGTCACATCTACCCTAGGGAATGCTGAGAAGGGTTTTTCTTATATACTTTATTGAAAATGAGGGGCAATTCGGGTGAGGGATCCTGTCTGTTTCCCCCTAGCTTCTTGTACCGACTCTCTCCTTGCTGGCCCAGAGTTGTAGCAACAATGAACTACAGTGGTACCTTGGTTCCTGAATGGCTTGGTTCCCAAACAAATCAGCTCCTGAATGCCACAAACCCAGAAGTGTTCCAGTTTGTGAACCTTTTTTCGGAAGCCAAACATCCAACACAGCTCCCGTGGCTTCTGATTGAGTGCAGGAAGCTCCTGCAGCCAATCAGAAGCCATACCTTGATTTTCGAATGGTTTCGGGAATGGATTAAGTTCAAGAACCAAGGTACCGCTGTACATAATTAAATGAATTAGCAAGGCTTCAACAGAAGCAGGATAGCAGAGAGGGTAAGCTCTGGGTGTGCAAGGTCAGATGGAAGAGGTGAAAAAAAATGACAGAGGCCCAGATGGCTTCATGTATCCAGTAATCCACTGAACACAACAACTCGTACAGCTGGCCCCTGGTTGATGGTGAAGTTCAGATCTTGATTACAACATCTAATAGAAAACTCAGGTGGTGAGTACTAATAGATACCTAGTCCAGCTGGAACTAATAAGGAACAAAATGAAGGTATAGGCGTGCCCAGAGTAACTCTGAGGTTTGCAAAAGTAATAAAAATTAAAAAATAGCCCACCCCTGAGCAGTGGGGGAAGCAGCAGCCCAATGAGGGCTGAGCATGCTCAGTAGCCATTGAATGTTGAGAGTCACTTGGAGAAGAAAAATGGAAAGAGGGAGTGTAAGAAGTGGCCTTCCTGGAGGAGGGTGAAGTGGAACCTTCAAAAGGAGAGGGAAGGATCCTGGCTCAGTGGGTCGAGTATCTGCTTTTGCATGCAGAAGGTTGCAGGTTCAATGCAATACTAAGCTGGATGGAACAATGGTAGGATTCAATGTAATGATTCAGCAGCTTCCTGGTTTCCTAACTCTTATTAGGATCTGAGAAGACATTGCAGGTTTTGCTTATGTCTTCCCAAACCTCACCTGTTCTTTAGGTTTACACCTGTCTCTTATTTGATTTTAAGTGGGTTCGTTTGTCTGGCGTCACCTCTCTGAACTTCTGGAAACAGATGACCCGCTGAAGCAACATCTTAAAAATTCTCTTCCAAATGACATAATTGACAAAGAATTTGAGGGGGAGACATGGAAGTTTTCTTCATATTCAGATGTTACCTTCCACTCGGGTAGGTTTATAACCATCTGTACCTTATGGACTTCACAATGAATGAGTGATCAATGACTCCTTCAATTTTAACTTTACAGATCAGACCACAAGCATTTGGATGAACGATAACCCCCAGATCCTTTACTTTCATTTTGAAAAATAGTAGGTTTCAAGCATTTATAGAACCTAAGATATAGGGCAAAATGTACAGACACTATTATTCTCATTTCTAAATTTAATTTAATTCATTCATTTATTTAACTCATGCATTCATTCATTTATGAGTATTGATAAACCCATTCATATTTTTAAAACATTTCCAAGCAGTGTACAATGTTGTTGTTAATGGTACAACCTAAAACCAATATAAAGGTACCCCTGCCCGTACGGGCCAGTCTTGACAGACTCTAGGGTTGTGCGCCCATCTCACTTAAGAGGCCAGGGGCCAGTGCTGTCCAGAGACACTTCCAGGTCACATGGCCAGCGTGGCAAAGCCGCATCTGGCGAGCCAGCGCAGCACACGGAAACGCCGTTTACCTTCCCACCAGTAAGCGGCCCCTATTTATCTACTTGCACCCGGGGGTGCTTTCGAACTGCTAGGTTGGCAGGCGCTGGGACCGAGCAACGAGAGCGCACCCCGCCGCGGGGATTCAAACCGCCAACCTTTCGATCGGCAAGCCCTAGGTGCTGAGGCCTTTACCCACAGCGCCACCTGCGTCCCCCAAAACCAATATAAAAGCATATAAAACAGGAATTTGCAGATACAAATACATCAAATAGGATCAGGGAAGGCCTGGGCAAAAAGATATTTATGAGAAATCATCCCCACAAATATATATATATATATATATATATATATATATATATATGGATGCCCACTGTTGTAGATCAGCACAGTATATTCTTAGATCAAACATAAGGGCACAGCACTATACATTTAAATAAGTGGTATACCACTTCAAACAGTCATAGCTTCCCCCACCCCAAAGATTCCTCTTATTTTTTCCCTTTCAGTGAAGTAACCAGAAACTTCCCAGAGTTCTGCAATATAGACACTTCTTCACTGCTCCTCATTAGGTATCAATGGGAACTACCAGCATTTTCAGTTCCTGACAGAGAGCAACTCAGTCCTTTTCATCTCAGCTCAATCTCTGTGTTGTTGTTTTTTTCAATGTGGCTTCTTATTCGAAGCCTCTGCTCACACATAAACCTATATTAGCCCTCTCTATAGGCTGGGAGGATGGAAGGGGGGACGTAATCCTCCTTCCCCAAAGGGGGATTACTTTCTTCCTCCTCAAAAAGTGTTCTTTTCCCAGAAGGGTCTCCAACCATTAGCTCCTATGGCAACAAATGGCCTGTACTTGGCCAGCCCTTATAAGTAACAAAGCCAGACTTGTTTGGCAGATTTGATCACTTAAGCAAGTTCTTTTGTTGGCCAACAACCTCATCACTGAGCTGAACAGTTCAGCTCAACCCCAAGACCCATTAGGATACAAAATAAATCCCTCCACAATGAAAACAAGCAGGTGGGTTGGCCTAACTTTCTTCCGAATTCTAGTGCCTCCAGGCTGTGCCCCTCAACAGCCCATAGCTGTCAACGTTTCCCTTTCTTTAAGGGAAATTCCCTTATTCCAATAGGATTCCTTGCAAGAAAAGGGAAAAGTTGACAGCTATGCAACAGCCCCACCCCAAACCCTCATTGACTGCAAGGCTGGAATGTGTCCTGGAAGAAGCTGACAGGTGAGGCAGAGCTGCTTCGCTGCCTCCCTGGCAGGTGAGTTGCTTCTGCCTACCAGGAGGGGAGGGACGCGGGTGGCGCTGTGGGTTAAAGCCTCAGCGCCTAGGACTTGCCGATCGAAAGGTCGGCGGTTCGAATCCCCGCGGCGGGGTGCGCTCCTGTCGCTTGGTCCCAGCGCTTGCCAACCTAGCAGTTCAAAAGCACCCCCGGGTGCAAGTAGATAAATAGGGACCGCTTACTAGCGGGAAGGTAAATGGCGTTCCGTGTGCTGTGCTGGCTCGCCAGATGCAGCTTTGTCACGCTGGCCACGTGACCCGGAAGTGTCTGCGGACAGCGCTGGCCCCGGCCTATAGAGTGAGATGGGCGCACAACCCTAGAGTCTGTCAAGACTGGCCCGTATGGGCAGGGGTACCTTTACCTTTACCAGGAGGGGAAGGGACGCGGGTGGCGCTGTGGGTAAAACCTCAGTGCCTAGGACTTGCTGATCGTATGGTCGGCAGTTCGAATCCCCGCGGCGGGGTGAGCTCCCGTCTTTCGGTCCCAGCTCCTGCCCACCTAGCAGTTCGAAAGCACCCCTAAGTGCAAGTAGATAAATAGGTACCGCTTTATAGCGGGAAGGTAAACGGCGTTTCTGTGTGCTGCGCTGGTGCTGGCTCGCCAGAGCAGCTTCGTCACACTGGCCATGTGACCCGGAAGTGTCTCCGGACAGCGCTGGCCCCCGGCCTCTTAAGTGAGATGGGCGCACAACCCTAGAGTTGGACACGACTGGCCCGTATGGGCAGGGGTACCTTTACCAGGAGGGGAAGGGACAAAGCAGTGGAGAGATCAGTGTGTTGCAGGTGCACTGGTAAAGCCGAACCAGTGCTCCCTGTCTCTCTCCCAGTAAGACACAGTGACCCACCTGCCAATTCTTGCTTCTGAATCTATGTAGAAAACCTCTGGCTTTCCCTGTACAAAGTGTTGTGGAAATCAAACCGCAAGACTTTTTTTTTTTTTTGCATCACATACCTGAAGCTCCTCTTTATTCAAAAGTGTGCCAGGGAGAGGTCCCTTAACATGTTTGTGACAACGAATCTTCTGAGCATGAAACAAAGTGTATAATATTTGATTCAGGTAGGTAACCGTGTTGGTCTGACGCAGTCGAAATGAATAAAACAAATTGCCCAGTAGCACCTTAGAGACCAGCTAGGTTTGTTATGGGTAAAAGTTTTCGTGTGCATGCGCACTTCTTCAGATACACTGAAACAGAAGTCAGCAGACCTTTATACATAGTGGGAGGGTGGGGTGGGGTTTTCTCAGAAGGGTAGTAGGAGATGGGTGATGGCTCAATGGGTATGGTAAACCTGTTGACTGTTAACGACTGCAATTAGCCCTACAGGAAAAAGCAAGGGATATTATGCAGATGACCAAAAATAGCTTTAGCATATGCAATGAGACAAGAATCCAATATCTCTAGTCAGACAAGGTCTCTCCATAGTTTTCAGTTTAGTAAAGGTAAAGGGACCCCTGATCATTAGGTCTAGTCACGGACGACTCTGGGGTTGCGGCGCTCATCTCGCTTTCTTGGCTGAGGGAGCTTCCAGGTCATGTGGCCAGCATGACTAAGCCGCTTCTGGTGAACCAGAGCAGCACATGGAAATGTCGTTTACCTTCCCGCCGGAGCGGTACCTATTTATCTACTTGCACTTTGACATGCTTTCGAACTGCTAGGTTGGCAGGAGCTGGGACTGAGCAACGGGAGCTCACCCCATCGCAGGGATTTGAACCGCCGACCTTCTGATCGGCAAGCCCTAGACTCTGTGGTTTACACTACAGTGCCACCTGCATTAGTAGTAAGTTGTAATTCAGCAACTTCTCTTTCAAGTCTGTTTCTGAGATTCTTTTCTAATAAGACAGCTGCTTTGAGATCCTGTGTTGAATGTCCTGGGAGACTGTTCTCCTACTGGCTTCTCTGTTTTGTGATTCCTGATGTAAGATTTGTGTCCATTTATCCTTTGGCGTAGGGTTTGGCCTGTTTGTCCAATAGAGAGAGCTGCAGGGAACTTCTTTGTATCTGAAGAAGTGTGCATGCACTCAAAAGCTTATACCAAGAACAAACTTAGTTGGTCTCTAAGGTGCTACTGGACAATTTTATTTTATTTGTACAGTAAATGTCACACAGAAAACAATTATTAACTTCCTCAAACATAGTGATAAATTACAAAAAGCTCAAAGCAATATTTCAGCAGCTTAACTGGAATAGTTGTTTGCCCTAAGATTTAGCTCACATAGCACTTATTCTGCTTTACTGACGGACTGTGATTACACATGTTAGAACATTTTTGCACAACTTTGCTTTTGTGGCTAGAGCAGCATCTGAATAATAGAATCATAGAGTTGGAAGAGACCCCAAGGGTCATGTAGTCCCAACCCCCTGCAATGCAGGAATCTTTCACCCAACTTGGGGCTCAAACCCACGACCTTGAGATTAAGAGTCTCATGCTCTACCAACTGAGCTATCCCAAGCCAGCAAATGAAGAAAAGAAAAGGCACTCTGCAGCCTTGTAGTGGGACAGCCCGTGGGTACAGCCAACCACCTCAACCAAACTGTGACAAAGCTTTTGACCAGGTATCTTAACATTTTCACTTTGCAGCAGCTGCAAGCACAAACATCGAGGCCCAGCTCATCTTTTCACCAGCATCTTTCATCCCACGCTCAATAGCAATGAATTTGACCATCCATGCACTGGGACGTGCTATCAATCTCCTGGAGGCAAGTTCCCCTCTGAAACATACTGATAGCTAAATTCTGTGAGCAGTTTGCGTGAATAGGATTTGTTTATAGTTTGTTTTTATTGACAGATTTAAATGTTCACAATTTGCACTTCCATAAAATATATCCGAATATAAATAAAACCAGACAATTATACATAAAACAGAATTTAAAACATTAGCAAATAAGTGGTTGGTCAAAAAGGAAAATTCATCTGTTTAAACATCTCCATTTCCCCCCTCCCAGCCATCCAGTGCTGCTGTGATGGCCCAGCAGCTGTGAGAGCCCAGTTTGTAATCCCAGTGTAATTTGTAGCACCATCTGTTGTTGACCACATGAACTGCAGCATGACAACACCCTTAGGAAAATATGTACAGGCAGCGACCATTTTGCACATGTTCAGTTGATGTGGGACCACTGATGCGTGGTTCATTTTGGACCCAGAAGAGGGTGTAACAGGGGCAGGACATAATGGGGTGTAACAGGGCAGGGCGGTCTTATGCGCACTCCACCGACATGTGCAAATGCCCAGAATGCAACCCTCGCACAAAAAGCGGGTTGCCTGTATTAGGAGAGAAATAATTGGACCAGGATCACCCAGTAAGCTATCCTGCATTTCCTTTTGTGCTAATGTGCAGGGATGTTCTTATCAATGGCCTCCTAAATACCGCCTGTCATTTCTTAGATTGCCATACGGTTAGGGAACATGGAAGATATCGTGCAAAAGTTATTTGGCCTCCATCCAGCTGAAGATGCCAAAGGGAGATTCCACAAGGCAGAACCTCCCATTGAGACGGGACGTAAGGCTTCTCTGAATAAACCAACATTTGAGAGAAATGATCCATCTTCTAAAGAAAGAAAGCCCAGCACAAGGAAGGAGAAGCAGAAGTGCCCAAATGGGCAGTACAATAAGATGAGTGAGTTAGCCAAAAAGGTAACTTAATATGTGGAATCCATAGTGTTCTGTTGTGAGTGCTAACCTCAGTAGAAACAATGATACCTCGGACATCTCCACAGAAGATTCAAATTGAACATATTCTAAGTTCAAATATTGCTTCAGCAACAGACATTCTCAGGCTGAGCCTTAAATAAAAGCTGCAGTTCTGTGTTCTTGGCTAGATCCATTTTTGCAGAGAGGAAGCTCTTCATTTAAAGGGATCCAGCCTGGTGTAGCAACTGTTTGTTTGGACAGTGAGAGAGATTCTGGTTGCACTCAGGTTTTTTGAGCTGGAGTCCTCTGAGTCAGAGGAAGGCAATAATAATAATAATAATAATAATAATAATAATAATAATAATAATAATATGTTCCATAGTGTTTTATTGCAAATGCTAACATCAATAGAAATGGGGGCACCTTGGACAGCTCCTTGGACAGTTTGGGCTGAATACATTCATAGAATCATAGAAGTGTAGAGTTGAAAGGGATCCCAAGGGTCATCTAGTCCAGTGTTTCCCAACCTTGGGTCTCCAGCTGTTTTTGAACTACAATTCCCATCATCCCTGACCACTGGTCTTGCTAGCTAGGGATGATGGGAGTTGTAGTCCAAAAACAGCTGGAGGCCCAAGGTTGGGAAACACTGATCTAGTCCATCTCCCTGAAATGCAGGAATCTTTGCTAAAATATCCATAACAGATGGCCATCCAACCTCTGCCTAGAAACCCCCAAGAATGAAAAGTCTACCACCTTCCAAGGGAGTCCGTTCCAATGTCAAACAGCTCTTCCTGTCAGCAAGTCCTTGCTGATGTTGAATCGGAATCTCCTTTCTTGCAACTTGAAGCCATTTGGTTGAGTCCTACCCTCCAGAGCAGGAGAAAACAAGCTTGCTCCATCTTCCATGGGACAGTCCTTTAGATATTTCAAGATGGCTATCATATCTCCTCTCAATCTCCTCTTTTTCCAGGCTAAATGTACCCAACTCCCTCAACCATTCCTCATAAGGCTTGGTTCCATCTTGGTCGTCGTCCTCTGCACACATTCCAGCTTGTCCATATGCTTCTTAAATTATGGTGCCCAGAACTGGACACAGTACTTGAGATGGGGTCTAACCAAGGCAGACTAGAGTGGTGCTATTACTTCCCTTGATCTGGACACTATACTTCTGTTGATGCAGGCTAGAACAGCATTACCTATATTTCCTCTGCTGCATCACACTGTTGACTCATGTTAAGCTTGCGCTCTGCTGAGATCCCTAGATCCTTTTCACATGTACTACTGGCAAGCCAGGCGTCCCCCATCTTATTTTTGTGCTGCTGGTTATTCCTGCCTAAGTGCAGAACCTTACATTTGTCCCTATTGAAATTCATTTTGTTAGCTTGGGTCCAGCTCTCCAATCTGTTAAGGTCATCTTGAATCCCAATTCTGTCTTCTGCAGCATTAGCTACCCTTCCCAGTTTGGTGTCCTCTGTAAATTTGATGAGCAGCCCCTCAATTCCTTCACCCAGGTCGTTTATAAAGACGTTGAATAACACCAGGCCCAGAACAGAACCCTGTGGCATCTCACTTGTCACCTTTTTCGATGACAAGGAACCATTAGTGAGCACTTTTTGGGGTTGGTTGGACGTTATGGGAGTATGCTTCAGATATTGCTTCAGCAACACTCCTTCTCAGACTGAGCCTTCTTAGCTTTGTCTCCAGGGCTTGTTCTGCCCTTGTAGAGAGGAAGTTCTTCATATAAAAGGCCACAGGCTGATTTAGCAGTTGTTTACTCTGAGAAAACAAGGGAGACTCTGGTTGTAGGCCTTCTGAGCTGGAGTCCTCTGAGTCGTTCTTGGACTGAGGCAATAAAAGGTAGCAGGGGCTCTTCCTGAGTAATGACAGTTTCCTAAACTGGTTTAGCTTATTCTTTAGTCCCAGTTCCTTGCTCCCTCCTGATAGTTGCCTTTGGCTCATCCCTGACATGGAGTCCTCATTCTGAGATCTCTGGCACTTTGCATACGCATTATTATCCCTTTTTAACAATAGATCACTTTGGGGGTTTGTTTCAGAATTACTTTCTACCACTATTTGATGTCGCTGCTTCACACGCACCACTCCCCATCCCCTTTTCTCTTTCCTTCTGCATCAGTTCACCAAAAGGATGGGAAAGAAGAAGAAACCAAAATGTAGTCTGAGCATAAAAGTCTTTGGGAATGAGCTTGCTGTTTTGGACTGCGTGGATCTGAGAAGTCAAGCAAAACTCTATTACCTGAACCTTGTGGAACTAGTGGTAAAACTGCTAAAGGTAAGGGAATCATGAATGGTCACAGCAGGCCGGTGGGGCCTGGTGCTTTCATTGATGTTTGACTTCAGCTCCATCCAGCATAGCCTATGCTCAGAAACCAGAGGCGCCATTTTCTGAAGCCTATTGAGGCGGCCCAACATCACATTGTGCAACATTGCAATGTTGCACACATGGTGTCACACAATGTCCTGATGTTGCTCCAACAATTGGGAGACCAGGCCCCCTAAAAAATACCTACTGAGGGGGCCCACAGTGCCTCAGCCCCCTGGAACCAGTGCTTCTGTCAGAGATGGTGGGAACTGAAGCCCAATAACAACTGGAGGGCAAGAGGTTATGCGAACCTGGGTTTGAGTGTCCATACTGGAAACAGGAAAGCCCAGATTTGAATCCCCACTCAGCCTTGACGTTCAGTGGAACTGGGCCAGTCATACTCTCTGTCTAGCCAACCTCACAGGATAGTTTTAAAAACACAATGAGAGGGGGACAGAGCACATGGTTAGGTAACTTTATATTCTGGACTTGATGGTCTTTTGGTGGGGAGGGGCTCTTTAGATTATGTCAGAATGTAATAAGCCCCCTTGCTGCATTTGGGAACCTACCTGCCATTTTACTGTGTGGGTCCTGAACATCTGCCCCCATATCCTGCTCTGACAGCACCACTAGTTGAAGAGCCATGCATGCTGCCTTGAAGGAAAGGTGAGCGATAAATGTCTATGTCAGGCATAGGCAAACTCGCCCTCCAGATGTTTTGGGACTACAACTCCCATCATCCCTGACCACTGGCCCTGTTAGCTAGGAATGATGGGAGTTGTAGTTCCAAAACATCTGGAGGGCCGAGTTTGCCTATGCCTGGTCTATGTAGCTATAGTCCCGTAGGGCCCAAAGCATTTGTTGGCTTGCTGTTGTACGGTGCCAGCACTGGCGATGGTAATTGTGCCAACAAACAAGTGCTTAGCCATCGTGGATATTATTGCACTACCATTTTATATTTTTATGTAACCATTTCCAACAGGGTCAAGAAGTCCAGTTCAATAAGAGGTTGAGTTTGGCCACAGAGGAACTGCTGTTCCCAGCAATCTCGGGTTTGCCTCTCCTCCTGGCTTTAAATGCCTCAGCAGCAGTCAGTGCAGCAATCCAAGGCAATATGGACTTTAGACAACGGAGCAATTTTTTCGTCAACGGCTATATCAAGCCAAGGTATACACCTGCCTTTAAAGCTCTCTTTGTCAGGAGCTTTTGAAGCAGACCCGTGATCAAGCTCTGTAAAAGGCTAGGGAACCACTTTGATTTCCTCTGTCTTGATGCCAGGAGTGGGTTTCAGGGGCAGGCAGCCATAACGCAAACAACACCTGTGAAGTTAACTCTTCATTCAAAGAAACAAGACAGCTCAGGAGGCCAGGCCTCGTGAGCAAAGCGACTCATCCCCTAGGGTAGATCTCACCTCTGTAAGTAGAGACTGAAGGCCCCTACCCTCCCACATTTCCCTAAGTCTCCTCCTTCTGCGGGTCCCTCTCAAGCAATCTGAGATTCCGTTGCCTTGTCTGTCTCTGCTCCTCCCTCTTCATGCCTCTTCTGGTCCTGGAAGATGAGGGGGGAAGGTAGCTGATCGCAGCAGGAGAGCAAGACCCCCTGGCTTCTTCAGCAGCCTGCCTCATCACTGCCTCTTGGCCCTCTTCCTCTCCAGCCTTTGCTTCCGCCTCTGATTCTGGACTGCTCTCTGCCACAGCCTCTTCCTGCTTACTAAGCCCTGTTACCTCTTCTGCTTCCAACACATCCTCCTCCCAGCCTGCTCCCTCTTCTCCCTTTGACCACTCATCGTCATCCCACCACCAATCCCCAGACTCCCAGCCTTTTTCCTTCGGGGGTTCCCTTGGGGTTTCCCCAGCTGGTGCCTCTCACCACTCTTCTGCCTCCAGCCAGTCCATGACACTTGATTTTACCTGTTGATACACGTGGCTGTCTTTGGCAATGTCTGGAGGCAAAATCTGGTAATAATAATAATAATAATAATAATAATAATAATAATAATAATAATTTATTTTTATCCCGCCCTCCCCAGCCAAAGCCGGGCTCAGAGCGGCTAACAACAATAAAAGTAACACAACATTCTAAAATCAATTCATTTTAAAATCAATTCAAAATCAAATTCATGGCAACCATTGGGCTAGAGTTCTGTGAGGATTACCAAAGGAGGGGGTCAGACTGTGCCTTGGCCAAAGGCCTGCTGGAACAGCTCTGTCTTGCAGGCCCTGTGGAAAGATGTCATGTCCTGCAGGGCCCTAGTCTCTTGTGACAGAGCATTCCACCAGATCGGGGCCACAGCTGAAAAAGCCCTGGCTCTGGTTGAGGCCAGCCTAACCCCCCTGTGGCCCGGGACCACCAAGATTAAGGACCACCAAGATTAAGGTCCGTAAGGTCCTCCGTGGGACATACCAGGAGAGGCAGTCCCATAGGTACGAGGGTCCTAGGCCGTATAGGGCTTTAAAGGTTAAAACCAGCACCTTAAACCTGATCCTACCAACCAATGCCCTAACTTTTTACAGAGGTAGTCCACCAGCATACCATCTAGGATTTCACAGATAAAAACACCCCTGTTCTCACAACCAAGGAGCAAACTCTATCCATTCTGCTACCATACATTAGAAGTGGGGCCCTGCAGCGTGGAGTGCTTCTCTTCAGGGTCTCAGAAACGCCGTTCCATTTCTCCTCTTCCTTTTTTCATCTCCAACACTTTGTCAGCACACTGTGCTTGCTGAGCATACTCAGTCCTCACGGGGTGATTTCCCCCAGGTTGGGAGGAGGGAATAGCAGGCAGATGCAGCCCTAAAGCAAAGATATCGCTCTTGACCATGCAACCTGTTTCTCCCTGTGCTTCTTGGTAGTGCTGTCTTTCAGATTTCTGCCCAAATGGGAACTGTGGGAACTCTGGGGGAAACTGGCTTGAGCTGGTCAACTGGATTAAGGTCCTCAGCCAGCCTTGATGGAGGGATCCAAGTGAAAAAGGGGAAAGAGGTTAAGGTTTTTCTGAACACTCCCGAAGAATCTATGGAGATGGTTTATTTCAGGTAAAGTAATGCCCATGTCCTCATATTCTAGGATCTGAATGATAATTTTCTTAAATGCTTTTTTCTTTCCCATGCAAATATCTGCATTTGAGTTCTGTATGGTCCCCCCCCCCCAGTGAAGGCTAGAAAACTTTGAAAAACTAATTAATGGATGCCCTGATGCAACATGTTTCTGGTCTTCACTCCAAGTGCTGGCTTGGAGATTCCACGAATGCAACCATCCTAGTTCACTCTTTCCCATTCTTGTTTTCAAATTAGTTTTTCTTAAAACTGGGGATGCCAGAGATCAAATCTGAGATCTTTTGCATACAAATAATAATAATAATAATAATAATAATAATAATAATAATTTATTATTTGTACCCCGCCCATCTGGCTGGGTTTCCCCAGCCACTCTGGGCGGCTTCCAACAAAGATGAAAAATACACTAAAATGTCACATATTAAAAACTTCCCTGAACAGGGCTGCCTTCAGATGTCTTCTGAATGTCAGGTAGTTGTTTATCGCTTTGACATCTGATGGGAGGGCGTTCCACAGGGAGGGTGCCACTACCGAGAAGGCCCTCTGCCTGGTTCTCTGTAACTTGGCCTCTCGCAGTGAGGGAACCGCCAGAAGGCCCTCGGAGCTGGACCTCAGTGTCCGGGCAGAACGATGGGGGAAGAGATGCTCCTTCAGATATACTGGACCGAGGCCATTTAGGGCTTTAAAGGTCAGCACCAACACTTTGAATTGTGCTCGGAAACGTACTGGGAGCCAATGTAGGTCTTTCAAGACCAGTGTTATATGGTCTCGGCGGCCGCTCCCAGTCACCAGTCTAGCTGCCGCATTCTGGATTAATTGTAGTTTCCGGGTCACCTTCAAAGGTAGCCCCACGTAGAGCGCATTGCAGTAGTCCAAGCGGGAGATAACAAGAGCATGCACCACTCTGGCGAGACAGTCTGCAGGTAGATAGGGTCTCAGCCTACATACCAGATGGAGCTGGTAAACAGCTGCCCTGGATACAGATTTGACCTGTGCCTCCATGGACAGCTGTGAGTCCAGAATGACTCCCAGGCTGCGCACCTGATCCTTCAGGGGCACAGTTACCCCATTCAGGACCAGGGAATCCTCCACACCTGCCCGCCTCCTGTCCCCCAAAAACAGTACTTCTGTCTTGTCAGGATTCAACTTCAATCTGTTAGCCGCCATCCATCCTCCAACCGCCTCCAGACACTCACACAGGACCTTCACCGCCTTCACTGGTTCTGATTTAAAAGAGAGGTAGAGCTGGGTATCATCTGCATACTGATGAACACCCAGCCCAAACCTCCTGATGATCTCTCCCAGTGGCTGCATGTAAATGTTGAAAAGCATGGGGGAGAGGCACCCCACAAGTGAGAGCCCAGGGGTCTGAACACACATCCCCCACCACCACTTTCTGAACACGGCCCAGGAGGAAGGAGCGGAACCACTGTATGACAGTGCCCCCAGCTCCCAGCCCCTCAAGACGGTCCAGAAGGATGTTATGGTCGATGGTATCAAACGCCGCTGAGAGATCCAGCAGAACTAAGAAACAGCTCTCACCTTTGTCCCTAGCCCGCCGGAGATCATCAACCAGTGCGACCAAGGCAGTTTCAGTCCCATGAATCCCGACTGGAAGGGATATGCCCTACCTCTGAACTCTTGTCCCTTCCTTAAATCCATTGTAAATAATAACAATCATCATCATCATCATCATCACACGATGTTGTCTTCCTTGGATTGAATTGTACTGTCTTTGCTTCTTTTTTACAGCTCTGAACTGTATGTGATGACTGTGGATGGAATGGAAACTGCTCACGGTTTCCCAAGCCATAGCGAGACTAGATCATGCACAAGTGAGGAAGGTAAGTTTTTATCATTTACGTCTAATATATAGCAACCAGTTGTCGCCTTGCTCTTAACTATCGTTGGGAGCACGTTCCTTCAGGAGCTAAACGTCCCCCCAAATTTTGCCTGCAGAAAATGGAAATTCTGCAAACAAGGGTTAGCAAGAGAGAGTGTGTATGAGGAATAATGAATACAGATTTACGGCAAACTGACATCTGAGATGAATGCAGTTTAGAAATCATAGAGTTGAAAGGGACCACGGGGATCATCTAGCCCAACCCCTTGCAATGCAGGAGTCCTTTGCCTGATGTGTGGCAACCCTGAGATTAAGAGCCACATGCTCTACCAACTGAGCTATCCAGGCATCCTCTGAACCCATTCCCTACTGCTAATTCCCTTGACCTGCTTCATCTTTTTCTTTATCAAGTTTACACCCCATATTTCCATTAAAAATGTGTCCTGAGTGGCACAAAATGAATGGAAATAGGCAACCATAACAAAATATATGAGAAGATTAAAAACAAGTCAATGAAACAGCCAGGAAAGCAATAAGACCTGTACAGGATGGAAGTATGAAAGGAATCATGGAGGGTGAGCTGCTAACCCTGTGGCTGTGCTCTACCTGCCCAGTCAGAGACGGCATGCCTCTGTGGTGGTGCCAGTGTGGTGTAGTGGTTAAGAGCAGTAGTCACGTAATCTGGGGAACTGGGTTCGCATCTCCGCTCCTCCACATGCAGCTGCTGGGTGACCTTGGGCTAGTCACACTTCCCTGAAGTCTCTCAGCCCCACTCACCTCACAGAGTGTTTGTTGTGGGGGAGGAAGGGAAAGGAGATTGTGAGCCGCTTTGAGACTCCTGAAGGGGAGTGAAAGGCGGGATATCAAATCCAAACTCTTCTTCTTCTTCTTCTTCAAGGCCAGCTACTGGGAATCAAAAATCGAGAGAGTACTTTAGGGCTCAGGTTTTACTTGTGGGCTCACCATAGACATTCAGTTGGCCACTCCAGGATGCTGAGCTAGATTGGCTCTGGCCTGATCCAGGGGGCCTCTTCTAATGTTCTGATAGAATACCGGAACATGACAAATTAGCCAGATTTATTCTTTGCATTGGAAGGTGCCAGATAAGCACCAGAACTTTTATTTTTGAAGGTGGCACCTGAGCAGCGATGACAAAGGTGGCAAAGGAAGAAACTGCACAAGCTAGGGCTGGATAAGTCTTCATCGCAGAGTACATAAAATGATTTAAATGTGAAATAAATAAATAAATAAATTTTATTTATACCCCGCCCTCCCCAGCCAAGACCAGGCTCAGGGTGGCTAACGCCAGGTATAAAAACAATTGATTGAAATACAACTTAAAAAAACAAGATTAAAATACAACATTAAAATGCAGCCTCATTTCAGTAGAAACTCAAATCAAAAACTTCACCAAGGCTAACTATCCAGACTGGTCCTACGTGGGCCAGAAAAAAGCCAGGGAAGTCCCCAAGTAGGAGTTCCATTACAGAAGGAGAAAGGAAAAAAGAAAGAGGGGGAGTGACTCAAGTTGATTCCAAGCCAAAGGCCAGGCAGAACAACTCTGTCTTACAGGCCCTGCGGAAAGAAACCAGATCCTGCAGGGCCCTGGTCTCAGGAGACAGAAATGACTGAATTGTTGACAATGCAGTTCCTAAAAACAGCCTTTCTCCTTTCTTGGATTCACCAGATGAACTATTCTCTTCCTTTTACCCACCCACCCCTTTTCCCCCACCCCTCTTTCAACCAGTGTCGAAGGCATTGGGCTGGCAACTGTGCTCCGAGATCTCTACCCCTGACGATGAGACCAGCGGTTTCATTCTTCCATTTCCCGGACCAGCAAAATTTGCCATAACGTTAAAGAAGCAAGACCGAAGCCTGTACCAGTACTTAATGAAAGCTGCATATAATTATATTTCTCAGGTTCAGACACCGCCCTTCAATCTGGATATGTATTACTCATTCCTTCTACATGCAATGATCAGGCTGCGAGGGCCGGCGCATGTTTTCACTGGTGCGATGAGATGGGGCAGAATGTGGTGGCAACTGCAGAGAAGAAGGGCCTGTGTCCTTGAGAATTGGCAAAGTGGGGGAGGGGAGTAGAGGCAGGGGACACCGCCCCCTTCCCATAGCAGTCCTGATATAAAGCTACAATATAATGCCCCATTGAACTTGAAAGGAAAGTGCTATTTATAAATAAATCCCAACTATATAATAATATAATAATTTATTATTTATACCCCGCCCATCTGGCTGGGTTTCCCCAGCCACTCTGGGTGGCTTCCAACCAAATATTAAAAACAATGCAGTGCCAGACATTAAAAACTTCCCTAAACAGAGCCACCTTCAGTTGTCTTTTAAAAGTCAGATAGCTGTTTATTTCCTTGACATCTGCTGGGAGGGCGTTCCACAGGGCGGGCGCCACTACCGAGAAGGCCCTCTGCCTGGTTCCCTGCAACATCACTTATCGCAGGGAGGGAACCACCAGAAGGCCCTCGGTGCTGGACCTCAGTGCAACTAATTACTAAAACAACCACCCATACGTTTGCATGAGACTATTAGAAAGATGCCTACCTACAGGGTTGCCATATGTCCAGGATTTCCCAGATATATCTGGAATCCAACTGTATCTAGCAGGGTCTGGGCAGAAATCGGGCAAATGTCTGGTAAAATCTGGACATATGGCAGCCCATGTTGGCAGTGCTGTTTTTGCCAATTTTTGATAAAAATTAGCTCAAAAACAGCAAAAAAAAAGTGCACTTTTGCCCAAGAAAGCTCAACAACTTTTCTGTCTGTATTTTCACTGTTTGAAATATGGCAACACTACCTACTGTATTTTTTGCTCTATAAGACTCTCTTTTTCCCTCCTAAAAAGTAAGGGGAAATGTGTGTGCGTCTTACGGAGCGAATGCAGGCTGCGCAGCTATCCCAGAAGCCAGAACAGCAAGAGGGATTTGCTGCTTTCACTGCGCAGCGATCCCTCTTTCTGTTCTGGCTTCTGAGATTCAGAATATTTTTTTTCTTGTTTTCCTCCTCTAAAAACTAGGTGCGTCTTGTGGTCTGGTGCGTCTTATAGAGCGAAAAATACGGTACCTATCATAACTGCAGCTTCATAGGATAGCCTCTGTATATACTGTGCTTTATGATTGCATCACAAAGAGCACAATCCTTTTGCTAACGCCGTAACATGGGCAATGAGCATAAGGAGTTAAGACGCAGCCTGCTGGATGAGACCAAAGTTAGTTTACACCACAAACGGATCCAAACATATCCAAATAGTATCTCTATATTATACTAATGCAAGTTTACAAAATCACATACAAAACAATTGCAACCACACCATACACACAGCTACCTGGAAAAAGCTCATTCCGACAATGAATCTTTCTGAAGCTCCTGCAGATAAAAATTGGCAATTTCTAATTCCTTAGGAAAAATTATTTGACAAACCCCAGCTTGAATTAATAGCGGATCAGGTGCCTGACCATTCTCCTTCTCTAGAGCCCCATAACCTTGGGGAGGGCAGCACTCCTCACCTCTCCTCCCCCCAACACCATAGGCTCCACTTAACAAGGCACATTTTCTCTCAACAAAGCTGATGTGCGCACATCACCAATGCATTGTTTCCTTCCCATAATACAGATACAGTAGCCCCCTCCATACATAAAAGGGGCCCAAACAATATCACGTTGCTGGAATGACCAGACAGCCGTATCTGACTAAGTTCTACTCAGAATAAACTCATTGAAATTAATGGGCTTAAGTTAGCCATCTGGAAGGCCACAGATTCCTCACCCCTCCTCTATAAGCCAAAAAGAGCAAGTTAGCCACAGGTGTGCAAGAACTGCCCATGTCCCCAACTCCCAACAGTTCTCCTGCAGGTGTTGCTAGTAAGAACAGTAGTGGTAATTGTAGTTCTTCTTTTTCTTCCCAGAAAGGTTCCTGGATCCCAAGTGAAGCTGGCCTGCATTTCTTTATAGGGACTCCAAAATCCGAGTTGAAAAGGGAGGTTGCTATCAACTTCCATTTGAATATCCCTCAAAAGAAATTCAGAATTGAATTTATCCACCCCAAGAAAAAAATGCAAGTGAATGGTAAGATTCTCACCACCACCCATTAAAAGGCTGTTGACTTCCATTTAAAATGTGTTGTCTCTCCCATTGTGAGAGAGGTACGGTATATGTAAGGCTTAGGTCGCTCACTAGGAGTAGAGGTCGTGAATTTTACCTTGGATATTATAATTAGCACAGGCTCATGCATTGCTATTCGCTCCATAATGTCCTCAAATAAATGTCCGTCACCTGATGATACCTGAGATTTGACACATCCCGTGAAATTATCCTTTCATTCATTCTGCAGAATTTGTTAAATACTGTTAGATAATCTACCGTTTATTCCTATTTTACAGATAAGACTACTGTGGTTGATGAATGGTGTGTGTGTGTGTGTGTGTGTTTGTGCGTTTGTGTTTTATGTAACCCGAAGCACACCATGCATCCATGGTAAATATGTGACTAGGACCCAAAGTACCCTGCAACTGTACAGGCTCTCTTGCATGTGGATTATTTTATTTATTCATTTATTATTACATTTCTAATCTATCCCCCACTTTCCTCCATGTTGCTCAAGGTGGGATACATGGTTCTTAATCCTCTCCATTTTATCCCCATGACAGCACTGTGAGGTAGGCTAGGCTGAGAGACTATGACTGCCCCAAGGTCACTTCATGAGCTTCATGGCTGAATACTACTACTACTACTAATAATAATAATAATAATAATAATAATAATACAGTGGTACCTCGGGTTACAGACGCTTCAGGTTACAGACCATGCTAACCCAGAAATAGTACCTTGGGTTAAGAACTTTGCTTCAGGATGAGAACAGAAATCGTGCAGCAACAGCAGTGGGAGGCTCCATTAGCTAAAGTGGTACCTCAGGTTAAGAACAGTTTCAGATTAAGAACGGACCTCCAGAACGAATTAAGTTCTTAACCCAAGGTACCACTGTAATAATAATTTATTTATACCCCGCCCACCTGGCTGGGTTTCCCCAGCCACTCTGGGCGGCTTCCAGCAAAAGATTAAAAATACCATATTTTTTGCTCTATAAGACTCACTTTTTCCCTCCTAAAAAGTAAGGGGAAATGTGTGTGCGTTTTATGGAGCGAATGCAGGCTGCACAGCTATCCCAGAAGCCAGAACAGCAAGAGGGATTGCTGCTCTCACTGCACAGTGATCCCTCCAGCTGTTCTGGCTTCTGAGATTCAGAATATTTTTTTCTTGTTTTCCTCCTCCAAAAACTAGGTGCGTCTTGTGGTCTGGTGCGTCTTATAGAGTGAAAAATACGGTACATTAAAACATCAGTCATTAAAAACTTCCCTAAACAGGGCTGTCTTCAGATGTCTTCTAAAAGTCAGATAGTTGTTTATTTCCTTGACATCTGGTGGGAGGGTGTTCCACAGGGTGGGTGCCACTACCGAGAAGGCCCTCTGCCTGGTTCCCTGTATCCTCTTCTCGTAGTGAGGGAACTGTCAGAAGGCCCTCGGAGCTGGACCTCAGTGTCCGGGCTGAACGACGGGGGTGGAGATGCTCCTTCAGGTATACTGGGCCAAGTAAGGATTTAAACCCGGGTTTTTCAGGTCCTAGTCCAACACTCTAACCACTACACCACGCCGGCTATCAATGGGCAAATCAGCAAATAAAAATCACATACACTTCCTTCTGTATCTATCAGGAAACATTGAAGCCTCTAGAAATTCACGTGTGGGGCATCTGGAGCTGATAGTTGATGATGACAACATCTACTACATCAAGGTAAGCATGCTCTTGCAGCCAAGGATGTTGCCCATGGCATGGGCAAAGGAACAAGATGATAAGCTGCTCACCAGGGAGCTGTCTGCCTTGATTGTGCAACATCCTTCCTAAGGTCTATAATGTAAAGGTAAAGGGACCCCTGACCATTAGGTCCAGTCGTGACCGACTCTGGGGTTGCGGAGCTCATCTCGCTTTATTGGCCGAGGGAGCTGGCGTACAGCTTCCAGGTCATGTGGCCAGCATGACTAAGCCGCTTCTGGCGAACCAGAGCAGCGCACGGAAACGCCCTTTACCTTCCCACTGGAGCGTTACCTATTTATCTACTTGCACGTTTTTGGCATGCTTTTGAACTGCTAGGTTGGCAGGAGCAGGGACCGAGCAATAGGAGCTCACTCCGTCACGGGGATTTGAACCACCGACCTTCTGATCGGCAAGCCCTAGGCTCTGTGGTTTAACCCACAGCGCCACCCACATCCCAAGGTCTATAATGTATCCCACAGCTATTGCTTACCATTGGCTATGTTCTCTCTCCACTCACAAAAGGTGGTATGCCTTTGAATGCCAGTTTCTGGGAATCTCATGAGGGAAGAGTGCTATTGCACTCAAGTTCCGCTTGCAGGTTTCGCAGAGGCATCTAGTTGGCCACTGTGAGAACAGGATGATGGACTAAACTTGGTTGGTTAGAACATGGTGCTGATAACCCCAAGGTTGCAGGTTCGATCCCTGAATGAGACAGCTAGATATTCCTGCATTGCAGGAGGGTTGGTTAGATGATCCTCAGGGTTCCTTCCAACTCTACAATTCTTCCCCCCCCCCCAAAAAAAATTGTTTATTCATTTTATAACACAAATAAAAAACACAAACAGAAAAGACAAACAATACAAACCAATTCTTATCATATCCTTATTTTTCTAAACATTGTTAAGTGGGCTTCCCCAAGTCCCACCTATCTGATTTTCATTTTACTTCATCTTTAGCAGTTTACATACATCATAATTTCTAAGCATCTTTTGTATTTTTAATCACACTTAAAATAACTTCACATTTTTCACTTACAAATAATACTATTTTAAAATATCCCATGTTCTACTTACAGCCTATATCCACTTCCAAAGCTATTCTAAGATTTAAATATTAACATATTTTTTCTAATATTCCTTAAACTCCTTCCAACTCTTTAATTCTATGCTTCTATGATTAGGTGGATCGGGACGCGGGTGGCGCTGTGGGTAAAAGCCTCAGCGCCTAGGGCTTGCCGATCGAAAGGTCGGCGGTTTGAATCCCCGCGGCGGGGTGCGCTCCCGTCGTTCGGTCCCAGCGCCTGCCAACCTAGCAGTTCGAAAGCACCCCCGGGTGCAAGTAGATAAATAGGGACCGCCTTCTAGCGGGAAGGTAAACGGCGTTCCGTGTGCTGCGCTGGCTCGCCAGAGCAGCGATGTCACGCTGGCCACGTGACCCGGAAGTGTCTCCGGACAGCACTGGCCCCCGGCCTCTTGAGTGAGATGGGCGCACAACCCTAGAGTCTGTCAAGACTGGCCCGTACGGGCAGGGGTACCTTTACCTATGATTAGGTGGGCCTTTGCATTGCTCCAGCTGAGCACTTCTTATGTCCTTACATTTTCTGTTTAAGGATGCCCAATTGGGTGTGTGTGTTATTTGCAGGGAAGGGCAGATCTGCACATGGCAGCTGCAGAGCAGAGGTACACAAGCCACCTGGAGACAAAGTTGCTGAGAGATGGGAGCCCCATAGTTCTTTCAGGAAATCTCACAAAACAGCCTGGGAAGAAGATGGCATTTTCAGTATCCTTGATTAATCTACTGAAGGACTCGGCTTTCCTTTCAGGTCAGTGCATATCACAAGAGGTGTGTGTCTGTTTGTTTTATTTAATAAAATGCATATACTGCTCAATTGTAGGATAAACCTCAAAGCAGTTTATGGAAAAGATAAAGCAATAAAATTATCCCTTAAAAAACTCACAACCATAATTTCAAACATGGAAAGTTAAAAACCAAACCAGAATAGACTAAAACAAATGAAAACTCGCATTAGCTTTCTAAACATCTGAGTATAGGTAAAGGTAAAGGGACCCCTGACCATTAGGTCCAGTCGTGGCCGACTCTGGGGTTGCGGCGCTCATCTCGCTTTACTGGCCGAGGGAGCCGGCGCCAGTACAGCTTCCGGGTCATGTGGCCAGCATGACTAAGCCGCTTCTGGCGAACCAGAGCAGCTCACGGAAACGCCGTTTACCTTCCCACCGGAGCGGTACCTATTTATCTACTTGCACTTTGACGTGCTTTTGAACTGCTAGGTTGGCAGGAGCTGGGACCGAGCAACGGGAGCTCACCCCGTCACGGGGATTTGAACCGCCGACCTTCTGATCGGCAAGTCCTAGGCTCTGTGGTTTAACCCACAGCGGCACCCGCATCCCAAACATCTGAGTAGGCTTGTCTAAATAAGAATATCTTCAGCAGGCGCTGAAAAGAATACAGTGAGAGCACCTGCCTGATATCAAAAGGCAGGGAGTTCCAAAGTACCACACTAGACGATCAAGTTCCTACAGATGCGGTGAGGGTATTATGTGTTCATACGAGCATCTCACAAGTTCATTGAACACCTGATCAGGGAGTGGGGCTGTGCCCACTAGTCCTTTTTCCTGGCTGATGGTCATGCTGGACACGTGTGTTTTGCTATGCTTGCTTTCCTGCAGGTGGGTTATTGTTGCTTATTAGGAGGGGAAGGGGTGGTGCAAACGCATTAGCAGAGCTAGTCTGGTGATCCTGCTGTGCATTTGCACTGCACGGCCTTCCCCACCCCCTCCCACCTGCCAGGAAACTGGCACAGCAACTGTGTCCCACCTGGTAAGCCACTTCTGCAGGTATCTGATCTCCCAGTGGTATCAACTGATGGTACTGTTTCTATTGTTTCTTTTTTTAAAAAAAAAAAATTTTTTTATTAATTTTCCAAACACATAAAAAAAAAAACAATACACAAGACAGAAACATACAAACATATAAACATGTATAATTTCATAATCTTATTTTCATGCACCTTACTTCCCGGACTTCCCCATACCTCCCCTTTTCTGCATCCTTGTTTTACATTTCTTCAGCAACTCCTCCAATTAATTACTTATTTAATTTTACTTTCATTAGACTTTTTTTCCCCTTTTTTTCTTTTTTTTCTTTTTTTTCTTTTTTCTCTTTGACTTGTTGATTACAGCTGCTCTTGTTTCTTTAGTGTGTATGGAGAAGAAAGCAGATGATAAGCTGAAGCAGTATTCACTGGAGGGAGAAACCCACATTCCAGGAGTTCTTGGATCTCACATCATTGCTCTTCTGCAACAGCGAGGGGACATCTGGTCCAGTGCCCTGAGAGTTAAATATGGATTGTTTGGTACTCAGTTCTTATACTGTACTAATACAAAAACAAAGTTGAGCTTTATTGCCTTTGTCAGTGTTGTTTTTGCTCTCGTGCAGAAGGATCTGATTGGCTACTGTGGGAAATGGGATGCCGGACTAGATAGAGACTTCATTTAATCCGGCAGGGCTGTTCTGTTCTTAATGCAAGGTATAGGGATGGGGAAGAAATTTGATTCAGTCCACACTTAAAGGTGAACTTAACTTAATTTGCACTTTCCAAAACGACTTCACAAACCAGAATGCAGCCACCTTTCAAAATTTGCACTTCTCTGAATTTTGCAATGCAATTCTCCAAGCAAGTAATGTGTACAAAAATTCATATGCTGGGGGTAAGCCATGCATAAAATGCATGTATTCCTGAAAATCACATACAAAAATGCATTATATAAGGGGAATTTGTTTGCAAAAAAATGTGTAAATTAGGAAAGATTGCACATAGAAATGTGTATATCAGGAGAACTTTTCATTAGAATCGTGATAAACTTTCACAAACCTATGTGGAGAACTGAACTTAAGACTGGAAACATGAGAAGCTGTAAGAAACCAGAATGGACAGAGTCACACATCCCTCATGAGGTGTGAGCGTAGATCTGCCTTCCCTATTAGCAGTAACTGTGCCTGAGTGCTGTGAAAACAGAACAACGTCATTTAGTAAATATCTCTGTATGTACATTTGTGTTTTACCTGGAGCAGGAGCTGCAAAAAGCCTTCAGCATGAATGTACCACGGGCCAGAAGTTGAAAGTGGAGAATGTCCCAAAGGATGCCTACCGGCTAGATTTGGAGCATGAATTCTATTGCACACAGATTTTAGCCTACAACCACAAGGTAAAGCATTTAGTTCATTTACCGCACAGGTAGGCAAACTAAGGCCCGGGGGCTGGATCCGGCCCAATAGCCTTCTAAATCCGGTCCACAGATGGTCCAGGAATCAGCATGTTTTTACATGAGTAGAATGTGTCCTTTTATTTAAAATGCATCTCTGGGTTATTTGTGGGGCCTGCCTGGTGTTTTCTACATGAATAGAATGTGTGCTTTTATTTAAAATGCATCTCTGGGCTATTTGTGGGGCATAGGGACTCATTCATTCTCTCCCCCCCCCCCGCAAAAAAAAAATATAGTTCAGCCCCCCACAAAGTCTGAGGAAGAGTGGACCAACCCCCTGCTTGAACAAGTTTGCTGACCCCTGATTTACCAGAACAATTATGAATCCTGAGAAATGGTGCTGAATCCAGATTTCTTCCTCATGGAAACTAAATAATGAAGACGCAAGATGCACTCTTGTGAGAAGGGAATTCTACAACTTAGCAGCTGCCACAGAGATCTGCTTTTACCTGATGCTGAAAAGTGGGGTGGAGTTGGCTCTAGGTTAGGATGTGGGCATTGTGTAAGAGATGTGACAGTACAGGTCACTCCACAATCTGCACCCCCCCCCCCCCAGCTATGGGTTGCTGTTAAGGTTGGGGATAGAGGTGAAATTTGTTCAGTCTGCTTTTTGCAGCAGACCATTCCAATTTGACTGTCCCGCACTAGCTTGCAGATCACAACACTTCCCCATCTACCAGATACAGTGATGCCTCGCAAGATGAAATTAATTCGTTCCGCAAGTTTTTTCTTCTTGCGAGTTTTTTGTCTTGCGAAGCACGGTTTCCCATAGGAATGCATTGAAAATCAATCAATGCGTTCCTATGGAAAGCGACTTCAGACCAGGTCCGGGGACAGTCTGTCCCCCGACCTCTTCTGAAGGCTGGGGGGGGGACAAGGGCTTTTCTTCCCACCCCCAGCATTTTAAAAAACCCCAGGACAGCGGAGACTTCTCCGCTGTCCCGGGGCGATCTTAAAATGCTGGCGGGCGGCAGCTAAGCCTCCGCTGCCGCCCGCCAGCATGTTAAAAAACCCCGGGACAGCAGAGGACTTCTCCGCTGTCCGGGGCGATCTTAAAATGCTGGTGGGCAGCAGCTAAGCCTCCGCTGCCGCCCGCCAGCATTTTAAAAAACCCCGGGACAGCGGAGGATTTCTCCGCTGTCCGGGGCGATCTTAAAATGCTGGCGGGCGGCAGCTAAGCCTCCGCTGCCGCCCACCAGCATTTTAAAAAACCCCGGGACAGTGGAGGACTTCTCCGCTGTCCGGGGTGATCTTAAAATGCTGGCGGGCGGCAGCTAAGCCTCCGCTGCCGCCCGCCAGCATTTTAAAATCGCCCCGGGACAGCGGAGGACTTCTCCGCTGTCCCAGGGCGATTTAAAAGCCCCGGGAAGGCAGGCAGGGGGGAGCAAAGACTTTTGCCCCCCGCCGGCCTTCAGAAGAGGTCCTGGACCTCTTCTGAAGGCCGGCGGGGGGCGAAAGTCTTTGCTCCCCCCCCCCGCCTGCCATCAAAAGCCGTCCGGGATAGCGGAGAAATGAAGGCTGGCGGTGAGAGGAGGTCTCTCCGCCCCACCGCCAGCCTTCGGAGGAGGTCCGAGGACAGTGCAGAAGACGCGCTGCGCTTCCCCGCTGTCCCGGAGATTTCCCTATGGGCTTTCGTCTTGCGAAAGGAAGCCCATAGGGAAATTCGTTTTGCGAAGCGCCTCCAAAACGGAAAACCCTTTCGTCTAGCGGGTTTTCCGTCTTGCGAGGCGTTCGTCTTGCGGGGCACCACTGTATTTCAATGCAGCTTCGGTATACAAAAAGTGCCCACAAAAATAGGTATTTTATGGTTTAAATGTGTGCCAAATGTGTATTATAAAAACAATGCACTGAAAAGCATGGCAAAATAGGAATTTTGGGAGAAACGTGTGCCTTAATGCACATAATAAAATATACAGCTTAAATGCGAACTTTTTGTGCATTCTTTCAAAAATATCTGCACAAAACAGGGTGGAATGAATGCTAAGATTTGAACACCAGTCTGAATGAAACGGGGCTGATTTAGATTCCTCCGTCCATTCCTGGCAGTGCGCCATTGAGAAGCCCGTCACCGCTGAAGATTTTAAGACATGAGCTGGCTGCTATAAGGAATGTAGTAATTATTTAGTGCCAATTAAAAAAACCCAAGTTGCTATTCCACAGGTCGATCTACGTCACGAAGAAACGGTCTCTCGCCTGCATTCCCGACTAGAGCTGAACTATGGAAAACACTGGGACGAAATCAACAACAAGCGGAGAGTGATAGTCAGCCAGACATTTACAAATAGTTCTCGTCCAGCTCTGACTAGCTATTTCATGGAGGTAAAAGTAAAAGACCCAGTGGTGTTGCAGCAGTTGAGATGATGACTAAGGAATTGCATCTCGGTGAAAACCTATAAAGATGATGGAGAAGTCTCTGTAACTGTTGGGAAATAGGTCCTCTTGTTCAGATATTCTCTTCGAAGGCCGCATCCACACCATATGTTTAAACCACTATTGAACAGTCATGGCTTCCCCCAAAGAGTCCTGGGAGGTTGGGAGCAGGTGTTTGTTAAGGGTGCTGAGAGTTGTTAGACGACACCCCTGTTTCCCTCACAGAACTACAATATCCAGAGTAGAAACAAAACTTTAAAAATTCCTTCCAGTAGCAGCTTAGAGACCAACTAAGTTTGTTATTGGTATGAGCTTTCATGTGCATGAAGTGTGCATGCACATGAAAGCGCATACCAATAACAAACTTAGTTGGTCTCTAAGGTACTACTGGAAGGAATTCTTTTATTTCGTTTCAACTACGGCAGACCACCTGTAACTAACAATATCTAGAGTAGTTTAACAGTCAAGCCCTCTTCCCAGGTAACTGGGAATTGTAGCTCTGGGAAGGGAATATGGAGGGTCTCCCAGTCATGTGCACGAATTCCTGGGGACCAAGGCTCTTTGGGTCCCCTCAATGTTTTTTTTAGTGCAAGCCCCTCCCGCCCTGCCACCACCATTGCTCAGGACATTGCTAGGACGTTGCACATGTGATGCCAGGATATCATGTTGGGTCCCTTTAATGTTTTTTGGAAACTGGCACCTTTGCTACCAGTAGACCATGCTGGCATGGGTAGGGCAAGGGGCAGATGAACAATGCCACCCAGCTCACCGCTATTGTGAATACCATGATCACGCAGCTTTACTTTGAACTTCCGGTAGTCTCTCTTCTGCCGTATGAAATGCAGCCCCCTTTTTCTGTCCCCCAGTTCACCATTCAAGTGCCCGAAAAGCAAGTGGATTACAGAACTCAGCTCCAGCACTCCTGTTCCATACAGAGCTCCACAGAAATAAGCACCCACTTCAAAGTGCACTATAACAACCGCATCCCTTTTGTGGTGGGGCTGCAGTGGAAAGAGACATCAAGGCATTCTCTGAAGAAATGGGAAGGTATGTACAAACACACACACACACACACACCACAAGGCTTGTTTTAATATTTTGTTTTAATATTTGTAGTCTGCTTTTCCAACAACAGATGTTGGAATCGGCTCACGATAATAACAAAGGCATTGGCAAACATATTCTGCATGCTCTGAACAGAAAAGCAGCCGCTTCTGAACATTTGAAGAAAGGTATATATTATGTGTAGACACACACACACACACACACACACAGAGAGAGAGAGAGAGAGAGTTGTTGGCATTCGTCTTCTCAAGAGACAATGGAGTGTGCCTGCAGAGAGAGAGAGAGAGAGAGTTGTTGGCATTCGTCTTCTCAAGAGACAATGGAGTGTGCCTGCAGAGAGAGAGAGAGAGAGAGTTGTTGGCATTCGTCTTCTCAAGAGACAATGGAGTGTGCCTGCAGAGAGAGAGAGAGAGAGAGTTGTTGGCATTCGTCTTCTCAAGAGACAATGGAGTGTGCCTGCAGGGGTGAAGTAAAAAAAACTACATTAGCAGCACCGAAGTGATCTCCCCAGGTCACAACTCTATGTCAGACAAGCCATGCTCATCAGCCCTACACCTGACATCCTATAAGATGTAAGTTGTGGGGCAGGTAAAGGTGAGACCTGTTCAGAGGGGACTCAGCAACAGATACAGTGGTACCTTGGGTTACATATGCTTCAGGTTACATACACTTCAGGTTACAGACTCCGCTAACCCAGAAATGGTACCTCGGGTTAAGAACTTTGCTTCAGGATGAGAACAGAAATCATGCAGCGGCGGTGCGGCGGCAGCGAGAGGCCCTATTAGCTAAAGTGGTGCTTCAGGTTAAGAACAGTTTCAGGTTAAGAACAGACCTCCAGAACGAATTAAGTTCTTAACCCGAGATACCACTGTACAACTAAACATTTATTAAATGAGGAACGATCATTCTTTTTTTCAAAGGACAGGTAGTGAACTACTAGGGGAAATTGGCCGTTTAGGTTTATGTTGCAGTTTTATTTGGGCCTGAGTTAACTCCTGTTGATGTTACTTTCACACTGATAAGCATTTAGCAATGGCCTGATAGCTAGACACCGTTGATCAGAACTGAATAATATTAACAGATGCAGCTTTCCATTCTTTGTAAGGTACGTTCAACATGGACACACCCTGGCTGTACCTGTTTGCTGCTCACAAGCTACACCAGCCCCAGCATTCGGCTTATTTAGCAACCGTTGAATTAACCGCTGGGAAGGCCTTTGTGGTCAAGGGTCTACTTGTGGAGGTCTTCTGCAAGGACAGAGATGACAAGAAGGAAGGAAGAATTCTGATCCACACGCCAACTGCCACCTACTTGCAGGTTAGTTCCCATGTCAACCCTGCCTTTGTCCTAATGCTTTTTCATCATCTGCTGATGTTTGTATTCCATGGCCATGAGAGGTTGGAAATGGGATCGTACTAGCAGCAGTTTAGTTTATTTGGTCCTCAGGTCATAAATATCAGATATGGTAGAATCATCTAATTGTAGCATTAGAAGGAATCATGAGGGTCATCAAGAGCAATTGCCTGCAATGCAGGAATCTGTTGTTTGTACTTTAGTAGAAGAAACCTTGTTGTTGTTTAGTCGTTTAGTCATGTTCAACTCTTCGTGACTCCTGGACCAGAGCACACCAGGCACTCCTGTCTTCCACTGCCTCCTGCAGTTTGGTCAAACTCATGCTGGTAGCTTCGAGAACACTGTCCAACCATCTCGTCCTCTGTCGTCCCCTTCTCCTTGTGCCCTCCATCTTTCCCAACATCAGGGTCTTTTCCAGGGAGTCTTCTCTTCTCATGAGGTGGCCAAAGTATTGGAGCCTCAGCTTCAGGATCTGTCCTTCCAGTGAGCACTCAGGGCTGATTTCCTTAAGAGTGGATAGGTTTGATCTTCTTGCAGTCCATGGGACTCTCAAGAGTCTCCTCCAGCACCATAATTCAAAAGCATCAATTCTTCGGCGATCGGCCTTCTTTATGGTCCAGCTCTCACTTCCATACATCACTACTGGGAAAACCATAGCTTTAACTATACGGACGTTTGTTAACAAGGTGATATCTCTGCTTTTTAAGATGCTGTCTAGTTTTGTCACTGCTTTTCTCCCAAGAAGCAGGCGTCTTTTAATTTCATGACTGCTGTCACCATCTGAAGAAACCTTAGAAGAACCCAAAACCATCATTCTAAATTTTCAGGCATCTACAGTCAACTACTTTGCAAGCGGGTTTCTGCACAGCCAGAGTGAAGTGGTGTCTCTGGGGAAGCAGCTCATAAAGAATGAGATTCGCCTGGAAAATAATGAAAAGACAAAGTTTCTCCATTTCTGTATAAAGTCTGCAAAGCAAGAACTCAATATGACGATGGCTTACTTTCACCTGGAGGTGGTAAGATGGTCAGAGCTATAGGCTGTTTACTGTTATTGGGGCATTTTTGTTTAGGACAGGAATAAGAGACATGACAGATGAGCAAAAAATTATGTATGGTGTAGATAAAGCTGTGGTTTGAAATTTGCCTTCCTTTCTCATAAAGATGGGGGGGGAATGGGTTTCATTTCAGTGTGAATCTATCATATTCGCATTGCCCAAAGCAATGTGCAAAGCGAAACACAGCCATCCTTCAAAATTCACACATCTCTGAATTTTGTGATATTCTCCGGTTAAATAATGTATATAAAAAGTGTGCATAGTTATGCATGTGAGTGAAAATGCTTTCAAATGCATTGTAAGGGGCAGTTTGCAAAACACAAAAAAGTTTATTTGGCAAAATTGCATACAAAATGAATAGAAATGCACACTAAAATGCAGGCAAATCCTAATTTGCTATGGGTGCTGAGAATTATTAGGAGACCCCTATTCCCCTCAGAGAGCTGCAATTCCACAATTCCCTGGGAAGAAGAACTGACCGTTAAAGCACTCTAGAAATTCTAGGTCTGGGAGAACTCAGCCTCCTTAATAAACTACAGTTCCCAGGATACTTTGGGGGAAAACCATGGCTGTTTGAAGTGGTATCCTAGTGCCTTGCATGTGTAGTGCAGACGGGGACTCACTTGGATTATCCTTGTGGTCTGGATAGCTGACATCCTTAATCTGAGATCCAGAGGATGCCCTAACAACATATGTGATTGCCAGCTTTCTATCACAGGTGGGCTATCCTGTTTCGCTGCCTGAAGCAAAATGGCAATGTGCCACAACCCCAGTCCTCTGTAGTTATTGTTTGTCACATGAGTTTGATGTACAGGGATCATTATGGATAGACGAGCGCTGTATCATTATATTTTTTGTAATTGTATTCCTATGTTTAATTGCATGTTCAAAATCTTTGTGGGTTCGAAGTTGCATTTTACTGCCCACTTTTTGCAGCATTTTATGCATACTTTTCTCTCTTCCACCCGCCAATTCTGTGCCTGTGCCTGGATTTGATTTCTTGGTCACAGCCTAGGAAGGCAAACATTTCTGTGCAGGTTTTGTGGACGGATCACAAGACCCCGCCACCGCTTGTGCTGCAGTTTGAGGCACAGATAGAAGAAGTCAAGAAGGAGAAAATGCTCTACCAAAAACGTGGGACTGTCCTGTTCAGGTACTCTAATTCCCACCCATCCTGCTCCATTCATATATCCATTTGGGTACATAAAACAAAGAGATATTTCGCCTCTCTAAATCAACACAGTAAACGTCAATGCAAATATATACTTGCAAGGAATTGCTCCTTCAATGTGATAGCACCTGCTCTCTGGAACTCCCTGCTCATTTATATTAGGCAGATGCTTTAAGTGTAATGTCTTTGGTGTCTGCTAAAAGCTTTTTTCATTTGGACAACCCTATCCTGACTTTCTTTGCCTTCTTCCCTTGCAATTCTAAGCACTGGTTTAGAGGCAACCAGAAGGTTGTGCTACTGTTAAAATAATCCAGATTAGACAATGGTGCACTTTATTAACTGAACCAATGTGACATGATAATATATTTACTGGGAAACACTGTAATAGGGCATTATTGCATTGTAGCAGCTTGAGCCGAAGGAAATTCAGGGTGAGGTTTCCCAGCTTCTGTGTTTCAACTGAAAGTTCCTTACTTATTTTATTTACATCCCAGGCACCCGTTTAAACTGCCCATCCCGCAAAGCTTTCTCCTCCAAGAAACCTTCACTCTGAACAAAAAGGAGAAGCATTATTTCTTGGAAACAAAGGTTTTGATCAACGAGCTTGAAGAGTCTGTTCAAACTCTCACACTCAGCTACCAAGCTGAAAATCCGCATGTGAGTGAAGTTTACGAAACCATCTGCCTGCCCACCCACTCCCCGTAACCTTTTCAATAGCAAAGCAGCCATGAAATAAATTACACATCTGTGTAAAGTTTTTTTTGTTTCTGTTTTGGTCTTCTTCCCAACCCTTCACCCATCTCCAGGTTTGTGCTGGATTGACGCATCCATACAACAGCAAGTTCTTCCCCCAAAATATAGAGGTTTGCGCCATAACACGAAATCTCAGCTGTGTAAGTAAGTTTGATGAGATTGAGGGAATGATTCACTATGCATAAAGTCGCCTCAGGGGAGATTATGAAGACCTTCTGACTACAACCCTGAATTTATGGCCATGTCCACACTGTACATTTAAAGCACTTGTATACCACTTTAAGTGGATGCAGGTGGCGCTGTGGGTTAAACCACAGAGCCTAGGACTTGCTGATCAGAAGGTCGGCGGTTCGAATGCCCACGACAGGGTGAGCTCCCATTGCTCGGTCCCTGCTCCTGCCAGCCTAGCAGTTCGAAAGCATGTCAAAGTGCAAGTAGATAAATAGATACCGCTCCAGCGGGAAGGTAAACGGTGTTTCCGTGCACTGCTCTGGTTCGCCAGAAGCGGCTTAGTCATGCTGGCCACATGACCCAGAAGCTGCACGCCAGCTCCCTCGGCCAATAAAGCGAGATGAGCGCTGCAACCCCAGAGTTGGCCACGACTGGACCTAATGGTCAGGGGTCCCTTTGCCTTTATACCACTAAACAGTTGTGGCTTCCCCCAAAGAATCATGGGAACAGTAGTCTGTTAAGGGTGCTGAGAGTGGTTTGAAGACCCTCTCACCACCCCTCATTCTACTAGCACAACTATCCAGAGAGCTCACAGGAAGTAGATGCTGCTGCTTCCTGTCCTCAATTTGGCCATTGCTCACTTGCTTGCCAAATCCTGCAGCCAGCCCTCCTAACCAAAGTTATGGTCTCTGTACATTAGATCTGCAGACAGTCTCTCCATATTTAGACAAAAAGGTGCTGCTTTGCTGATCTGGCACTTTTAAATACTCATTATATCAACCCACAGGTGAAACGGGAGATCGAAGTGACCCTAAAGGTCAACAGGAAAGAGGCTCTCAGCTTCCTGGGCAAATACCAGAACCAATCTAGCATGGCTGATTCCCAACACCTGGTACAAATGGACATGACACATGCATTCCAGGTAGTTACCTTTTAGAGAAGAGGCACCACCTTCTCTTTGTCTGTCTCCATCCCACTTAACTTCTGAGGGTTTTGGCAAATAATGTATAGGTTGCTTGCTGTGTTTCATTTCTTTCTATTCTCATCAGGATAACTGGGTGTGTTTTTTTAAAAAAAATATCCAGCTGTGGGCTTCTATGGAAGGATGGACAGGATATAAATTTAATAATTAAATTAAATTAAAAACCAGCTTATGCTTGCCAATCTAAAATCCAGATGTTTTGGACTATAGCTCTCTACAGCACCAGACTGAGGTTGATGCTGGAAGGCAAAAGGTTGGCCAAGACTGCTGTCATCCAGTCAACCACCAGCATATTGTATTATGTGCAACTACAGTACGGAAGCAGATCTTGCAATCCCTGTTGCTCAGACCCCAGTGATATCCGTGGAGCTTCCATGAGCATAGAGGACCATAGGGTTGTGTCTGCATTAGGACATGTCTATAGGGTGGCTGTGTGTCCTCCTTTACAGTTGTCAGGCCTCCATCTGAAGGGTTGTCTTGTCCAAGCCCAGTTTAACTATCAAGGAAACCTGAGAAGGGAGAGCAGGAGAGGCTTTGAAGTCACCAATCCAAGAGTTAGCACTTGCACAGCAGTCTGAGCAAGGTTCGTCCAGTCACAGTCTTCTCCGTTAGAGTGAGATGCATTTCTATTTAAATGATAGTAATTGAGTTGAAGCTGGTGCTTATCCTACTCAGAGTAGACCCATAGAAATTAATGGACCTGTTAGTAATGTTCAATGATGTGCTCTGAGAATTGAATACAGCCCCTATGTCTCAAACGAGCATCCATACATATGAATTAGCATATACAAATTTCCATGTAACATCTATTTATTGCAATGCATAAGTAGCCATGCTACTTGCTTGGACTACAAACTTTAACCTCTTTAATAGCCACGGCTTCCAAATGGGGAACCTGGGGGGACTATAATGTGGCTTGTAGTAAAGTCATGCAAGATGACTCTGTTAATCTGAAGAAAGGGATAACTTGTTGGGTTTCCTTCCTACTAGCTCAAGTTTCCAAAGTCGGTTGCTATGAGGGGGGAGCTCTTTTCAAGAGAAACCAGGCTGGCTGATTTTGCATCCGGTGTGACAATAACAGCTACTATCAACCAGCAGGATACTTCGCAGGTCAGGTTTCGTACTAGTCTTTTATGCCAGTGTTCCCCAACCTTGGGCCTCCAGCTGTTTTTGGACTACAACTCCCATCATCCCTCGCTAGCAAGACCAGTGGTCAAGGATGATGGGAATTGTAGTCCAAAAACAGCTGGAGGCCCAAGGTTGGGGAACACTGTTTTATGCAACTAAGAGGACCTCTAGACCAGCCTTTCTCAGCCATGGGTCCCTAGATGTTGTTTGACAACAACTCCTATCATTCCTGGCCAGCATGGGAAGTGCTCAGGGATGATGGGAGATGTGATTCGAAAACATCTGGGCACCCAATGTTGAGAAAGGCGGGAGGGATTCAAGCACAATTCGCGTGGATTGAAGCACTTTGTCATTGTAGCCCAACAAATCGACTTTTTAAAAAAATCACGGACACTAGGAAAGAGAGAGGAAAATGCAGTGGAAAGTGTGGGACAAACAAATATTGGCAGAAACTGTCTCCAGGCAGACATTTTCCCAAGTCATTGCAATGTAGACATTTGTCCATTTTAACCTACCCTCTGTAATTATGATTGCAGCCAATACTATCCGTGGTTGGAACCTTCTATTAACCCAAGGGCGAGGTTCTCATGAAGGAAAGAAGCATGCATGTGCTGAAAGGGGGAGCAACAATGTTGTCCAATGCTGTCCATTGCCATGTCACATCATGCCCACTGGTGTCAATGAAATTTAGCATGATGTGCCAGTATATCAGTCAGAAAGCCACAGCTCCATAACCCAACAGATACTGCAGCACGAAAGGAGCTTTAGAAAATGGGATGGAAATGGTAGAAGAATAATCAAGAAAGCTAACATAATATTCCCCGTGTCTAAATGTACTCTTCTGTATCAACAGTTTACAGCTTGGCTGAATGGAACCAAGACTGGCTTTGGAATTTATTCACAATTTTCTCACTTGAATCAGTCAAACTTTCCTCCAAGTTTTCAGGTACCAAAATTCATATTCCCCGACAGCAGCAGCCGCAATTTATGTTTAGTCTTTTCTTTTCTTTCCCCCTACCTTTTGCTTTGCTGAAATGATGTGATAGTTGCTGGAGTTGTCAATCTTCAGGGTTTTCTCCAGCTCAGATTCTGATCTGGGGTGAAGACGAAGACACAGAATCCTAAGAATCGCAGCATGAGAGCGGCTTGGAGGCCATCTTGTCTCACCTCCTGCTCAGGGCCAGCCTGCCCATGAGGTGGGCTGAGGAAGCCGCCTTGGGCAGTAGAACCCCGAGAGGTGGTGTCTCCACCTGCCCTGCCACTGGCTTCCAGTCAGATATTGCAAGATCTCACCGGAACCTGCCACTGCTGCTTCGAGGGCACTGTCACATGACCCAGACAAGGGAGGCTTTTTTTTTAAAAAAAAAAGATATTTATTAAAGTTTCAAAATTTTACAAAAAGAAAAAAGAAAATACAAAGTAAAAACAGTTAAAAACAAATCAGTTTTTCCAAATCTTAACTTTCATTTGCTTGTTTCCCTGACCTCCTCACACATCCCTTTTTCGTATTCCAGTTCAATTAGTTAGTTCAGCAAATCCTTTCCCTTTTTGATTTTATCTTAATCTTTTATCTTAATATATTATAGCTTTATATTATCACCTGTTAACAAACTATTTTATATATTCCTTTATAACATTACTACTAAAAACCGATTAACTTCAATCCAACATCATTCTAACATTCCTTAATTTTGCAGTGTTTCTGTAAATAGTCTTTAAATTTCTTCCAATCTTCTTCCACCGACTCTTCTCCCTGGTCTCGGATTCTGCCAGTCATTTCCGCCAATTCCATGTAGTCCATCACCTTCATCTGCTATTCTTCCAGAGTGGGTAAATCTTGTATCTTCCAATACTTTGCAATAAGTATTCTTGCTGCTGTAGTAGCATACATAAAGAAAGTTCTGTCCTTCTTTGGCACCAATTGGCCGACCATGCCCAGGAGAAAGGCCTCTGGTTTCTTCAGGAAGGTATATTTAAATACCTTTTTCATTTCGTTATAGATCATCTCCCAGAAAGCCTTAATCTTTGGGCATGTCCACCAAAGGTGAAAGAATGTACCTTCAGTCTCTTTACATTTCCAACATTTATTATCGGGCAAATGATAGATTTTTGCAAGCTTGACTGGAGTCATGTACCACCTGTATATCATTTTCATAATATTCTCTCTTAAGAATAATATTCTCTCTTAAGAGAGAAGACAGACAAGGGAGGCTTTAATGGGGGGCAGCAACAGGGGGGCAGCACTGTTCCATTTTACCTCAGGTGGCAAAATGGGATGCACCACCCCATTCCACCACCCCTCTAGATAGCTGGCTCCACTGAACTGCTCTTAGCTTCAAGAAGTTTCTCCTTATGTTCCACAGAAATCTATCCACCTGTAGGGAATGAATACTAGATCTCAACCTGCCCGCTGCCTGAATGTTGGGTAAAATTGCAATTAAAATGTCCGTATTGGGGAAAATTCACACTAAAATGCTGGTGAATTTCATTGAAGTGTTTCTTTTTCAAATTGCAAGCTGATGTGAAAATGTGGAGAATGGAATGTAAGTTTGGAAAACAAGAGAAACTGAGGGAAACAAAAAAATGACAGATTTGGCTTTGAGATTTGGGGGAGGTGCAGGACTTATCCTCGGTCGGGCTGCGCCCCAGTTGACCCATGGAGTGCTTGTTTTGTTTTTCCCCTGCGCTTAGGCCCACGCCACCACAAACCGATACAGCAGGAATGGTCTCAATGGATCCTTTTGCCTTCACTCCGGCAGAAAGGACCTTGTGTTGCTGGAGGTGGACTTCAATGGTGAGATGAGGAAGGATGCCGGAAGCATCAGAGTGAGCTCTCTCCTAAGACAGGCAATTCTGACACAGTTCAGATATTTGTGGCTGCAATTCAATGGCAAGATGTCGCCAACCAGGTAAAGAAAGCAGCAACTGGGGCTGTAACCCAAACCTTTATTTTGTAGCCAAATATCATCACCAGTTATACAATAAATAAGGAGGCACAACTCAAAATATGGTTCAAAGCAAACTAATCAGATAATCAGGTGTGATGTTCAAATATATAACAGAACTATGGAGCCCCACTGGGAAATTACACTGCTGTTCTGCTCCACCTGTTAAAGGCTAAGCCTTGGCACTCAGAATAGGTTCTATACCTGAGCTCAGATTATTCAGCTCTGAATCTGCTCTCTGGCCTGCCAGTAAGAGCTGGAAGGTTGATGGGGAACAGGACAAGGCCTCTTCTCTCATGGCCCCACAGCTATGGAATGCCCAGCCCAAGACAGAGGACAGTACCTCTTGACATGGCTCATGGCTACAAGTTAAAACTATGGATTTTACTCCCACAAGAGGTAGTGAGGGCCAGTGGCGTAGCATGGGGGTGACAGGGATGCTTGCCCCAGATGCAAAATTTGTTAGGGGTGGAAAATTTCGACACCCACTGCTACCTCGATACAGCTGCGTGCTTCCGTCACTGGGATCCATTGAAAATGGCTTCCTTATGCAAACCAGGAAGTGGCCTCTCCTGACAACGCAACAACTCTTTTCTTATCTCTGTGGCTATCATTTCCTGGGTGATGCCTTAGCCAGTTGAAAGCACATGCGTACTCTGTCCGTTTCCCTCCTGCCCGCCCCTCCGCCTGGCTCCAGGTGCTGGCAACCCACGTTACACCACTGGTGAGGGCCACCAACTTGGGTGGCTTAAAAATAGGCTTAGACAAATGCATGGAGGATGAAGTTGTTGGCGGCTACTGGCTCACAATGGCTATGCTGTACCTCCAGGGTTGGAGGTGGTAGCTCCTGGAATACCAGCTGCTGGGAATCACACATGGGGAGAGTGCTTTTGCACTCAGGTCCTGCTTGCAGGTGTTCTGTGGGCCTCTGGCTGGTCACTGTGAGAACAGGATGCTGAACTAAATGGGCCACTGGCCTGATCCAGCGGGCTCTTTCTATGTCATGATAAGCCAAGAACCTTGACTTATTAAACCAGTTTGCCAGTTGCATGCTTCTGCTGCATGTAGTGCCAATGCCCTCCCGCCATCCACTTGCTTTTACAAAGGCCATAGATTACCCATCCCTGCTGTAGGTAGCCGTGGTTCAGCAGTGAAGATGACTGAGCTGTCATTCCCTGTCTATTTCTACTGACTGCTTGCATTGCCTTCCTTCTTGCCTCCAGAGCTATGCTGTCTTCTGCAGTGAAGATGAATCACAATGCCTTTCACCTGGGCGTTGTGGGATCCAAGGAGCAGAAAGGGGGTCTGGTGCTGACCCTCCATGGCAGTCTCCGGCACAATGTTCTCAGCTTAAAGCACATCATACCCCAGGACCTTTCCCTGGATGGCTCTCTCAAGCACAAAAACAACATCCGTGAAGGTATTGCTTTACTGCAAGGTTCAGAACAAGCATTCATCCTTCTTGAGCAGGTAGGGCATTGTCTGGCCTTGACTGAGGTCCAAGATAGGCTGCAGTCAGAGTCCTGTTCTGGTGCAGGCAAAGAGACCAATGGATGTCATCATCCAAGACAGGATGGGGAATCAGGTCACATTCTGGATCAAGTAGCCTTGGCCAGACTGTCTATGTGGCTGTAAGTATTCATTTTGGGAACAACAACAACAATTTATTATTTATACCCCGCCCATCTGGCTGGGTTTCCCCAGCCACTCTGAGCAGCTTCCAACAAAATATCAAAATACAGTAATGCATCAAACATTAAAAGCTTCCCTAAACAGGGCTGCCTTCAGATGTCTTCTAAAAGTCTGGTGGTGGTTGTTCTCTTTGACATCTGTTGGGAGTGCGTTCCACAGGGCGGGTGCCACTACCGAGAAGGCCCTCTGCCTGGTTCCCTGTAATTTCGCTTCTCGCAGTGAGGGAACCGCCAGAAGGCCCTCGGCACTGGACCTTGGTGTCCGGGTAGAACGATGGGGGTGGAGACGCTCCTTCAGATATACTGGACCGAGGCCTTCCTCCTGTCTAACAGGCATCATGAACATCATGGTTAACCAGTCGGTGTTTGGAGCGCACATCCGGAACAGAAATGTGTTTGGAAACGAGAGCTTTCATAACATCGCAGTGGCTATGACTCAGAATGGTAGCTGGGCTTTCCCAAGAGAGGCAAAGCTCCGAGGGCAACTCGAGCTCAGAAGAGGAATTCAGAAGGGTTTGGCCAGTATCCAGGTGGACATGAGAGCTCTCCATCTTAATATCTCAAATATCATCATTCTGGAGCATCTTGGAGCCCCAGGGATGCCCGCCAACAACATCAGTAATTTCTATACCACAGGTATGAAATGCAACCCAATACTGGGCTGTTTCTCGGGATCAATAGAATGCCATTTGGAAAGAGTAGCTCCTTTTCTTTGAGAAGTACTCTGCGACTGCCTGCACTTCTCCAAACAGCCTACTAAATTTCTATCTCCTTCCATTTGGGGCGCTTTTGTTTCTTAAGGGTTGTTGGGAATTATAACTCTGTGAGGGGTAAACGAGAGTTCCCAGGATTCTTTGAGAGAAAGAATGAAACAACATCCCACTTTTGAGACACTGAATTTGAAGTGCAAGTGCCTGAATCTCTCATAAGGACCCACCTTTATGTTCAGTTTCCTTTAAAAACAACTTTTTTAAAAAAAAAGGGGAAATGGGCTGTTTCCATGTTTCCACAATGCCTGCTTTTTACATTATACCTTTGCTTTGATCCTTGCCTTTCTAGTTCTAAGGTACAATTTAATTCACAGTGTGGGTTTGGAGAGGGGGGACTGACTCTTAAAAAACTCCAATAATTTCAGCTGGCTTGGAGCCATCTCAGTGAATAAAAATCCCAAACCTCAAAGCGGAGGGGAAATAATAGTTCTGAAGTCAGCTTTAAAGTACAGGTGTGTTTTTAGTTACAGCTTCAAAGTACAGGCTCTACCCTTGAAGAGTCTTCTCTAGTTTTCCAGTGGCATAATGGCACTATTGAATATGAATGAGTGTTTAATTCCTTGCCAGCCACTCTCAAGGAGAATGAGCTTTCATGCTTCTGTTAACAGCATTTGGAGCAGATTCAAGAATGAATGGGGTTGACTTGCTTTGAGTTCTGCAAAGGAAATCTTTCCTTGCCGTTCCAAAAAAAAAAGCAGCAGCATCTAGCAGGGCTGTGCATGGACACGCACAAACATTTGGATCCAATTCGTGGCCCAGATTTGTAAATCTGCATTGGACCCAATCCAGACCCATTCCAACCTGCCCTGGGTCCGAATCCAGATTGTGATTGCGAACTTACAAATCTCCTGAAATCCTATAGGCTTGCACCACAAAACCAAAATAGCAATAGCTTACTTGTTTTTCATATGGGACGCAGGTGGCGCTGTGGGTAAATCCTCAGCGCCTAGGACTTGCCGATCGCATGGGCGGCGGTTTGAATCCCCGCGGCGGGGTGAGCTCCCGTCGTTCGGTCCCAGCTCCTGCCCACCTAGCAGTTCGAAAGCACCCTTAGGTGCAAGTAGATAAATAGGTACCGCTTTATAGCGGGAAGGTAAACGGCGTTTCCGTGTGCTGCGCTGGTGCTGGCTTGCCAGAGCAGCTTCATCACGCTGGCCACGTGACCCGGAAGTGTCTTCAGACAGCGCTGGCTCCCGGCCTATAGAGTGAGATGAGCGCACAACCCTAGAGTCTGTCAAGACTGGCCCGTACGGGCAGGGGTACCTTTACCTTACCTTACTTGTTTTTCACATAGGGGCATGATGTCTAGGGCATGGTGGTAGCATTTTCAGAGTTCAAAGTCCCATTCCAGCAAGGCAAAAACCCTCAAGGAGAATGTGATGCAGAGCTAGTAAAGAGTGTTAGCCTGAGGAGAGTCTGGAGGGCAGCATTTGAATTCCCCATATGATTCAGTCTCCCTCCCCTGTTGGAACATGGCATGGCCCTTAGGGGAATTTGAGGTGGATGGCAGGAAACAGGCAGAAAGGGAATGGCAGGCAGAGATAGAAGAGGTATCTGACCCACTTTTGACTGGGGCCATGCCCACCTCTTGTTTTAGTCCTACCCCACCCCCCACCAGCATGCTTCCACTGACAGCTCACCCCAAAGAAAATGTGGCCCTCAACAAGGAAAGGATTTCCCTCCCCTGAGCTTCTGAAGACTCAGAATGTTCCTTTGCAACTAATCCCCTATTAAAACCGCAAAGCAAGCTACCCGTTGGTCCTGACTCATGTCTGTATATGTGTCTCTATGCACCCATTGCACTTTGCTTAATCTTTCTCTTTGGCTTCACACAGAAAGTAGCATCCTGGCCACATATGGCCACATCAGTACTAACCGCACAGTAACTCTGAAGTTGCAAGGCAGTAGCAGAAAGATGGCTGCAGCAGCTGGACCTGAGCAGTGGCCCTCGGAAACCCTTCAAGCCCAGATTATTGCAAATTTCAGCCACAACATGCCAGAGCTGAAGAATCATAGGATCCCTTTCCGCATAGAGTCTACCTGCCATTACCAAGTAAGGAGAACAATGCCATTGACTGGGGGTTGGGAAAATCAGGTCCAAATATGGCCCTCCAGGTCTCTCTTTCTGGCCCTCAGGACCTTTTCTGGGCCATGCCCCTCCCCAGGCTGAATCTGCCCCATGCCCTCCTTGGGGGCATTTGCCTGGCTGGAATGTGCCCCTGAAATGCCTTTTGCTTGCATGGCAGGAGAGAGGGGTTGCTTATAAACCAAATGTTGCCTCAGAGACAGGAGGTCCCGCCTCTTCACATCCTGCCTTTCTCTAATATATTGAGTGACTTCTTATAAACTTGTCCAGAGAACAGCGGCAATGAACTCCCCTTTCCCCTCCAGGGATTGGGCTTCTCCTTCTCCCCTGGCTATCCTTGGGTATTGGGGTGACCAAATTATTGGAATATGAATTTTTGGAAAGTCCCCATACACAATTGCTAGCTTGTTGTTTAGTCGTGTCCGACTCTTCGTGACCCATGGACCAGAGCACGCCAGGCTAGCTGAGCGCATGAAATATACTCGGAGTCAAATGTGGATTTCATGCTCTTTATTCAGCTCATAGTGATGAGGAGGAATGGAAGTTCCCCAGAATGTCTGCTTTATATACATTACAGTGGAGGTAACCGCAAGACAACGCTCAAGCGGAACCCTAGACGAAAGGTTTCCGTTTGGAGGCGCTCGCAAAACGATTTCCCTATGGCTTGCTTCGCAGACAAAGCCATAGGGAATCTCCGGGCAGCGGGAAGCGAGCGCGTCTCCCACGCTGACTCCTGAAGGCTCGGGGGGCAGAGACTCCCGCCGCCAGGCTTCGAGGCTGCTCCGAGCTGGCGGGGGGGGGCGGAGGAAAAATGGGGAAAAATTTATTCCCCCACCAAGGCGTGGGGCTGGCGGGAAGCCCGAGCTTCCCCCTCCCCCAGAACGGGACCCAGAGCCATGCCGAAGCTGCGCGCAGCTTTGGCATCGCTCTGGGAGCTTGCGGGGCTGGGGGAGGAGGAAGCCCTCTGCCAGCCTCCAAACCATATCGGGAGACAGCGGGATGGCGCGCTGCGCCTCTCCCGTTGTCCCCCGAGTTTGCGGGGCTGGCGACGGGGAGGAGCAGGCTTCTCCCCCCCACAGCCTTCTAGCCAATTCGGGGGACAGCGGGATGGCGTGCTGTGTCCCGCTGTCTCCCGAGTTTGCGGGGCTGGCGACGGGGAGGAGCAGGCTTCTCCCCCCCGCCAGCCTTCTAGCCAAGTCGGGGGACAACGGGAATGGCGCGCTGCACCTCTCCTGCTGTCTCCCGAGTTTGCGGGGCTCGCGACGGGGAGGAGCAGGCTTCTCCCCCCCCCCCCGCCAGCCTTCTAGCCAAGTCGGGGGACAGCGGGAAGGGCGCGCTGCGCCTCTCCCGCTGTCTCCTGAGTTTGCGGGGCTGGCGACGGGGAGGAGCAGGCTTCTCCCCCCCCCCGCCAGCCTTCTAGCCAAGTCGGGGGACAACGGGAATGGCGCGCTGCGTTTCTCCGCTGTCCCGGACGGCTTTCAAAAGCCTGCCTTCAAAAGCCGTCCGGGACAGCGGAGAAACGCACTGCCTTTCTCCGCTCTCCCGGGAAGGCAGGCAGGAGGGAGCAAAGACTTTTCAGGACCTCTTCTGAAGGCTGGCGGGGGGCAAAAGTCTTTGTCCCCCCTGCCTGCCTTCCCAGGGGCTTTTAAATCGCCCCGGACAGGGAGAAGTCCTCCGCTGTCCCGGGCGATTTTAAAATGCCGCCCGCCAGCATTTTAAGATCGCCCCGGACAGCGGAGAAGTCCTCCGCTGTCCCGGGGTTTTTTAAAATGCTGGGGGTGGGAAGAAAAGCCCTTGTCCCCCCCCCCCCAGCCTTCAGAAGAGGTCGGGGGACAGACTGTCCCCGGACCTGGTCTGAAGGCGGTTTCCATAGGAACGCATTAATTGATTTTCAATGCATTCCTATGCGAAACCGTGCATCGCAAGACGAAAAACTCGCAAGACGAAGAGACTTGCGGAACGAATTAATTTCGTCTTGCGAGGCACCACTGTATTTACACAATGGGCCCCACATGATTGGCTAATTCCGGGATTCTCCTGTAGGCCAATCAGGTTGCGGATTCACTTACACCTGGAGCTGGATTGGGTGGCTCCTGTGGACCAATCAGACTGCTGCATTCTGGATCCTATTGTTCTAGGACCAATTAGACTGCTGCATTTTGGATCCTATTCAACTCAGTACATAACAGCGCATAACTTGACGACTTTAGAACAGGGGTTCTATAGTTTGTTTAGAATAGCCCAAGAGCCACATTCCCTTCTGGGGGTCACATTCCAGTGGTGGCTGGAGCCAGAGGCAAAAGCGGGTGGAGCCCCCAATGTAAATATTACAGTACTTTGGTACAGTGGGCTACTTTCTTCAGGGACCCCTCTCCATCCTCCACCCAGGGAAGCAAGAGGCTTGATCACAGTTCATGCACTCATTCCAGGCAGGCAAAAACACTTTGGGTACGAAGATGTGTAGTTTCTGTAACCATTTTTGGAATGCCAGCAGATGAAAGGCAGTTCACGGGGGTGGCTGAAAGGCTGAGTATTGCCCACTGAGATGTCTGGTCCTTCTCTGCACATCAGCCTTTTCCCTCTGGTTAGAATTTCAGCGAGAAGATGGCAATGAGAGTGGCAGCCCAGGCTGGTGACGAAGAATTCAAGATTGAATTGGAGAAGCAAGGCACCAATAGCACCACAGGGTTTTCTCTTTTCCTTTACCATGATGTGGGAATCCTAATGCACACCATTCCACCATTAGTACGGGTTAGTTGACCACATTGCTGGTTTGTTTGGGGTTTTTTAAGTCTGCAAATGATACCGAAATAATGACTTATTTTGCATTGTTTTGGCACTTCCTTACATTGGTATGAATGCAAGATTTGTAAATGCGAGTAGCGCTGTGGTCTAAACCACAGAGCCTAGGGCTTGCCAATCAGAAGGTCAGCGGTTTGAATCCCCATGACGGGGTGAGCTCCCGTTGCTCAGTCCCTGCTCCTGCCAACCTAGCAGTTCGAAAGCACGTCAAAGTGCAAGTAGATAAATAGGTACCACTCCGGCGGGAAGGTAAACGGCATTTCCGTGCGCTGCTCTGGTTTGCCAGAAGCGGTTTAATCATGCCGGCCACATGACCCGGAAGCTGTCTGTGGACAAACGCCGGCTCCCTCGGCCAGTAAAGCGAGATGAGCACCGCAACCCCAGAGTCGGTCATGACTGGACCTAATGGTCAGGGGTACCTTTACCTTTACCTTACATTGGAATGAACGTAAAATTTGTAAATGGTTCTGTAAGCTATGTAACTTAGGTTAAATAGCAGGTAGCAAGACAAATAATAGTATTTGAAATGTGAAATGTTCAGCTGCAGCGAAGAAAATGAAGTATCTCATTGCTGCAATTATATTTCATTTTAGTTTTGTGTATGAGTAGGTGTGTTTACTAGGGATGGGCGGACCTGCCAATATCAGTCATCTCAGTTTCTTATTTTTCCATCCTTAAATTCCATTCTCCACATTTCTGTAGCCATTAGAGAATTTACTATTGTTTTTACTGATATTCTGCAGATCCAGTGTGATGGAGAATCCACATCTCACCAGCTTTCTGGCCATTGTCACGGAGAGGTTGCAAATCACTCAGTGGAGGTACAAGGTTCCTTCTCAAAGCTTGGTCAACAGCATTGCACTGTCTGGAGGTTCAGCTGCAGCAAAGAGAGTCTGAGCATTGGGGGTTGTTTAAGGCATGGAGATAAATATGAATTGAACGGCCTCTGGGTGCAGACTTTCAAGTATCTCTGCTCACTCAACATCCCAGGGAGTTTACAGGTTAAAACACTTGTCAATCCAATGGGTAATAAGTGTATGACTGTGTTTAATCTCACCACAGATGGGTGGGGGGTTCATTCTGAATTAGAAGTGACAGCAAAACCCCTGTTAAAGTGGCGTAGGTTTGTCTCCTTGGCGAACCCACACATCCCCAGTTTGATGCTCACAGCAGAGGTGAGAGGGGTCTACGGTACAGATAAATGCATTTATGAAGGCAACGTGGGATCTTCAAGCAACCGAGGGCTCGAGCTGCTTAAACTGAGAGCAAAGTGTGAGGGCTCCTTCCTGGCTACAGTGGAGTGGCACCCCAAAGTGTGGGGTTGCCTTAGAAGCCAAGGCAGCAGGAGGTTCTCTCTGGCAGTGACAGATGAAACCCAAAAAATGTGCCTCATTTATAAGCTAGACATAGAAAGCGGTCCAAACTGCCTCATCGTGAGCGGGCAACTCCTGCTGCAGAGCAGCCCGCCAGAGATCACTTGGGTGTGGTTACACCACTGGGAGGAGTAGGAACAGAGAGGAACGTCTGTGCCAGAAGAGGTGCAAAGCAATGGGATTTTGGTGTTTGATGCGTTTTCCGTAAGAGCCCAAATTAACTGCACTGTGGATGGGAAGCCAATGCAAATGGTAGCGATGGGTGCTTGGGGACCCAGACTGGAGGTGGATTGGCTGCTCAGCCACCGTGTCCCAGCATGGACTAAGGTCGGCTTCCCAGCCAGGAACTGGTTACATGGAGTCGCCCAGTTGGGGAACGGAGCGGACATGAGCTTGGGAGTTATGAGCGGGCTGTGCAGGCTTTCAGGCGTGGGATGGTTCGGAAGGAGGCCTGGCGCAGCATGGAGCCTCGCCGTTCACAGCCATTGCCCCTCTTTCCAGGTAGAAAGAAGCATGTCCCGATCGCGAGGGCATCTTTTGCTTCTTCAGAGCTTCTGCTAGCCAGAACATGAAAGGCCTTTTTTGCTGGGCCTCTTCATGTGTACTGCATACCTGCCTGTTCCACAGACATCCACCTCTCTGTCCTCTGTCCAGGCAAGCAAGAGGTGTGATGAGAGTGAAAGGACAGGCAAAATCACTTAGAATAGGAATCAAGATCAGGGAGTGCTGGGGGGAGGAAGTGCTGCCTGGAGGGAGCTTCTGTCGGAATCTCCACTCGGACAAGCTGATAAAGCTCCATTTTCCGGCCGAGTCTCCAGAATCGCCTCCGACGAATAATTAATGACCTTGAGCCTTTGATGAGGCTCCAAGGCACGTTTCCATCCATTAAGCAAAGTTCCCAGCACAGGGAAGAGACGAGAGGTTTGGGCTACATTGTAAAGAGTTTTATTTCCAAGCTACACAGTCAGAAAATACATCCTCTCTCTATGAAAGCAGAGAGCAACTGAACAAAGGAAACAGGAAACTAGTAACGTCACATCCATCTCTAGTCTCCCGTGAGACTTCCAATAGTATGGAATCCCAGGAATGTAAACAGAGTCCTGTGACTCCAAGCAGCTGCTCAGTGGCAAACAGAAACTAACAGTTTCAAGGGCCGTATCAATGGGCATGGGGGGCCAGATTTCACCCCCACTTTTAGAATGTGCATGGCAGAAGGCAACAGCGCATCTTTCCACATCAGCATGCCGCCCGCTGACAGCCTCGTTCTTCTCTGTTTTAGGCACCGACGAGAGTTTTGCTCAGCGGGTCAGTGGGGACTGCCAACTGCACAGCCGACGTGATTGGAGAGCTCATTTCCAACGCCACCTTTGCTCAGTTCCGTATCCACGCTGCCTGCAACCCTCAGCACAGTTTGGAAATCGGCCTTAGGCATGCCTGGCCTTACCTCAGCTCTCTGGGTCTTGCCCAGGAGAACAGGATAAAAGCAGCTGCTGTGAAAGGGGACGAGTACAAAGGCCTCCTGGAGGCCACACTTGGGAAATGCAAGTTAACAGGCAATGGAGAAGTGAATTCAGAGGGTGAAGTCACAGCCGCAGAATGGAAAGTTATTCTTCTAAATAAATGTGACCTTCTGGAGGTGATTATTTACTATCGCCACCCCAACTGATGGGTTGGAGCATATTTTCTAGAGTTGGGGTCACCAGCAGGCTCCTCATGGTGCCCTTGAGGTCTTCCCTTAGTGCCCATGAGGTCTTTAAAACCCACCCACACCTACCTAGCTCTCTCACTGTCCCTTTTGCCATGGGGTGTTGAGATTGGTTACCTTTTTCTCCCTTGAATAGTACAGAGCTGAAGGAGGAAGTTGGAAGAGTTCTCCCCTTCCCTACTTCCTCTTTCAGCTTTGTGTGCTTTTCAAGGCTCAGACTAATTCTTCTGGAGCCAACTTTTACCCGATCCCTTGGAAGAGCAAAGTGTTTGCATCCATGTACAGTTTCTCTCTTTCTATCTCCTGATTGTGGGGAGGGCGAGGCTGATCTGGAAGAGGGGCAAAAAGTGAGAGTGGCACCCACAGTACTCCCTCAAATATCCGAAATTCCCCGGGGGCGTAGAAGGTTGGCAACTCGTGCTCTGGAGAATAGATTCTACATAGTTTAAGACTAAACCGAGCTCTCCCCTGTCTTTTCTCTTTCCTAGAAAATGGAGTTACCCCAGAAACTAGTCTCCAGGGGTTCGTTCCTCATGAACATCTATAATGTCAGTTTAGCATCACACTTCTGGTGTGATGGCAAAACAGCTGATGTGCAGCTGGAGGTGTCTTCTGTAGACAAATATACCATGCAAGGATCTCTGGGTCACTCTTTCCCCTACCTCTATGATCAAGGGCTGCCTCCGGACAACTCACTCCATATCTCTGTGACAAATGGCTCCATCCTCAACGGACTTCTGTTGCTGCACAACGGAAACTGCAAGCTTGAAGCACAAGGAGAAATCAGACCCCGGAACCAGACTGAATGGGCCCTGGAGATGGAAACAGATTGTACAGTTTTGCAGGTCATACCTGGCTCCTTTCTGGTTCTAAAGCAAAATAGAAACTGGCTTGATTATTTTTCAGATAATCAATCTGAGCTTTAAAAAAAAGAGAGAGAGCCGTCTTACACCTAAAGGCAGACCCTGCCATTCACTCAATGGCACAAGTGTTGGTCTTTATTTACATTTATATTACAAATATTGCATTAGGCCAGCCTTTCTCAACCTGTGGGTCCCCAGATGTTGTTGAACTACAGCTCCCCTCACCCCTAGCTAGCAAGGCCAGAGCTCAGGGATGATGGGAGTTGTAGTCCAACAACATCTGGAGACCCACAGGTTGAGAACCACTGTATTATTCCATCCCTGGAGAAGCACAGTGGATGGTGATGTGAGACAGGAGATTGCCAGGGATGGCACCAGTGCAGGAGGTTGGCCCATTTGGGCCCCAATAACCTTAGTCTGACCTCAGCCAGGACCCACCTGCCTGCCTGCTTACTTGACAACCAGTCAGGGGATGACTGTGCCTGCCATTGGCTTTGAAATGAAGCAAATACCATTATAAAGTTATGAATTGTGTATAAAAACCCAACTTGTGTTGAACAATAAATGGAAGAGGAGGAAAAGGTCTTCCCTGTGTACAGATGCCAGCAGATTAAATCACATTTTGAATCTTGATTGATGGTTATATTCCAACCCTCATGTATATATAGGAAGCATGAATTTGATAGATTTGGCTTTAAATGCAAACAGGATAAAATCTTTCTCCTAGCCCTAGCCACTTCTCTGATCAAACATGCCCCCTTTAAAGCTGCAGCTTTTAAGTCTGTTTTTTAAGAGTCTCATTGCAGCTCACCTGCATAATCACTGTTAGATTTAAAAAAATATATCTGTGAGAAATTTGGCCAGAGGAACAGAATTACAATCTGTTGATCCCTGAATTTGAAATGAAATCATTTTTGTTCCTCAAGACGTACCCAGGAAGAAGAACGTTTGACAGTGATACAGTAGCCTCCAAATGGGTTTTACAGGCTGTGAAATGCGTTCTGCATCTCACCGTTGACTGGATCCGTTCAGACAGATGGGTGCCAGGGAGCGCCCTCACTTTGAAGTGAGGATCACGTGCCAGGCTAAGGTCACTTTAGAAACTGAAGTGCCACATGGTCTGTCACCCCAAGAGGGATCCCAGAAGAAAATGAGCTGTCGGTAAATTGTGGGAAAACAGATCAGGCATGACATTAGCTTAGACCTTGAGTCAAACCCTCGTCAACTCCAAGCCAATTTGGCCTTTCATGCAGAAAACCAATTCCAACGGCAAGGATCAGTAGAGAACAACTGCAAAGCAATACAGGTACTGCCTGCCATGGAAAAGGAGGTCCCCTTTTGACAAGATGCTCCATTTCATTGTGATGCAGATGCTCCATCTGTAGACACACACAATGAAAAACAGAACAAATCCAAGCCGTAATCCCTAAAGACCTTTCTAAAGACGAGGAGGACATGTTGCCAGATTCCAAACCTGGAAGATCCAGATTAAGTCTTTTGCATGAATTTGGAAGCTGACTTATATGAGGTCAGCCTGTTTCTTCATCTTCTCCAGGACTGGCAGCAGTTCTCTGGGGTCCTAGGAAGAGGTCTTTCCCAGGTCTTTCTGAGCTTTCTCATAGCTTTACCTGGAGACGCCGGAGATTGAACCTGTGACCTTCTGCATGCAAAGCAGATGATCTGCCACTGAGCTGTAACCCTTCCTCGGAACATAAGAAGCTGCCTTATATTGCCAGACCATTGGTCTATTTAGCTCTGTACATCGATGGGGAGTTTCAGGGTTTCAGACAGTGGGTTCTCCCAACCCTACCTGGAGATGTCAAGTATTGGCAGTAGGGCCTTCTGCATGCAATGCAGATGCTCTTATCACTGAGCCATGGCTCTTCCCCCTCTTTAGAGAAGTGGAAGGCACAATCCAGCCAGTGCACAGTTCCACTTTGAATCGCTTACACATAAATTCCATGCCGTTGGAGATTTAGGAGGAAGAGTAGTTGGCTTCCATCTTCTTGTGCAGTAAAACTCCATGAACCAGCTTCAGGCCATGTTAAGACACTGTTATTAAACCCACTTTTTTATGAAGCTAACTTGAATATTTTATTTCATGGCAGGATCTTGGAGTCCCGGTGAAAATAGACGGGTCAGGGCATATTTTAATCAACAAAACGTACGTGGATTCTCAAGTACTGTTTACTGCAGGTGAAAATAGTTTACATGGATTCCTCGTTTTAAAAGCAATGGCTGTAAGTAGTCAAGTTGACATGTTAAGTGATTGTTTTTCTATTTCCTGTACCTCCCCAGACACTTACTAAGCTAAAAAGGTGCAAGGCAGGTGAGAAACGAACCAAAGACTCAGTTATTGTTAAGATGTGGGTGAACATTTCAGACGACACAGCGATTCTTAAAACAGCACTTGTTTATTCACAGGCCAGAACAGAACTGAACTGAAGGGTTCAGTCAGCCTGCTTAGTACAACGTAACTGTAACAATTTTCTAAAACTATCCAATCACTGAACGTCACTTTCGATCCCTTATTTGCATAACTATCTACAGTATCCCCCTGCTGGCCCAGGGTGAGAACTTCAGTACATAACAGTTATGTTAGTCAAAATACAGTGTTATAAATGTGACACCAGAGCTGAAATCACAACTCAGTGATATTTTCAATTGCGAGTTTTACAATGGTTTTTTGCAGAGCGTTTTTGGAGCGTTGTTGTTGTTTTTTTTAGCTGTGTAGATCTAGCCGAAACTTTGGTGGGGATAGATCCGTGGCTCATTTGCTTATCTGTGCGACGGCTTGTAGTTTGTTGAACAAGCCATGGTTAAAACAAACTATGTCTTAGCATCATGTGCAAGTAAAGCCAATGGGGAGCTACAGATGGTTACAAAAGGGGCGTCCACAGTAGACTACACCCACCTGAAAGGAAGTGGGGGGAAGAAACCTGGAAGGGAGAGGGAAATGGCATGGGATATATTGGAAGGTGATATGGCTGGCAGGTTGGAACCTGGAATGGGAGCCCTCCATGCTGCAACATTTTACTGCAGGCCTCCTGTGTCTCTTCACTGTGGCCAGTCCCATGCCCAGGACAATAGGAAAACGGGCCTTTCCCACACTCCTCACCTGATCTTCTTTGATGCAATTTCTCACAGACCAGACAAGAGCTGCATGCGTTGCTGACCCATAATATCAAAAGCAGCCTCCGTTTGGGCATACCTGCCAGGACGGTAGTGGATTTAATTTCAGAAAAGAATGGCACCATTTGTAAGAGGTGGCTTCAGTTCAGCGTGGATGGCAAGCAGGTAACCGCACCTCCCTTTTAGTAGCATATATCCAAATAATGTGTGCAACAACAACAACAATAATAATAATAATTTATATACTGCCCTTCATCCAAAGATCTCAGGGCGGCTCACAAGATAAAAATACAGGATAAAAGCACAAAATAAATAGTTAAAACAATAACAAAACAATAACACACACACACCCAGCACATTTAAAAGGCATTAAGCAAAAGTGTGCCTTAAAATGCATCTATTAGTGAAAACAACATATAAAAACCATTACAATGGTACCTTGGTTCTCAAAGTTAATCCATTCCAGAACTCCATTCCAAAACCAAAGGGTTCTCAAACCAAGGTGCACTTTCCCGTAGAAAGTAATGCAAAATGGATTAATCCATTCCAGAGTTTTAAAAACAACCCCTAAAACAGCAACTTAACATGAATTTTGCTATCTAACCAGACCATTGACCCATAAAATGAAAGCAATAAACAATGTACTGCAGCCACACAATCAATCAATAGCTGAACTGGGTTCCACAGTCACAAAAACAAAACAAAAAGAGCCACAAAAATGCAAAAATAAATAGCAAAAACAGACAGACCTCAGCGTAACACTCAAAACAGAAGTGTGACACTCAAATCGGAAGCATAACACTCAAAATGGAGGCATTTTTTAAATGAAATACATATATCTGGCCAACCACGTGCTCATGTCTTTTTCCTGCCGCATTGCGGGTCTAGTTTTCATTTAGTAGTAAAACTGAGGAAACACTGCATATACTAATGTGGGTTGCCTTTTTAGGATTAGTAGTGCACATAGGGACACGGGTGGCGCTGTGGGTTAAACCACAGAGTCTAGGACTTGCTGATCAGAAGGTTGGCGGTTCGTATCCCCATGACGGGGTGAGCTCCTGTTGCTCAGTCCCTGCTCCTGTCCACCTACCAGTTCAAAAGCATGTCAAAGTGCAAGTAGATAAATAGGTACCACTCTGACGGGAAGGCAAACGGCGTTTCTGTGCGCTGCTCTGGTTCGCCAGAAGCGGCTTTGTCATGCTGGCCACATGACCCGGAAGCTGTACACCGGCTCCCTCGGCCAGTAAAGCGAGATGAGCGCCGCAACCCCAGAGTCGGCCACGACTGGACCTAATGGTCAGGGGTCCCTTTACCTTTAGTACACATTTATTAACACTTTTAATTATCAATCACATGTGAAAGTGGGTCCCATGTTGCAGCTTGGGCCTCAGGTCTGGACTAATTGAAGACCACTGGAATAAGGAGGAGTATGTTAACTGGTCTTTTGCCTCAAGCAGCAAAATGTCTGGGGTTGGCCCCAATTCTCTTCCAGCTGTCTTCTAATTTCAGCAACAGGGTTTGTTCAGGGCACACAACCCATATTACTAATGCATTTCTCCTTCCCCCCTCTTCTTTTTAAAAAACATAGATCGCAGAGGAACTGAGCTTTACACAGAATCTGGACCACATCTCTCTTGACTACAGGCTCACACATAATCTAGAAACTTTGCAAGCACTGTGGATAGAAGACAGGATAGAGTTGCAGGTAGGGGTTTTGTTTGTTTGTGTATAGACATGCTTGTCCAGCAGCCTAACTTGGCTGCCTTGTACAAATCAGGTCACATCCTCACCATTCAAAGAATCATGGGAGGTGAAGTGGCTCTGAGCTGTTGCTCTGTGAGGGGTAAACTACAGCTCCCAGACTTCTTTGCTTTAAATGTGCTGTAAATGTCTGGTGTGGATGTGACCTGACATCCTTTAAATCCGCTAAAATTGCAAAGAAACCATCAAACCACAGTGTGTGTGGTGTGGGGGGGGGGAATGTGGGAGTGGGGGTGGTGAGAGAGAGATGTAAAACCCTCCATCCTTTCCTTTTTTATAATAATTTTTATTTGGTTTTACAAATATAAAATTATAACAATTCAAATTACATATCCACATTTAGAGATTTCTCCAGATCTCTGGACTTCCCACTTTCCCCATTCATGGGTCCTATTGTACACCCTCTCAACTGCATATTATTTCATAATCCGTATTTGTATTTCTCCATAATATTCACTGCATTACAAGCGTTATTAAAATCCTGGTAATGTTTTCATCTGCGTACAGTGGTCTCCTAGATAATTTATAAATTTTTCCCATTCACTGTTGAAGTTTTGGTCTTCTTGGTTCCTGCGCTTTCTAGTCAGTTTTGCCATTTCAGCATAGTCCAACAGCTGGGTTTGCCATTCCTCTCTGGTAGGGACTTTGTCATCTTTCCATCTCTGGGCCAGTAACATCTGTGCAGCTGTTGTCGCATACATGGTCTTTTCTGGTCCTTTGGAATGTTGGTACCTACAATTTGTAATAAACAAGCTTCTGGTTGTGTGTGTTTTTTACAAAAGTTATTTTAAACATCCCTCCCCCCAATTCATTATATATCAAATGGGAAATGAAAACTCTCCATCCTTTTCATAACACATATGCTTTTTTCCATACAGGCTGTGGCTGGGCTGGTGGATGTTAAGAACCTGAGAGTGAAGATTCAGTATGGTTCATGCTGGATAAATGTTACAGGGCAAATACAAGCCATTGAAAGGAGGGTAAATTTAACAGGGAACTTTAATCACAAATGGTCGTGGTTGCTACGCTCATATATCCCAGAAACCATCCAGGTATGTGTGGTCATTCTTGTCGTTCTTCATTTACCATATCTTTCTGTGTATAATGTTGGTTTTTGCTTTTAAAAAAATCAGGCAAAAATTTGGGGTCATCTTACACATGGATAATGAATGCAGTGGCGTCGCCCGGTGGGTGATTGTCGAAAAAAGCTCAACAACTCAAGAAATACTGAGTTCTTAATTTTGGGTTTCTAAAAAAACGGGTCATCTTATACAAGGAGAAATATGGTAAAATGGACTGATAAGTCCACAAATGCATTATGAGTGCAGAGCTAAATTGAAAGATAATTTCACTAATCAGACACTTCCTTTTCTTTGCTGGAGCTGAACATTTCATGATTCTTGAGTTGCTTCTAAGGCACGTATCTCTCTTAGGTGATAATGTCCTCTGAAGTTAATACCACTCAAGAAAGGTGGATCCAGACCGTGAGTGGACAAACGCTTATTACCTATACCTCTAACTCCATCCATGTGAAGCAGCAACGCAACACCTTTTGCTGCAGTCTGCATAATGTTACGACGGCGATAACATCCAGATACCCCGCAGCAATCAATTTGACCTTCTTCCTACAGAAACTAGGTACAGTCAATGTTGCCCATGTCCTGCAGCCTTTCTCAGCCTTGGTTCCCCCGATGTTATTGAACTACAACTCCCATCATCCCCAGCCAGCAGGAGCGGTGGCAAGGGATGGTGGGTGTTGTGGTCCAACAACACCGGGGGAACCAAGGCTTGGAGAAAGCTCCTGATCCTTTCCTTTGAGTTACCTGCGGTCACAGTGACACCAGGTGATTGGCAGGTACCCGTTTCAAAGCAGCGTGCAGAAACGTGTAGAGCCAATGGGCCACACCCTGTTCTAAAAAAACCATTGGGCCCTAAAAATTCTCGAAAAAAAGAAGCACGTTGTGTAGCCTTAAGCCATACACTGGACAATGGTGGTGGAAATTTTTCGTTTTGTTGTATTTCAGAAAACAAAGCCAAAGCAGCATTTCAAGGGCTATTGAATAACGAAAGTGTGGCTGTCACTGTGGAGGTCCTCACTGGCTTTGAACTGCGTGGCCCTTTGGAACTCACAGCGGAAGTAAAACATTCCTTAGGTTACCTGAAGCAACACGGCCTCCCTTTCAGCCTTAAGGTATTTTACATTTATTTAACAAAATTAATTTACTGCTCAGTTGTAAACAGAACCTCTAAGTGGTTTGCCAGAAATAAAGCAAACAATCCCCTGTAATGGGAAGTTCTTATTTTCTGATGTTTCATTGTGTTTTATTTTTTTTAAAAAAAATTGTTAAAGATTTCATTGATTTTCCATTTTCAAAACAAATATCCAATATCAATACTAAACATTAGTTTTTCACACACACACCCGTTGACTTCCCTCAGCTTCCATTTCTGGTTTATTACATCAAATGATACGTTGTTTATATACAATACTATGTTATCACAATGTTATATTCCTTATTTTATGTAAATAAAATTGTAAATGTTTATTTAAATCCTGCCAACGAGTCCATTTTTTTTAATGTTTCTGCAAATATATTGTAAAAGGTTCCCATTCTTTTTCAAAGTCCCTGTTGTCCTTTTTTCACAGCTTGTCCGTTAACTTTGCTAACTCTGTTTCATTGTGTTTTATATGTGCTAGGAAGCTTCCCAGAGTGGCTTGGGAATCACATGGGCAGGGTATAAATAATATAATTATTGTTATTAATTAATTAATTAATTAATTAACTAATTTGTTGTTTTATTTTGGGGTTTTTTTTAAAAAAAAGGGTTTCAGGAAAAAATTATCCTCCCAACCTAAGGTACTTATTCTCAAAGTAGTCAGTCAAACAGTATACTGTTGTTGTTTAGTCATTTAGTCATGTCCGACTCTTCGTGACCCCATGGACCAGAGCATGCCAGGCACTCCTGTCTTCTCCTTCATGGATCACTGCCTTGTCATGGCGAAGGGGCTTGAATAACTCAGAGAAGCTATGAGCTGTGCCATGCAGGGCCACTCAAGACGGACAGGTCATAGTAGAGAGTTTTGACTAAACGTGACCTACCTGGAGCAGGAACCGGCAAGCCACTCTAGTATCTCTGCCAAGAAAACTCCATGGAGTTTATACGCTAAACAGCAAAAAAGAAGAACCACCTAACATTAAAATATTACAGCAACAACATCAAATAAGGGTGTTTTCAGATGGGGCCTTGATATTGCCAATGGGCCATTGGCAGCAGGGTTTGTTTGTTTGTTTGTTTGTTTGTTTGTTTAACAAATAAATCTGGATTAAATGATGTCACATAAATTGTACATCGTGAGGAATACAGGAGTTCTGCGCATCACAGAAAGTTGCACACACACGCTTGATTTCTGTGATCATGGTGGGTCAAAGAAAGCTGGAATACTGAAATCACTGTGAGGTAGGATTGAGATGCCCTTCCTTCCAGTCCATCATAGGTTTGTGAGAGAGAGCACCATCAGCACATTGTGTGCCACAGGATGTTGGCTGGGCTGAATTTCTGAAACAGCCATCAGTGTGAAATGGTACAAGCATTAAAGAGTAACAAGACCTTGCAATGCTTCTGTTAGATTCCATGTGAACACATCCACATTGATGAGTTGTTGTCTTTTCTCTTCTCCTGCTTATTCCTTCAGCTGACGCTCCTCAATATCCTGTTTGAAAACAAGACAGAAGCATCCCTGAAGCTGGCTTGTGACCCAAATCTGAATCTCTTCTTTGTTTTCAGGGCTAGAAATAAGTTGCAAAGGTAAGAAGAGGTTGGCCTTGGCATTTTACTCAGAGTAAGGTAAAAGGTAAAGGTACCCCTGCCCATACGGGCCAGTCTTGACAGACTCTAGGGTTGTGCGCCCATCTCACTCAGGAGGCCGGGGGCCAGCGCTGTCCGGAGACACTGGTCACGTGGCCAGCGTGACATCGCTGCTCTGGCGAGCCAGAGCTGCACACAGAAACGCCGTTTACCTTCCCGCTAGAAAGCGGTCCCTATTTATCTACTTGCACCCGGGGGTGCTTTCGAACTGCTAGGTTGGCAGGCGCTGGGACCAAGCAACGGGAGCGCACCGCGCTACGGGGATTCGAACCGCCGACCTTTCGATCGGCAAGCCCTAGGCGCTGAGGCTTTTACCCACAGCGCCACCCGCGTCCCTTTACTCAGAATAGGACCACTGAAATTAATGGACTTTGGTTGCTCCTGTGGGTCTATTTTGAGTTGGACTAGCATTGGCTATAATCCAATGAAGTCCATCGTTCTTTGACTTCCCAAAATGGTGGGTTGCTGGCACTTACTGAGATAGAGAGGTTAGATGATGTCTGTTATTTATTAAGCATTCATTCGGATTAGTTTGTGGAGAGGTTAGACGATGTTGCATCGAGCAAGTGTTATCCCATACTTTCCAGTGTATTTTCCCGTACTTTCCTTATCACACAAGGATAAGGTGGGAGCAGCAGGTTTGTTGCACAAGAGCACCAAGCCAGCTGTATTTGCAAACCCTGAATTTGCTGGTTGAATCCCACCTGGTTGTGGTGACAGCCAAGAAGCACCTTCAGAGGCATAGCTAATCCCTAAACACAGAGCTTTCCAAACATTTCAGGTTGGTGACACACATTTTAGACAGGCATCATTTTGCATGACATAGTAATTCAGTTTTACTAGCAAACCAGAGGTTAAACCATGGGTAGGCAAACTAAGGCCCAGGGGCCGGATCTGGCCCAATCGCCTTCTAAATCCAGCCTGCAAACGGTCCGGGAATCACTGTGTTTTTACATGAATGTGTCCTTTTATTTAAAATGCATCTCTGGGTTATTTGTAGGGCCTGTCTGGTGTTTTTACATGAGTGGAATGTGTGCTTTTATTTAAAATGCATCTCTGGGTTATTTGTGGGGCATAGGAATTTGTTCATATTTTTTTCCAAAATATAGTCCGGCCCACCACAAGGTCTGAGGGACAGTGGACCGGCCCCCTGCTGAAAAAGCTTGCTGACCCCTGGGTTAAACTAACCCTTTTACAGTCTAGGGAGGAGCGTGGGGAGCAATTGCACAACACACCTACACACTGCAGCCGATACACTAAAGTGTCACGATACACAGTTTGGAAAGCTCTGCCTTAGCACATCTGATTGAAGATTCTCTCTCTTTCTCCTCCAGTGAAGAATTGCATATCAGATGTCTCCAGAACCTGCCATTTCTCCTTCAGCATTTCCCCAGCACGGCTGAAGTTTCCTCAAAGGTAAATTGCTCCAGTTAAGTCTCGTCCACCACAGATTTTGCTAACTGCATCTTACTGCAACTTACATTAGGAAAGGAATTGAAGAGGAAACCTGCTGATATCACCACGCTGTTAATTGAAATCTATGGTGTGATCACAATTGGAATGCTGTGTTGCCTCACCTCAATATTATAGAGTTGGACAAGGTTCAGAAAAGGGCAGCCAAAATGACCAAGACAATTGAACTAACAATAATAAAATAATAAATAAAAATAATAAAATAATAATAAACCTTTATTGTCACTACACTACACCTAAATTAAACGAGCCCCCCACACACACTCAGTCTCGTTCGCGCTTTGAGTGCTACTACTGCCCTGTGAAAAAAGGTTTCAGAATTTGCGACATTTTAGTTTAGAGAAAAGTTTATGACAGAAGTTTATACAATTATGAATGGTATGGAGACAGGGGATAGGTAAAAAAAAATTTCTCCCTCCCTCAAAACACTAGAACATTTGGGCATCCGATGAAGCTAAACGTGTGAAGATTCAGGCCAGGCAACAGAAAGTCCTTTACACAACACATGGTCCAAACTAAGGAAGGCACTCTCAGAGAAGGCACTGATAGCCTCCAGCTTCGATAAACGAGGATTAGAGAAGGCTGACATTAGCCATGATGAATATGTTCTGCTGCCACTGTCAGGGGCATTATGCCTCTGATTGCTGGTTGTGGGGAACTGCATGTGGGCAGAGCGGTGCTGCTCTCAGGTAAAACTTGCAGGCTTCCCACAGGCATCTGGTCAGCAGCTTTGAGAAAAGGATGCTAGACTAGATGGGCCATTGGCTTGTCTTTAAGTTCTCAGAGTGATGGCCAGGGCCTGGTCATATAACAGATGGTGCTGTCCTGTACCTGCTATAAAGGAAAATGAAAGAAAGGATTGGGGATCTCCTGGGGCCTGTGCGTGGCAGCAAAGGGTGTGTGTGAAAGACTTTGGTTTTCCAAATTTCAGCAGTGCCCTGTCTGAGGCCAAAATTCAACAACCTCCCATCCGTCTCTCGCCTTCCGTTCTGCACTTGTGTTGTTGTTGTTGTTTAGTCATTTAGTCGTGTCCAACTCTTCATGACCCCATGGACCAGAGCACACCAGGCATTCCTGTCTTCCACTGCCTCCCGCAGTTTGGTCGAACTCATGCTGGTAGCTTTGAGAACGCTATCCAACCATCTCCTCCTCTGTTGTCCCCTTCTCCTTGTGCCCTCCATCTTTCCCAACATCAGGGTCTTTTCCAGGGAGTCTTCTCTTCTCATGAGGTGGCCAAAGTATTGGAGCCTCAGCTTCATGATCTGTCCTTCCAGTGAGCACTCAGGGTTGATTTCCTTAAGAATGGATAGATTTGATCTTCTTGCAGTCCATGGGACTCTCAAGAGTCTCCTCCAGCACCATAATTCAGAAGCATTGATTCTTCAGTGATCAGCCTTCTTTATGGTCCAGCTCTCACTTCCATACATCACTACAGGGAAAACTATAGCTTTAACTATAAGGACCTTTGTTGGCAAGGTGATGTACTATGCCACAATTGGAGGGCCCTGCAGTGCCGCCGCCCCCAGCTCAGCAACCAAGGAAGGGGAACTGGTCGCACTGCCCTAAAATCGCCTCTGGTGAAGAAATACATTGAGGGGAGGGCAAAGTCTTTTGCTGTTGTTGTTTAACAATCCTCTTTAATTCCTTTAGATAAATTATTCTACCAAAGAAGCAGAAGGCAAAATTTCCATCCAGATGGAAAATAAGGATTTCCTTGTTTTGACAAAGTTAGCATTTACTGGGAGGAACCACACACAAGTCCTTGAATTGATGCACAGTGTACCCCAGGTTGGTGGGACCACTTTTTAACATGTATTTTAATCCATGCAAACAAGGCAATGAGGAGGTGGCGAATAGCCGCTTTGAGGTTTCTGGGTGTACAATTCAGGAGTCTTGGCATAACAAAGGATGTTGCACCTCTCTCCTTTTTTTTTATTTTAGCTAGCAATCGTTCCAAGGCGACTTGTTCTCACAACAGCTTACCAAAAAAGCAAGAGAACCCAAGCTTTGAGATGTGTTGCATTATGGGATGGCAAAGAAGCAAAACTCGCAGGCAGCTACACTGGAGTCTTCCCAAAGATATATGGAGGTCATGAAGTGCAGGGTAGGTTTCTATAAAACTCTGGGGCAAGCAGTGATAGAAGGGAAATGGCCAAAGCTCTCGGTTTAAGCAGAGCTTCCAAGGTTCAGTCTCTGCCATCTCCTGTTAAAAGTATCCAGGTGGAATGGTGGTTAAAGTCACTGGGGTTAGATGAGACGGCAAAGTTGACATGTTTAATTACAGAAAAATCATTGTTGATATTTAGTAAAGATTAGAAACTCTTTATGGACTTTTTGCATGAAAAAGAAAAAGACCTTGTGATATCTGTGTTTGAGGGCTGAAGAAAATATTGGTTTTTAGAAAGTAAAATAGTTGGGTGCTACCTCAGAGTGGATGTTTTGAATAATTTTCTGCCTATAGCTGACAGATGAGGAATCAAAAGTTCTCTTTTCCCTTTTTGCTTTTCTCTTTCCTTCCTTTTCTCTTCTCCCCTTTTCGGTTTGTGTTTTCATTTAGATTAGCTTTTTTATTTTTGATAATCTAAAAAGATATTGGGTATTTGATATAAAACTCTCTCTCTCTCTCTCTCTCTCTATATATATATATATATTCAGACTTTAATAAATATCTATTATGGGGGGAGGGGAAGTATCCAGGTTGCAGGTGAAGAGAAAGAAAGATGGGAAAGTCAAGTGACTTGCTCTATTCTAGGGCAGGGGGCCATAGCAGTGGTAGAGCATCTGCCTTGTACCCAAAAGATCCCAGGTTCAATACCCAACATCTCCAGATACGTTCCTAATTGAAAGAAAAGCCCATGTTCAGAGAGACCTTTTCAAATCCAGCATCATTGACCTCATTCAAAGGGTAGTAGTAGTAGTAGTAATGATGATGATGATGATAATAATAATAATAATAATAATAATAATAATAATAATAATAATAAATTTTATTTATACCCCACCCTCCCCAGCCAGAGCCGGGCTCAGAGCGGCTAACACCAATAAAATCACAGTAAAAACATAATGAGGGGAAAGAGGGGAGGGAGAAAAGAAAAAAAAAAACAATTTTAAAATACAGGTTAAAATGCAATTTAAAATGCAGCCTCATTTTAAAATAGCTGATAAATCAAGACCATAAGGGTAGGGAAACATAAGTCCAAACCAAAGGCCAGGCGGAACAACTCAGTCTTGCAGGCCCTGCGGAAAGATGTCAAGTCCCGCAGGGCCCTAGTCTCTTGTAACAGAGCACTCCACCACGTCGGGGCCAGTGCTGAAAAGGCCCTGACCCTAGTTGAAACCATACTGTGGATGTTTAATTTTCCCACCATGTGTTTCCTGGACAGGTAAGAGTATGAAGATGACGTAGAAGTCATTCAAAGTTCTACCCCCAAATGAACATAATTCACATTCAGTTCACCTGGCCATTATAGGGACTGCTTTAAGGTGTGGTTCGGAGATTTTTGAACTTCCTTAAATCCAAATGGTTTGTTCCAAGCACTGGGCGCTGTGTCCAATAGGAAACATGGCTTGTTTTCCATTTCAGTGGAGATCTGCCATCCTCTCTCGATCCCTTTTCCTCAGCGCTCCACGCTCCGCTTGCATGTGGAGCACTCTGGACATAGCCACAGAGACAACGTCATCATTGGTTGGGATGCAAAGGAACAGGTAACAGAAATGAGAGTCAGCTTTTCCATTCATTCAGCACTACACCCTTAGACCAGGGGTGTCTAACTCAAATTCATCGGGGGCCGCATCAGCAGTTTGGTCACCCTCAAAGGGCCGGTTGTATCTGTAGGACTTACAGTACAGGAGAGAAGGGTTCAGGCAGCCGTTGGATCTGTCACATCACAGGATGGCATGCGCTCAATATAAAAACAAGTGGAGGTTTCCTGAATGCATGTAAAGTAGAGGTTTCCTGTGTAGAACGGCCGGCGCCGCTAGAGGGCAGACGTTCTCTGGCTTGTAGGCTGCCGCGCATGCGCTGAAGATGCAGCTTTCTTGTGTCAAAAAAAAAAAAGCGAGAATAAAAGGTGAAGGCTGGTGGCCGCCGGCGGCTACACGGGCCACATGACAAGGTCTGGCGGGCCGTATTCGGCCCGCGGACCTTGTGTTTGACACCCGTGCCTTAGACCCTGCTCGGGAAAACTATTGCCTCCTCAGTTATGGCCACCAACATGCCAAGTTCAGACAACATGGAAACACAGAATGCAGGTTTTTCATCCAGAAGATCTCCCATGCTCATTCTCCAGCATCACCAGTTAAAACAGGGTTGAGGAACGTTTTCCAACCCGAGGGCCACCTAGCTGTCTAGACAACCTTCTGGGGGCCACATGTTGTTGGTGGGTGGGGCCAGAAGCAAAAATAGACAGAGCAAGGAATGTATAACTATTGCCCCTTGTACAACAGAGCAGCTTCTCCACAGATTCTTGCACCCCTTTCTCTTCTCCATCCAGCAGACAAGGGACATGATCATAGTTCCTTTGTATGCATACCTGGCTCCTTCCCGTTGGTCGAGGGGCGAGGCAAGGCTTAGTAATCTCCTGCTGTTTCCATTATATAGCTTTAAACACCTTTCTGGCCTCATAAGCCCTTCTCCTGTCTAAACCTCCCAAAACTTCAACAATACAAAATTAGTTATCTTTTCCATTTGTATGTAAATCTAGACATTTTGTGTTTTATGTTGTAAATCACCCTGTGATCTTCGGATGAAGGGTGGTATACTATTATTTTTAATAATATAACAAACAATAAGCAATATAATTAAATATAACAATAATAATAGGAGAGATTGCTATTGCCACCACTTGTTTAACCTCTGTTTCCGATTACGGCAACAGGTCTCTGTATCTTCTTCTCTCAAGTTTGGAAAAGAGCGTGTCTATTACTACGCTGCTGTGGCTCACCCTTTTAATTTCACCATCAATCACATGGAGGTTAGAGCTCTCACCGAAAGCAGAAGAGGCGCCTACAACCAGCAGGTAAATTGACCGGATGGATCACACAAAGCAATTAACGGTGCAATCCTATAGATAACTATCCAAAAATAAGTCCTGTTCTGGAAACTGGATATCAGAACGCAGCTGTGTGCTCCTGATAATGTATGGAATTTTTTCCCCAATTGAACTGGGTTGTGTAAAGCGGAGATGGGGAAAATGTGGCCCTCCAAATCTTGCTGAATCACAACTCCCATAATTCCTGACTATCAGCCATGCTGGCTTGGGTAGACAGGAGGTTTCACAGGTTCCCATCCCTGCGACAAGGGCTGGCACATGCATTACACTTAACTTTAAACCATGGTTTCCATATCCTGGGCTTGTTTTGGAAGCTGCTAACCATAGTTTCCCAGATAATGGAAAGGTATAGTTAGTTATGGCTTCCTGGCTTGTTTCCCCACTTGTGCAAAGAGAAGTTATTTGCAAGGAAAAGAAGCTTGTTCATACCTAGGTATGATCATGTGAACACAGCCTGTCTTTCTATCCTGCTGTTTTCCAGGAGGTCAAAGCAGCTTACATCCATTTCTCTAAATCAGGTGTAGGCAGCTTAAGGACCATGGGCTGGATGCGGCCCAATCACCTTCTAAATCCAGCCTGTGGATGGTCTGGGAATCAGCGTGTTTTTACATGAGTAGAATGTGTCCTTTTATTTAAAATGCATCTCTGGGTTATTTGTGGGGCACAGGAATTCTTTCATTCCCCCCCCCCAAAAAAATATAGTCCAGCCCACCACATGGTCTGAGGGACGGTGGACCAGCCCACGGCTGAAAAAGGTTGCTGGCCCCTGCTCTAAATGCTAATCACTTTGTCCCTTAGGGGCTCATAACCCTAGGGTGTGCTTTCCCCCCTTTCAAGTGAATATTGCTCTTGCCATGCTGCTCTGTCTCAAACTTAGTTCAGCATTTCTTTTTCTGACTTTAGGTGTGGCTGGCTTGGGACGATGGGCAACCTGCCCACTTGAAATTTACATTTGGAGACAAGTCCCAGATCAACACCACTCTTTGGGATGCTTGTATCACAGCTTCCTCTAGCCAGGTACAAATGTTTGGCATTTTCAATTAATATTTTAGGCAGTCTGTGGCAAACCACTTAGAGGTCCTTTGTTCCAGAAAGCTGTATGTGCATATATATTTTTGTTATATAAAAGACTGCTTGGCATCATTGCAGCTATGCCACCCAAAGTGAACATAGAGCATTGGGAGCTGCCTTATACCCCAGTTCACCATTGGTTCATCCAACTCAATGTTGTCTGCACTGACTGGCAGCAGCGCTCCAGAGTTTCAGGGAAACGTTATCTCTCAGTGCCACCTGGAGAGCCTGGGGATTGAAGCTGGGATCTTCTGCAGGCAAACAGATGCCATGCCACTGAACCACACATCTTCTCCAAAGTAATAACCAATGTTTCTCCTTCATAATTTCTGCAGCTTCAGAATGTTCTAAGCCTTGCAAGTCTCCAGGCCTGCGGGTCCCTTGAGCAGACGGCAGCCTTCTTGAGTCAGCACTTGGACCTGAAGTGGGATGGCAGAAAAATTGTGCAGAATCTGACATATGAGGTGGAATCTTCGTTATTCTGTTGCATGAAACTGAGCACTGGTTTTGGGGGTACAGGAGGCGGGCAGGTGTGGAGGACTCCCTGGTCCTGAATGGGATAACTGTGCCCCTGAAGGACCAGGTGCACAGCCTGAGAGTCATTTTGGACTCACAGTTGTCCATGGAGCCACAGGTCAATTCTTTGTCCAGGGCAGCTGTGTGCCAGCTCCATCTGGTACGCAGGCTGAGACCCTGTCTGCCCATGTGCTGTCTCGCCAGAGTGGTGCATGCTCTAGTTATCTCCCGTTTGGATTACTGCAATGTGCTCTACGTGGGACTACCTTTGAAGGTGACTAGGAAAGTACAATTAATCCAGAATGCGGCAGCTAGACTGCTGACTGGGAGTGGCCGCTGAAACCATATAACACCGGTCCTGAAAGATCTACATTGACACCCAGTACATTCCTGATCACAATTCGAAGCTTTAAAGTCCTAAATAGCCTCGGTCCAGTATACCTGAAGGAGTGTCTCCACCCCCATCGTTGAGCCCAAACACTGAGGTCCAGCTCCTTCTGGCGGTTCCCTCACTGCGAGAAGTGAGGTTACAGGGAACCAGGCAGAGGGCCTTCTTGGTAGTGGAACGCCCTCCCATCAGATGTCAAGGAAATGAACAACTAATTGACTTTTAGAAGACATCTGAAGGCAACCCTATTTAGGGAAGTTTTTAATGTTTGATGTTTTATTGTGTTTTTAATATTTTGTTGGGAGCTGCCCAGATGGGCGGAGTATAAATAAATTATTATTATTATTATTATTATTATTATTATTATTATTACATCACTTGGAGAAAATTGCTTTCATGAATAAGGCTGAGGTAGGGCAGGATTTGCTTTTTGACATATTTCATGGCCCTTGAGCCTGTTCTGCTAGCTATTTATTTATTTATTCTTGTTCTGATGTTGCTGAATGTTTTCCATAAGATCTGTAGGCTTGTGCCCATGGCTTCTGCCAAATAATCCTGGGAACTGGAGCTTCCCCCTCACAGAGCTACAATTCTCAGCACCCTCAACAAACTACAGCTCCCATGATTCTTTGGGAAGTTTTTAATATTTAATGCTGTATTGTATTTAACACTCGATTGGGAGCCACCCAGAGTAGCTGGGGAAACTCAGCCAGATGGGCACAGAATAATAAATTATTATTAATGATTATTATATTATGTGTGGTGCGGATCTGCCTGAATTGGGTAGGATGTGACTGAATCTCACCCCAAAACAGTGACAGTCTGGGAGCACCCTTAGGAGCCATTATTAAACAACTTGAGAGTAGTACTCATCAATGACTGCAGACATCAGAAATGCAGGCACATTTTGAGCTCCTGTTCTATTCTCCCTTTTTTAAAAAATGCAGAAAAGCAAGTCATTGCACCTGGATAAAATTCAAGTGGAAGCCATTTTGGAAAACATCTTTTCGACTCCATGTTCCAGTCAGCATATCTTGGGGGAAATTGAAACGGACTACTCAGCTTGGCTTCGTCATTTTGCGAGCCTCAGAACCTGCGATATCCCAGAGGTAAGTGATGGGTTGCCATTGCTCTCAAATACAAACAGGGTAATCCTCTGCCTGCCTACTCAGAATGAAGCTCCACTGAAATGAAAGGGGCTTCCTTCTGAACAAACATGCATAGGACTTCAGTGACATGTTCATGCCTCTGCTTTGCAGAGAACAGCCCACTCTCAATCTGAAAGCATCCTATGTTATTAGAGGGGCGGTCAGGTCCAAGTCCGGCTTAAAAGATAAAGAATCCCAGAATTGTAGAGTTGGAAGGGACCCACGAGGGTCATCTATGCCAACCCACTGCAGGGCAGGAATCTTTTGCACAGCATGGGGCTCAAACCCAGGACCTTGAGATTCAAAGCCTCATGCTCCACCAACTGAGCTATCTCCCTAAGAAGGGAGGGCAGGAGGGTCTTGAAGTTGCCCATCAAACATGCACACCGGGTCAGCAGCTGGCTGAGCAAGCAGTGACACGCTGCACCAGGTCTCTGTCTTCCCCACTGCATGGGAGCCATTGCATCTCTGTGTTCCCTTATGGAGGCAGTGAGTGTCCCTCTCACTACCAGTTCCTGGCAAACGCAAGTAGGGAGAAAGTACGACTGCACAGAAGTCCTTCTTGCGGGCTCCCTATAGGCCTGTTATAAGAAAAATTGCTCCCTTTTGCTTATGGGGTATTCCAGAGCCCATATAGAGTCCTTAAGTGGGTTCCCTATCAGTAGGAGAACACAGAGGCCAACCAAAATATACTGAGAAGCAAAGCGGCTAGTAAGCCTGATCTTTATTAAAGGAACTGTTGCAACAGGGTCCCCACTCACCACATGCAGGAGGGAGGAGAACCCTGAACAATGGTGTGCAAGCCCTTATACAGTGGTACCTCTAGATGCGAACGGGATCCGTTCCGGAGCCCCGTCTCCATCTAGAAGCAAACATAACCCGTGCTCCGTTACTTCCGGGTTGCCGCAGAGTGCAACTTGAACGCACTCATCTCGAAGCCGAGGTATGACTGTATAGACTTTTGAAATTGTCCACCCTGTAGCCCAAGACCCCCCCCCAAAAAAAAATCATACATACATCACAGAAGGAGGTGGTCTACAGCAGAAATCCTGCCTGCCAGGATACCTGATAATGGTCACTGATTGCATTACCTGGGCAGCCTGGCCATTCTTTTGTTATCGTTAATACTTTAGTTCCTGAGTCCAGGTTACAGGCTCACTGTATTCATACACAAATACGCCCTTAAGAACAGGATTTGCAAGCAAAAAGACCATGGGAAGGCTTTCCCCATTTGCAGAGGAATATTTGAGGTCGTTGCGAGAGTCAAAATGGCTTCAGGATTGCTCTCCTATACTATTTCAGGCACATGATTCATATATTTAGATATGTGTGTATTTATGAATGTTTATTCTATATTTGAGACCTTAAAATTCTTATGACAGGCCTCTAGTTGGCCCCTGTGAAAACAGGATGCTGGACTAGATGGGTCTTTGGCCTGATCCAACAGGGCTTTTCTCATGTTCCATTCCAGCTATAGTCATTATTTCGAAACTGGCATCTATACATAACAATTACCATATGCAATTTTTATGCAAACCTTTTGCGGGGTGCATTTCCTCTTTGGGGGCACCCTGCCTGTCAAGACTTGGAAGCAGTATCAAAGACATATCATTCTTACCCACCGTGACACATGCCTATTCTCCCCCTCCCCCCTTTACTTTACTTTGCTCTGTCTCTGGTAATTCCACCCTCTCTGTTTTCCTAGGCAATTGCAATCTCTGGGAAGCACCAGCTAAACAAGGGAGGTTTTCTCTGGCGATCAGAAGGCAAACTCAGCCTTGCTGGCGGCGAGGGGTCCATCATGGCCACTTTAAGAAATCGTAGCACAGCCAAAGAGAGGAACTATTCAACAGAGTTTTCAGTGAGTTGTGGGGCAGGCAAGCCTTTATTCATTCATTCCTTTATTTGTATAAAGGAACGTGTCCAGAGGAGGGCAACCAAAATGGTCAAAGGCCTGGAAACGATGTCTTATGAGGAACGGCTAAGGGAGCTGGGCATGTTTAGCCTGGAGAAGAGGAGGTTAAGGGGTGATATGATAGCCATGTTCAAATATATAAAAGGATGTCACATAGAGGAGGGAGAAAGGTTGTTTTCTGCTGCTCCAGACAAGCGTACACGGAGCAATGGATCCAAACTACGGAGCAAGTTTCTTGCTCAATATCTTAAGGGAATTGCCGATGATACGATTGAAGCCAAACTGAGATATCTACTAACTGATGATGACCCCCTAAAATCACTCATGGTTGCCAGATTCCTGATCAGCGTCCTATCCCTAAAGAAGAGAAACGGTCTCCTGTGTGATTCGGATAACCCCTTTAAACCATGACCTATGTTTTAGGTGATATCACCATTGTTTTAAACCATGATCTATGTTTTACGCGATATCCCCATTGATATCCCTGTTATTTATTGTAATGTATGATGGTGGTTTCTGTTTTTGTATGATGGTGGTTTTTGTTTCTGTTTTGCTTCGATTATTGTTTGTCTTTTGTAAGTTTTGGCGATTTTAAATTTGGAGGTTTAAGTATAATATGTTGGTATGGGAAACTGTCGTGTAACGGGCCAATGGCCGTAATAAAGATCAATCAATCAATCCAAACTACAAGAAAGAAGATTCCACCTAAACATTAGGAAGAACTTCCTGACAGTAAGAGCTGTTCGACAGTGGAATTTGCTGCCAAGGAGTGTGGTGGAGTCTCCTTCTTTGGAGGTCTTTAAGCAGAGGCTTGACAACCATATGTCAGGAGTGCTCTGATGGTGTTTCCTGCTTGGCAGGGGGTTGGACTCGATGGCCCTTGTGGTCTCTTCCAACTCTATGATTCTATGATTCTATGATTCTATGATTCTATGTATAATATGTGACTTGGGCCCAGGCTACCTGAGATATCATATCTCCTTATACAAACCTGCCTGGGTGCTAAGACCCTCATGGGAGCAACGTCTCTCAGGCCTGTTGACATCAGAGCCAAGGTGACACCATAGGAAGCCTTTTCTGTGGCAGCTCCCATATTGTGGAATTCTCTCCCAAGAGACGTTAGACTGGCTCCCTCTTTGCTATTTCCTGCTATTTCCTGTTTAGGCAGGCCTTCAGAAACTAAGGCACAGACCACAAAAAACAGCGACAATTTGTTGTTGACAAAGGACAGCTGGACATATAAAGGGCCCCATTACCTTCAGTAGCTTAGGGCCTCATCAAACCTAAATTTGGCCCTGCTCTGGACTGAATATCCCTTCAGTCTGATGCAGCAGGCACTTAAGTTCCAATGGCAGGCAAAGGGTTAAGCACTCTCTCATTTCCCTGCCTTTCCTTTAGTGCAAATTTTCCCCTCCCAGCAGAACTGTTGCAAGAGAAAGGACTGCCGGGCCTTTCTTGCACACCCCTGCTACGTGACATGCAATTTGCCACGACAATCCTGCATCCGCCATAACTATTTGAGTTCAAAAATTACCTTCATCTGCCACCCTTATTGCAAATGAGCATGCACTGCCACCTAGTGGTAAAGGTATTCAGGTGCATAGAGATAATTTGAAGAGTGGACGGGCAGGGGGAGCTTTAAAATTACTAGTAGCTGGGTGGGTGCAGGGCCGTCTTTCCCATAGGGCTTAGTGGTGCATTGCGCCAGGGCGTCGGCCTCTCAGGGGCACCCCAGCGAGTTGAGGAGCTATGCAGCTTTGCCAGCGGCCTCCCCTTTCCCGGCACTCCTGCCAGCTGTGCCCCACCAACCATATGGCTGGCAGGCATGCAGCTTCCCTCCCAAGCCTCTGTGGGGGATTGCTCTCCCGCAGTGGCATGGGGGAGAGTTGCGCTCCCTCCATGGCTGTCTGTGCGCAGCTTCCCCCCCCCCCCCCCGCTATACATTGTAATTTGGGGGCACTGGGTGGATATTTGCACCCCAGCGCCGCATCTGCTAAAGACGGACCTGGGTGGGTGTGAGCAGAATTCAATTAGGGCCTAGTGCCTTCTCGCCATGCCACTCCAAATCACCATTCAGTATGAGGAAAGAAGAAGAAGAAGAGTTTGGATTTGATATCCTGCTTTATCACTACCCGAAGGAGTCTCAAAGAGGCTAACATTCTCCTTTCCCTTCCTCCCCCACAACAAACACTCTGTGAGGTGAGTGGGGCTGAGAGACTTCAGAGGAGTGTGACTAGCCCAAGGTCACCCAGCAGCTGCATGCGGAGGAGCGGAGACGCGAACCCGGTTCCCCAGATTACGAGTCCACTGCTCTTAACCACTACACCACACTGGCTTATGGTTGTGGCATTTGGGACTCTTTTGTTTATAGAAAAGGAGAGGAACAGGTGACACAACAGAATAGTATAAAATTATGTGTGACATGGGGAATGTGGGTAGAGGATTAAAAAAAATGCCTCCCTCTCTCATGATGCTAGAACTCATGGATTTCCAAAGAAGATGAATGCTGGAAGATTCAGGACAGAGGAAACTAAGTTATCCTTCACGCAGCAAATTGTTAAACTATGAACTCACTCCCACAGGGACGGCCGCCCAGTAGGATGTCTTTAGAAGACAAATGGGCAAATTTATGGAGAAGAACGTTACCGATGGCTACTAGTCACAATGGCTAAGTTCTGCCTCCAAAGGTAGAGATGGTAACGCTTCTGAAAACCAGTTGCTGAAAATGTTTTTCCTTTCTTTCCACAGCTCAAAGCACCTGATGCTGTTTGGCTGGGTGTGGTGGGAAGTGTGGCTTCCTCAGCTGGTCAAAGTCAAGTCCTGGTGGAGGCGAAGATTGACCCAAAAGAGGCAGTGAAATTAGCAGCTTCCAAAGGAAAAGGATGCCTTCAGTGTTACATTGGATACCTGAAAGGTAAATTCACTATTCCATAGTGCTCTGTTCTGGATAATCGGCATCCAATTGCATGTGGAATCCCTCAAAGTGATGGCCAGTGTGCTGTTGTGGTTGTTGGGGAAACGCCTGCGCGGGAAAGATGCCAAGCTTCTCAAGACGCCGGGGCTTCTCTCTGGTGGTCACTCTCTGGCTGGAATCTTCCATCAGTCCAGAGACTTCTCCCTTCTGAGAGGAGCACACTCACTTTCTCCTGGCAACGCATCACAGAAGAAGAGACAGTCCGTAGTCTACTGCTACTGTATTAAGACTGTACAAAACATGTCTGCTCTCTGCGCAGTACAGCACAAGAGTCTCCGACTCGACTCAGCTTCTACCCAGAAGCGGAAGAACAAGACTCAGTAACTCCACCCGGTTACACTGAGAACTGGCAGAGACTTCCTGCCTCGCGCTCAGGGACGTCACATGATGTCAACAATGTAGCTGCTTACTCGCAGCTGGTGGGAACTGAAATCCCAACAGTGGTTAGAGGAGGGGAGCCTCAGGCTCGAATGTGGCCCACCATAGCTCTCTGTGTGGCCCTCAGAGCTCTCCTCAGTCCCCATCAGGGGCGCCAACTTGGGTCCCAGGTTATGGGTGCCCAGCACTTGTGACGTGATGGGGGCCTGCGGTGTGGTTGCTGAGCACCCACAACAATTTTTTGTGGGTGCTTGGGCCCCATGGGCGCCCTAGAGATGGTATCCCTGGTCCTCGCCCTTCACTGGCCCTCCCCCATGCCCTCCCAGAGAGCTTCTTACCTGCCTGGAATATGTCCTGATAATAATGCCTCTTCCTTTTCTGGATAGGAAGACCTCTCTGTAGAAAAGTCTGACCCGTGCACTGCCAAAATGTGACTTTCACTTTTTTACAGCAGGCTACACCTGCTGGTCCACCTGCTATTGACTCTGGTCCCACCCACCACTGAAATGCGCCCCCCCCCCGAGGTTGCCCATTAGTCAATGCGGCCCTGAGGCTGGAAGAGATTCCCAAAGCCCTTGCATCTATCTGAGTAGCAGTGGGAGAGCTAGAGATCAAATCCTCGTGGAGCTGGGTGACCTTAGGTCCAACTCTTTCTGTCTCTCTGATTTAACTCCCCTTGCAGTAGCTGGGAAGGGACAAAAAGGAGTTTAGGGATTTTAAAGAAACAATTTCATATGTTGTGTGTCTGTTTCTCAATTTGATCCAGGTGGGATACAAATAAAACACAGCTCTTGGTGGGCAACTCTTCTGGGCTGCATCAATAGGAGTATAGCATCTAGATCAAGGGAAGTAATAGTGCCACTGTATTCTGCTCTGGTCAGACCTCACCTGGAGTACTGTGTCCAGTTCTGGGCACCACAGTTCAAGAAGGACACTGACAAACTGGAACATGTCCTGAGGAGGGCAACCAAAATGGTCAAAGGCCTGGAAACAATGCCTTATGAGGAACAGCTAAGGGAGCTGGGCATGTTTAGCCTGGAGAAGAGAAGAGGAGGTTAAGGGGTGATATGATAGCCATGTTCAAATATATAAAAGGATGTCATATAGAGGAGGGAGAAAGGTTGTTTTCTGCTGCTCCAGAGAAGCGGACACGGAGCAATGGATCCAAACTACAAGAAAGAAGATTCCACCTAAACATTAGGAAGAACTTCCTGACAGTAAGAGCTGTTCGACAGTGGAATTTGCTGCCAAGGAGTGTGGTGGAGTCTCCTTCTTTGGAGGTCTTTAAGCAGAGGCTTGACAACCATATGTCAGGAGTGCTCTGATGGTGTTTCCTGCTTGGCAGGGGGTTGGACTCGATGGCCCTTGTGGTCTCTTCCAACTCTATGATTCTATGATTCTTTCTTCTTATGGTAATGTGGGGGCATGGAAAGGTCAAGTCTTCAAATAGAGGACTGTCCTGTGTAACGTAGGACTCATGGCCACCTGTAACCCAGAGTAGCAGTGATGGTGATTTGGCAGCCTCCTTTTTTGTTTATATTTTGGAAGTTTGTTTAATTTATTTTTATTTTTTATTTAATATACCGCCCTATACCTGGGGGTCTCAAGATATAAAACCACGAAATACCTAATAAAAATAAAAACAACAACCCAATAGCCGCCCCCACCCCCACCCCAAAAAAAACATTTTAAAAGGGCATAGGATGTAAATCAGATCAACCAAAGGCCTGGCTGAAAAGGAACCATTTTTGCCTGGCACCTAAAGGTGTATAATGAAGGTGTCAGGTGAACTTCCCTGGGGAGAGAATGGGGAGGCACTGCAGAGAAGCCCCGTTCTTGTTTTGCCACCCTCCAAACCTCTCGAGTTTGTCTGCAACTCTACAGTTCTGTGATGATTTCTACCGTTTTGCAATGGCCGCTTCCTTCCTTTCCTTGATTTCACATTTCTCTTTTTCCACCGTGACCGCGGGAGGCTTAAAACTTTGTTCTTCTCTTGGTTCTTGCAGCGGATGCTGAGGATGGGCTGGAGCTTGAGGCTTGCACAGATGGCCAACAGCATGCCGCTTTCAATGCCTACCTTGTCATTAACGGAGAGAGACGAGAGGAAGTGGGGCACTTGGCCCTTGAAGCCACCAACAAGAGCTTGAGCTTCAAGGCCCATGGCTGTGGAGGTCCAGTCGCTAAAACAGAGGTGTGGTGTTTTCAAAAGCAATAGGACTCTCCAGATCCCTATTTTGTTCTGCACTTGTTATTATTTTTGCTCAAGATGGGATCAGGGCAGTTATGTTCTGGTTTTGTGGTGGGGAAAGACCATTTCTGGCATAAACACCTCCATCCTGTTGCTTGATACCAGTTGGCCTCGGAGACCAAGATTTCTTGGTGGGGATGCACACATTGCTGCGCCAGATGTGGCCAGCAGTGACCCTGGTGATGGTACCCCTAAAGTGAGAGACACCAAAGGGGTCTCACATTTGGGGGTGGGGCTGTGCTAGGGTCAAATACCCCCAACTGCTGCTGTTTGAGCCAGGGGATTTACTGTACTTTTCTGTGTATAACACGCCCCCATGTATAAGACGACCCCTATTTTGGGAGGGACTCCAATTTAGGGAAATGGGGGGAGATTGGCCAGAGTTGTCAAGCTATTTTTTTGCGAAGGATTTCCCAGGGTTGTCGAGCCGTTTTTAGGATTCTTTTAGGGGCAATTGCCGAAAAACAGTCAAAGAGAAAATCATCGTCTTCTACACAGAAAAGTACAGTACTTCTAGTGGTTTGGGGTTTTGTTTCTTGGTGGCTTGATGGAGAATGATTGTGTTTGCTGAGGCAGGTAAGCACCTAGTCATGTGCCTGGAAGGGAGATGTTGAGACCATTTAGTTGGGGGTGGAGTGACAGGATCCCAGTTCTGTGGTGTCAAATCATGGGTAAACATGAAGTAAACATGATCCACAGCTGGACTCTAGACAGTGGGAAATGTAGTTTGATTGTTGAGAATGGTTAGGCAATCCTCATTTCCCATCACAGAGCTACAGTTCCCAGAGTGCCCTAGAAAGAGCGATTAACTACTAAACTATTCTGAGAACTGTAGCTTTCTGAGGGGGAATAGGGGACTCCTAACAACCTTTATCAAGGGGACGCAGGTGGCGCTGTGGGTTAAAGCCTCAGCGACTAGGACTTGCCGATCGAAAGGTCGGCGGTTCGAATCCCCACGGCGGGGTGCGCTCCCGTCGCTCGGTCCCAGCGCCTGCCAACCTAGCAGTTCGAAAGCACCCTTGGGTGCAAGTAGATAAATAGGGACCGCTTACTAGCGGGAAGGTAAACGGCGTTCCGTGTGCTGCGCTGGCTCACCAGATGCAGCTTGTCACGCTGGCCACGTGACCCTGAAGTGTCTCCGGACAGCACTGGCTCCCGGCCTATAGAGTGAGATGAGCGCACAACCCTAGAGTCTGGCAAGACTGGCCCGAATGGGCAGGGGTACCTTTACCTTTATCTTTTTAACAACCTTTATCACCTTTACCAAATTACACTTCCCAGCAGTCTTTGTGAAAAGCCATGACTGTTTAAAAGTGGCATGACACTGCTTTAAATGTTAATTTGTTGAAATAGTGCCTTAGAGATCCCAGACAGTGAGAGCTAGGCCTCGTGTTCACCTTAGTAATCTTTTCAAAACCAGTCGTCTTCTTTCTGATTCTCGCAGTCAAAACTGAGTAAGATCGCATCCGATCTTCAGCACAGGCTGGTGGCAAAGATCAAGAACCTAGAAGGAGGCCTCCAGGATTTCAGGAAATCGGTAAGAAGTTGGCAGCAACTATGGCAAATGATCAGGGTTAGCCCAACAACATCTGGAGGGTTACAGATTCACCATCCCTGCTATATGAAACAAAAACAGTACAACTGTGTCTCCTTTCTTCATTGTGTACTTGTAAAAAAAAACTGCAGCCAATTAGTACACTTCTTGGTTTGGTGCAAACCCTGCAGGTGCAACACATTGACTTTCTCTATGATGCTGTTGGTGGCTTTTAAAAACCTCCCAGGAAGTAGCAAGAATCCTCCAAAACAAAATGAGAGGAGTTGTCCAGTTGTGGAAACAGAGTGGAGTCAAGCAAGTACTACAGAACAGCCTCCCACTTTACCTGGGCAAACTTCAAGTCATCATACAACAAATGCAGATGGAGATGCAAAGTAAGCAGGGCAGGGTGGAGTGATTAAGAAAAAATAAAAAATGTAAGGGCCTAGCCAAAGATGGGGACTCTCAGGTTCAGGGGGTGGGGAGGTATGTGGCCCTCCAAGCCTTTCTATCTGGCCCTTGGGACTCTCACCAGGCCACGCCCCCTCCCCAACTACCTCCCTTCTTCCCAGATGATGTAGCCTTCACTGGCACTGCGTTGCACCTTCCTTGGATATTTTTGCCTGTACAAAAATGTGTATTATTAGAAGAAATTTTCAAGAAATTGCTGATGCATTTTCACAAGGACATTTTAAATAATAAAATTTTAAAAAGTGACGCAGAAACTTGAAGAACTGAATTTCAGGGTGGGGAAAACGAGAAACTGAAATTGGCAAATTTGCCCATCCACAAGTCATGTATGTTAATTTCAATAGGTCTACTCTGAGTAGGAGCAGTGATGGATACAACCCTTTCCCCACTCCCCATCACACTCTCTTCCCCGCCCTGTTTCCTTTTAAAAAGAGCCATTGACAACACTGAAGGATGCCTATTATGACGTGACGTTGAAACCTTTGGACGAGGTGTGGCAACAGAGGACGGAGGAGTATCTGAAGAAACTCCAGGCTTTTGTGCCCACGCTGGTGAAGGATGTGTGGCTAATGGAGCCAATCCAGGTTTCCCTGAGAATGTTGAAAACTGCCTTGGATATGGTTGGTATTTAAAAATTATTTGTTTCCAACAGGAGTTTGTTTATCATACAATCATAGAATTGTCAATTTGGAAGGCCTCTTTTATATGTGGCAACCATTTTGTGTTGTGCCAGGCCAGCCATTTTGTGTTGTGGTACGCATCATGAAGTTTTCCATTTCATGATGGGTGCCCGCATTGCTTTCTCAAAATTCAAAATATGTCCCAGAACTTGGCTCTCATCTTGCCATGGCAAGGCGGGGAGGTGTCAGCAAGATTGTCACGTCCTCACGTCTTCAGACTTCAACCAGCAGATTTCTTTTTAAAGATACACACTCTCTGCCGTTGCTTTTTAAAATAAAATAAAAAATCCAGTTTAAATTTAGCAATATTAATTCGTTGGGTTTGTGTTCTTTTTACTCACCCTGCAAAACAGGCAACACAACAGATGCTGAGCTGGGCAGAAGCCAAATTTTCCAGAGCAGTGAACAAGCTTCAGAAACCTTTATCAAGCCTCTACAGTTTTTCAGCCAGGTAACACTGCGGAATGATTGCACTTGGGTGAGTTCCTACAAAATGCAGTGTTTTATATATATATATGCCCAAGCACCCATACTTTGGTTTTTCAAACAGTTACGTTTGCCACATGGCATGGCTGGCTGCATCTTGTCTGGACTCTGACGTTGCCACTCATTTCCCATTTGGGCTATTAACTGGGTTGCCTTCCCAGCTGGGAAGACCCCAGCAGAGTAGATGATGAGCAAACAGTGCAGCTGTGTCTCCCTCTTCACAAAATGGTGTAGAACTGTCCACCGAGCCTCACAGTTAATCGGGCAGTGATGGGCTCTCTTCTTGGATGGCATCAAAAGAGATAAATTCATGGAGGATTAGTCTATCAATGGCTATGAGCCACAATGCCTATGTTCTGCCTCCACTGTATGCTAGGAATTGCAAATGGGGAGAGTGCTGGGGTGCTCAAGTCCCACTCGCAGGCTTCCCAATAGGCATCTGGGTTGTGGGACCAGAATGGGCCTTTGGCCAGACCTATTGGGCTCTCCTGAAGTTCATACGGTGCCTTGCAGAAACTGCTCTGTGGAAGTGAGATTGCCAGTGAAGCCTAAAGGAGAACCCACGCTGGACCTGGCAAACATCACAAACTACCTCATCGAAGAGAAACTTATGAAGCCCTTCCGACGGCTGTACAGCATCAACCCAGCTGCAGAATATTACCGATTCAAGCAAAGAATTATGGAGAGCCCGTTTGAGCGTAAGTCTTCTAAAACCCCTAATTTCCATACACTTCCTCTTATCTCACGGGGTATAAGACAGAAAGGAATGCACAGGAGCTGTTACAACAACAACCCCACTGTTTCCTGCATCTCTGCAGTTTCCTTCAGAGCTTCCACTTTAATTGCGCAAACGTAAATTTCCGCTATGCACTTGAACCCTTCTTGCAAAATGCTGGAAGTGACCTCAGTGCAGATGTCCAGGCCAATGTTTGAGGTTAGATCCCACTGCCTGGAAATTTCATAATGTACCCTATGCTCGCTGTGGACCCTCTCCTATCCTAGAATGGGGTGTGTGTGTGTGTGGATAGAAAGCATCTCTGGCTTAGCCATTTCAACATGCCTTGTATGGAGAAGGTCCCTGGTATCTCCAGAGAGGGCTACAAGGGACTCCTTCCTACAATCCTGGCAAACCACCACCTGTGGAACAGCACAGAACTAGCTGGATTTGAGGGTCTGGCTCAGTTGAAAGCAGCTTCCGATGTTCAGCTGGGCCTACTTCACAGTTTAGGGATTTCTATTCCTAGGCTTGCCATATATCCAGAAAATTCTGGACATGCCAGGAAATCGGATGCCTAAAATGTACCCTGTGCTCGCTGTGGACCCTCTCCTGTGATTTATTTTTTAAAAAACATATAATTTCCAACAATCATTTAACATAAATTCTTATCTTATACAATATTTTAGACTTCCATCAGCAATCTCTGAAGATTTTCCATACTTTATCACTTATTCTGCATTTCTCAATTTCTCTGTTACTTTGAATTATCATTAACTAATAATTCTCTTCATAATCTTCATTGCAATATTTCACATAATCCTCCTTACAGAGCTTCTTGCAGTCCTACCAGCGTAATCTGTTTATTACAGTTGCGTTTTAGATAGTTCAGATATTTACTCCAGTCTTCTAAGAATCTCTGATCCCACAGGTTTTGAATCCTTCCTGTTAATTTATCTAATTCTGCATAGCCCATTAACTTCATTTGCCACTCTTCTTTCGTCGGTAATTCTTCTTGTTTCCAGGGAATTTTTTTTGAATTTTAAGAGATGTCCAGAATTTCCCGTACATATTTTCCTCTGAGCAGCAGAAGGAATGTCCCCCCCTTACATGGGAGACCCAAAGCACCCCCCTCCCCACATACAGCAGCCCCAACTGAGGAGGAGGAGGGGAGTGCAAAGGACCGTGGAAAGAGGGCGAGAGCAGCCCCGAGCGCCCGCCAGCCATCCAGAGAGGAAAATAAAGATGACTCAGTTATCCTGCCCCCACCTTCCTCCCCCATTAAGAGCTGCTGCATTCCCTTCTCGAAGCTGCCTCAGCTGCTGCCTCGAGGAGGACAATTGCTCCCCTTTCTAGGACACAGAGAAGGAGGCGAGAAGCCTGGCTAAAAGGGAACATGGCATGTTATGTACTGAGTTGAATAGGATCCAAAATGCAGCAGTCTGATTGGTCCTAGAACAATAGGATTCAGAATGCAGCAGTCTGATTGGTCCTAGAAACATGCAGCAGTATGATTGATCCGCAGGAGCCACCCAATCCAGCTCCAGGTGGAAGTGAATCCACAACCTGATTGGCCTACAGGAGAATCCCGGAATTAGCCAATCACGTGCGGCCCATTGTGTAAATAATGTATTTAAAGCAGATATTTTGGGGGGACTTTCATTTCCTTGCTATTATGAGCTGAATAAGGAGCATGAAAGCCACACTCGACTCCGAGTATATTTCAGGGCACCTGTGGCTACTTGCTCAGGAGCAGGTCCAAAGGAACTTATCTCCTCAGTCCCACCCTCCCAAAGCAGGGTGGGAAAACCTCAACAAGGAATCTCCCTTTATTTCCCTGCTAGAGGAAGAAGAAAAAGAATTGGCTCTTGAATTTTTTGTTTGTTTGTTTGAATTTGGAGAATGTGTCCTCTTTCTTTGTTTCCTAAGAAAGTTCAACAACTTTGGGGGTGTTAGGGATTTTGCTTTTTGAAATATGGCAAGCCTAGCTGTTCCAACACAGGTTGTGGGTGGTTTCGTGACTCCACTTTTCACATCCTCCCAGATCATGCCTTGCTGATGGGGAATAAGCACCTGAGGACATTCGACGGGAAAATATACAGTTTGACCTCCAAATGCAGTGTCCTCCTGGCCAAAGATTTTGTTCATGATGCATTTACTGTAATATTAAATCTGACCAGCAGTGGCAGACGGTCACTGCACATCACCATGAATGGTACCACTGTTGTTATCTACCCAGAACAGAAGGTAACTACAAGGTCTTCTCCATTTTTACATCTGTGTCTTAACTTTGGAGTGCAATGAGTTTGGTATTCATGCTTTCCAGGTTTTAATTTTGTATTTATATTGATGAGGTTCTTATTGATAGGAAATGTGGGCTGACTAAATCTATAAACCAGAGGAAATTGTTCTGGAGTCTGGCCAGTGTTAAGTTTACATACAGATGAGAGTGGGGGGGGGATGGGTGTGGGGCTGCTAAGGGGTGGGGCTTGCAAAAGTATGTGCCCTGGATTGAGTCCCAAGGACCAGAGAAAGGGCTGCATTTGCCCTCTAGATCTGAGATTTCCCCAACCCCAGCTGTGCCCCAAAGGCCTCTTGTGGGTGCAATTTAGGTGGGAAGATGCAGAATTTCTATAATAAGCCAAGGCCACCTCACCAACTTATTGCAAACCTCTTTGCTTTCTGAAAACCCAGTCTCATTGTAACTTATATTCCCCCTGCTGCTTTTAAATAGATCTACAAGAAGTACAACTATTCCCTGTCGGAGGAGAACTGCCAGCATTTTGACATCCCTCCTGAAGAAAATGGCCTTGCAATCCAAAGATATTCTGATCTTGTAGAAGTGTCCCTGACCGATGGGGCTTTGTTTTCATGTGACCTTCGCTATGACATCTGTACCCTTACTTTGGATGGATGGCATCATGGTTTGTACTCTGCGTTTTGAGCTAGGTGTGGTGGATAGCAACATAAGAAGCCATCGCTTCACGTTCCACCCTGTATAGGCCACATGCAGATCTGTTTCTGTTCTGCTGCACTTTGTCTTCTGCCAGAACCTGATATTCGTCTTGCTTTCCACTATGGCGAAATTATGTGACTAATGTAATATATCTCCCGCCAAACTTAGTTTAGGGCTGCCATATGCTGGGAATTTTCCGGACAATGCCAGGATTCGGCCCTCGTAAACAGTGCCCAGGCAGAAATTGCTGAAATGTCTGGGGAAATCCGAATGTATGGCAACCCATGTCCATGTCAGACATGTAGATTTGGGCGAATTTCCTTAAAAATAGCTCAAAACTTCTTCATCATCATTTTGAGATTTTGCAAAAGAAGCTCGACAACTTTCCCCCCACTTTTTGAATATGGCAACTCTAGTTGAACAAGTAATGTTTACAGCACTACTTTAAAATGGGGGCTGCGGGTGGAGAGATGCTACAAGGTCATCTCTTGGAATTTCCCCAAATAATTAGTCCTTAACCAGCATGAAACATCCCACAGTCCTGCCCTTTGAGGTGGTAAGACTTGCTTTCTCTTGCATTTTTAGGCGTGTCTGCCGGTCTTTTTGGTACCAATGACAATGAAGCGGGCAATGAATGGATGCTTCCAGACCATTCCTATGCTGGCAGCACGCAGGAGCTTGTGCATGCATGGCAGGTATGCCAGCGGCGCGTTTACATTGCAGAGGAGCCACTGAGTGTTGTGGGGAGGGCCGCAGCTCCGTGGTAGAGCAACTGCTTGGCACGCAGAAGGTCGTAGGTTCAATTCCCGGCATCTCCAGGTAGGGTTGGGAGAGAAATTCCATCGCTGAAATCCCGGAGAACCACTGCCAGTCAATGTAGACTGTTAAGTTGTGGGTGAACATATCAGACGACACAGCGATTCTTCCAAAGCAGCTCTTTATTTGTAAGCTGGAACAGAACTAACTGAGGAGCTCAGTCAGCCTGCTTATATAGAGCTCCAGAACAATGTACCTAACTGTTGCCATTTTCTAAAACTATCCAATCACTGAACGTCACTTTCGATCCTTCATTTGCATAACTCTCTACAGTATCCCCCTACTGGCCCAGGGTGAGAACTTCAGTACATAACATAGTACTGAGCAATGATTTGGCTGTACAAACTTAGGCTTGTGGTTAGCTCTCTGCCAGCTAATCTCAAGCTTGCAACCAAGGTATACTGTACGGTTTACTGTTTGTGCTTTGTCTAGGAGGGCTAAACCACGAACCCACATTTGGAGCACCCGTTAAGTCATGCATGGGTGGGTGTGGGAAAGCTGCATACAAATAAAACGCTTTTTAAAATGAGTCGGCTACTGAAAAACCCCACAGAAAAACAGTTTACACACTTTTCAGGAGTACACCAAAGTTGGGGTAGAATAGACCAGATTTGGGTCTCCAGAGAGCTCTCGACAAGATCAGTGAGATGTGAAATAGAGCCCAGAACACTCTCGGACCACAATCCGATCTTGCTGGAAATAAAGTGTAAGCTATTAGGTCCTTATAGATGGAGAATGAACGATTACTTATTGGAACAGGATGAGATTATCGGTAAGGCAAAGAACGTCTTGAAAGAATATTTTGACCAAAATCTGAATAAAGAAACCAAAATCGATGTGGTCTGGGATGCAAGCAAAGCAGTACTCAGAGGCTTCCTGATCCAACAGAATAAATATAGAAAAAATTTGAGAGAGGCAAAGAAGGAAGAAATAGTCAAACAATTAAAAGAAACAGAGGGAAAATTAATAAAAAATCCTGGAGATGAGAGGACCAAACAAATCTGTAAAATACTACAAACTCAATATTCAACATTGTTAAATCAAGAAATAGAATGGGGAATAAAAACGATGAAACAAAAGTATTTCGAGTCGGCAAGCAAAACAGGCAAGCTATTAGCGTGGCAACTGAGAAAAAGGAAAAAACAAAGAGTGATTAATAAAATTAAATTGGAAGACCAAATAATAGAAGACCCAAATGAGATAAAGGAAAAGTTCCTCCAGTACTATGAGACCCTGTATAAAAAGAAAGAGGATGAAGATATAAATGAGATAGGAAGGTATTTGGAAAGGAATGGAGGGGGACAACTATCAGAAGAAGAAAAGGCACTCCTAAACGAACCAATAACTGTGGAAGAGGTCAGGGATGCAATTAAGAGAATGAAACCGGGGAAGGCTCCAGGCCCAGATGGTCTGTCCCAAAAATACTATAAAACTTTAGAGGAGAGCCTGGCCCCGGTTTTGTGTAACGTAATCAATAACATCTTACAAGGGGGGAAATACCTGATTCATGGAGAGAGGCATACATCACGGTAATACCGAAAGCGGACTCAGATATGCTTGATATAAAAAACTATAGACCAATATCGCTGCTTAATAATGACTACAAGATCTTTGCAGGAATAATGGCGAATAGACTAAAGAAATATTTGAATAAAGCGATCCATAAGGATCAAGCCGGATTCCTGCCCGGTAGGCAGATAAAGGATAACGTAAGACACATAGTTAACATAATGGAATATTTGGAACTCAGGAATGACATCCCCGCTGCCTTAATCTTTATAGACGCCGAGAAGGCTTTTGATAATGTATCTTGGCACTTCCTTATAAAATGCATGGAGAAGGTAGGAATAAGAGGGCCATTTCTAGAAGGTATAAGGTCGATCTACTCTGAGCAAAGAGCGAAACTAATTATTAACAGCAACCTGACAAACTCATTTACGATTACCAAAGGCACAAGGCAGGGGTGTCCTTTATCACCCCTGTTATTTATTATGGTCCTGGAAGTCATACTAAACAAAATAAGAGAAACACCGGAAATAAGAGGGATCAAAATAGGTACAAAAGAATATAAAGTAAAGGCCTATGCTGACGATCTAGTAATTTCAATAGAAAACCCCACAAAAGGGATAAACACAGTTATTGAGCTAATGGATGCGTTTGGAAGGCTATCATATGTGGTGGTCCTGCGAAGAAGTAAAAAGGTTCTGGGGTTCTGTTTATGATGAATTAAAAAAGATCTTAAAATATACTTTCCCCAAAAAGCCCGAAGCATTCCTTTTAGGAATGGTGGGGGACGAAATTAAGAAAGACGACCAAACTCTCTTTCAGTACGCAACAGTATCCGCAAGGCTACTGTTAGCTCAGAGTTGGAGAACACCTAATATTCCAACAACCAGTGACTGGCAGACCAAGCTAATTGAATATATGGATATAGCAATGTTGACACAGAAGATCAGGCAACAGAAAAACATTAAATTTACTAATGATTGGAATAAATTTCTCTCATACATGGAGTCGACCTTAGGAAATATCAAAATCACAGTAGACATAATATAAAAACTGCGAGGTAAGAATAACGATTGGAAGAAGACACTGCGGAATATGTGATTGAGCTATCGCTCACGATGTGGTGGTGGGAACTCAAACAATGTAATGGATTTGTATAATGATTAAGTATCTAAACAGTAAGGAACTTAATTTTGGTTTTGTATATTTTTCTTTTTTTTCTGTTTTGTTTTTATGGACGATGTATATGCGCTTTTTAACTGTTGGAATACAATAAAGAGGTTTTAAAAATTAAAAATAAAATAAAATAAAATAAAATGAGTCGGCTACTGGCCGTTTCAAAATAGTCTTATAAATAAAGATATAATGGGGTGGAAGGTTCACAGGCTATGAAGGACTTGCTCACAAATTTATTGACAGCTGCACGAATTATGGTAGCCAGGAAGTGGAAGGGGCAAGCAGAATGTAAAATGGAAGAATGGTATAAATAGCTATTAATGATAAATTAGCATGTGCCATTAAGGTATGGTGGGGAATATGCAGGAGAAATGATTTTGAGGAGATATGGAAGGTGTTTGTAGAATAACTACAGTGGTACCTCGGGTTACAAACAATTCAGGTTACATACGCTTCAGGTTACAGACTCTGCTGACCCAGAAATATTGCCTCGGGTTAAGAACTTTGCTTCAGGATGAGAACAGAAATCGTGCAGGAGCGGCGCAGCGGCAGCAGGAGGCCCCATTAGCTAAAGTGGTGCTTCAGGTTAAGAACAGTTTCAGGTTAAGAACAGACCTCCAGAATGAATTAAGTTCTTAACCCGAGTTACCACTGTTCTGTTAAAATGGAAAGGGGTCAAACCATTGCAAGAGGTGATGAGATTTTGGGAGGTTGGGTAGTTACAATGGAATGGTCTCGGTGGTGGGGCACACATTTTTATTCTCATTTATTTATGATTATTATAAAAAAGTAAGTAAGTAAGTAAAATGCATTTGATTTTCGCCACCCAGGTGAGCGACCAGTGCAGCCAGATGAAGAGGACCCTCAAGCCATGTCTCAATTCATCTAGCCCCGAGATCTGCAAAGCTTTCTTCCTGGATGCTGATTCCCTCTTCAGGAACTGCTTCAGAGTAGTGAGTACCCTTTTGTCAAAACAAAACACAAGATACGAGTTTGCTGCTGTTTGCACACCATAATTCCAGCCTACCTGAGCTCTGTGCCAGCTGCCCCTATATCACCAAGCCAAGTTCAAGATTCTGGCAGCTCTGGTTTTATAGGTAATGGCGGGGAAAACCCTTGCTTGAGACCCTGGAGAGCCACTGCCAGTCAGAGCTGGCTATATTGGACTACATGGGCAATAATGGAAGCTTCCCTATCTGCTGTCTCTGTTTGTGATGACAGAAGCAATGTTGGACCAAAACAGACAGTTCCGGATTTCTTCCCATGGGACTTACCACCTCTTTCTTTTAAAGGTGGACCCAGAACCATTCTATGCCCTGTGCAAAACTGACATGTGTGAACTGCAGAGTGTAAAAGCAGCTTGCACCTTGGCTGCGGCATTTGTGAACTTGTGCAGCAGAAATTTTGTTCCCTTGCAGATGCCGCTTCAATGTGGTAAGGAGGTTGTTGTTGTTGTTGTATGGTTTTTTGGGGGGGTGGTGGTCTGGCTGTCTTCAAATAATCTAAGGATAGCATAGTTAGGCTGTATGCCTGAGTCCCTTCTAATTCCTGGATCCACCAAGGATTCAACTGCTCAAATAGCCAGGCCAGCTTTTTTTATTAATGGCCTAAGTATGGGTCCTTAGGGTAACAGGGGAAGTGGCTCTGTGCCACAGGACAAATGGGTGGGGGCCCCTCCCTCACCTGTCTAGTATTTAGAAGGAACCAAAACCTTGTGAGAGTTGTGTGTGACAGCTAGAGGCAGGTGGCAGGCTGTAGCTTGTGAGGGAGAGACATGCTTGATATCTGCTTGAATCCAAGGCCGTGGCTGTAGGTGAAGCAAGACCTCCTTGGGATGTTAATGCCGTGAGCTCCTCCATCATAGGCTCAGGTTGCATATATGTATAAATAAACCATATAGCTAAGAGACACCACCCTGTCCTTCATTCCAAGGAGGCTGAACTCTGGATAAGCGCCTGGAACCTCAGTAATCTGGGTGGTAAACAACAGTTTATAACCAAAACTGCCAGAATGTTTGGGTCTAGGGTTGATCTGATGTGCTTATTTTATTATTTTGATTATGCTTTTCTACAGTTGACCTCCCCATCAAACTTTTTTATTTCAATTTTGCAGACCTGAGGCTGACAGACAGCAGCTTGCCTAAGACCGTGCAATGAGCTCATGGCAGAGGCAGAGACTCGCACTCAGGTCTTCCAGATCGCAAGGCCGACTCTCTAATGGAGGACCGACCACACACTGGCTCTTGATGTACTTAATCTGCTTGGAGGCCCAGTCTGCCAGCCAGCTACTACGTGGCTTTAGTGAAGAAACTCGGGGAATAGTTAGACCTGTCTAACTTTCAGATAGTTTCTGATTCCACTTTGTTCTGAAGAAGGTGAAAATGTGCCTTTCTGTGCCCAAAACAACTTTGATGTGCCTTTACCATAAAGAACATCCAGCGTGGAAAGCATCAAGCACAGTAGAATTTATAATAAATGGAAATGTGAAGATATGTTGTGTTAACAAATGAAGAATCTCATTGTAGAAGGGTGTCTTGCTCAGGCTGCAAACGGGGAAATCCAGGCTCTGAATTCTGGCAGCTCCGAATTTAGGATCCTCAGAATAAATGCAGAACAATTCCTGAAATTTCCCTTTGACACATGGCTGGTAGGTGTATTCAACACCTTTCAGCGAAATGCCTCATCTTTGCTCTTGCTTTCAATCCCAAAATCCAGCAATCATCGAAATGAACTTGATATTGCCATGTGCTAAATCCATTCCTTAGAATACTTTTAAACTGCCTGTGCAGACTGAGTAATGGCATGTTAGAAATCACTGGATGAAATGTCTTGGCTGCCATATCACCTTAGATCTTGTAAGTTAAATAGACTGAACTATTTTGATTGAATAAGAATAATAAGAATAAACCAATTATTAGGAAAATCATGCCACGAGGTTGTCTTTATTTACCAGGGTTTTAAGGGGTTTTTTTTGTGACAGATGGCAGTGATAGCCAACAACTTATCAACAACGGTTGCTCTGGAATATTTCAACAGTGAACTTAAAGCAATTTATAAATACAATGTAACAAACAACAAAACCAGTAAGAGAAACATTAAGCCAAATAAAACCATTAATTAAAAAAGAGAAGATTGCCTTCATTTTAGATGTCCATTTAAGACATTGCATGACCGCCATATAAGACACTGTATTATGAAGTTTGTGCAAGACACACCCTGGGAACTGTAGTTTGTTAAGGGTGCTAGGAATCGTAGCTCTTGGGGTGTGGAGAGTATGCTTTAAATGTATGGTGTGTACGCTCCTTTTGAAACTAACTGCAGGTCAACTTCCAAGTTGCTTCACAGGAAGCAATTCGTAAATGAAATAAATCTTGTAATATAATATATCTTGTAATATAATATAAACATATGTGTGGCTCTTACTGCTTTAGGCTTCAAGAGAGGGCTCACATGACAGACTGAATACACCTTCATGTGGAAAAATGAGTAGCCTCGGAACCACAGAAGCTTTTGTCATAAATAGTTCTTAAGATGCAGCAAAGAACAGCAGACGGTTCTTGTTGCAACACACCTGTACATATCTCATCAGATGCTAGTCCCATTGAGTTCAGCAGGGCTTGATCTCAGATAAGTTTGAGGGATCCCCAAGGGGTGAAAATGAAGGCTTGGAAGAGATGGGCAACTTGGGGGAGTCGATGGAAGCACCTGCTCAGAGGACCTTTCTCATCACATCCACACCACCACACCCTTAAAGCATATGGCTTTGTCCAAAGCACCTAGAGATCTATAGTTTATCCTAATACCTGTAGGATTTGCACCCGCAAAACCATTCATTCACTCCATTTGTATCCTGCCTTTTTTCTCCAAGGAGCTCAAGGTGGCAACTAGGGTTCTCCCCCTCCTCATTCAACGCTCACAACAACCCCGTGAGGTAGGTTAGGCGGAGAGGCAATGAGTGGCCCAGTGTCACCCAGTGAGCATTATGGCCGAGTGAGAATTTGAACTCTCCTCTCCCAGGTCCCTGTAGTCGCTACACCGCGGCCTACTAGAGACAGTGTAGTGTAATGGCCAGAGTGCTGGACTAGGACTTGGGAGAACAGGGTTCGAGTCCCCATTCAGTCATAACCTTGAGGGCCAGTAACCGTCTCTTAGCTCTAGCATACAGTGGAGGAGAGCGAGAAGCGTATACACCGCCTTTGAGCTCCTTGAGAGAGAGAAAAAGGTATAAACTAAATAAATAAGACACTAGAGGGGCGGAGTGGGGGGAATTTATTATAACTGAGGAGAGTAACACCCGCGAAGCATAGCAGGGCTTGCCCCACGCGCATGCGCACGCGAGGGGCCCTGAGGGGAACTCGGACCTCGATTCCAAGACGAGGAGAGACAAAGGGGCGTGTTACGGCTGGCGGCGGCCTTTTACGACAGCGAGCGGGTTTCCCTTGACGGCAGGAGGCGCCGGAAGTAGCGGAGCGCAGGCGGAAGTGGGAGAGGGGAAAGGAGAAGGCGGGGAGCAAAACAAAAAGGGAGAGGAGGCGGCGGCGGCGGCGGGACGCAGGCGGTGGGCGCTGGGATGTGAGGTGGAGGACGTGGGGCCGGAGAGGTGAGGGGACGCAAGTGGGGCGGGGAGAGCTAGGTAGCCTCCCCTTTTCCTTCTGGGGGGGTCTCGGCGGGGGGCTGAAGACTTGGGGCGGGGAGAGAATGTGGGAGGGAAAGCGTTCTGTGCATGCTCTGACGCCCTTTCCCCTTCTCTTCCAGTCAGGGAAGTCCTCTCCCGGTCAGTGTCCCCTTATATCTCCCCCTCCCTCTACTACACACGTTGTTATAACCCCCTCTCCAAGGGGTGGCCTTGAAGGGGACTTTTATTTTTTGCTCGAGGGTTTTCCCTCCCCGTTTGTGGCTTGTCGCGGCCCCCCCCCCATATCTCCTTGCTCCCCTTACACATAGTTTATTGCTTATTTGTGTGTGTGTGTGTGTGTGTGTGTGTGAAGTATATATAGCCTGGTTTTCTCATGCAGTGCGGCTTAAAAAACAAATATCACTAATTACAATTTTAAGAACCTGACGGTGATAGCTTAATAAATTGCGTAGCGGATAAAGCAACCCGACAAACGAACGAGAACTCTGAAAAGGGGAACCGCTAAGGCTCAGAAGCCAAATCAACGAGCTCTCCTGTAGAGTTTTTCTCCCTCCCTGGTAATTAATTTGAAACTCCTAGTAGCCACTTGGGTGAGTCACAGTCACTCCCCGCCGCTGCATTAAGCTCCTCGTCCCCTATGGCATCTCCCCGGGAGCCCTTTTCCCTCTGTTTGTAGCTCCCCTTGCCCCTCTCGCAGCTGCTCTCAACTCCTCGGCTCCTTCGAGCGTCCTCTTGCTTTATTCCATAGCCCAAAGCAAAGGCCCAGCAGAGTAGCTCCCGAGGTGAAGCTTTTTAATCTAAAATATATACACCCTTGGTAGCTGGGCTTGTGAACTGTTTCTCAGCCAATGCTCAGGGCAGTTTGAAATTTTAAAATGTCATAGTAAAGGTCCATTAGGAATACTTTTCATTGCATCTTCATCTTCCATACCCCAACTCCTTTAGCAGCCTGCTAGTAGTGGAGTGGGGTTGGTGTAACCACAGTTCAGCATAGTAAAGGCACCGGTTATGTTAATAGCAGTATGTGGAGTTGTAAGAACCTGGGGGATATGCGAAACTTTACTGGGGAGCCTACACAAGGAAGCAAGTAGAGATGGATTAGAAGATAAGGAACTGAGCAGGAATGTTTTGAAAAATACTGTGTGTGTACACTTGTTATGTTTGTAAGCCTGAGTGCTGTAACAAAATGAAGCTCCCCCCCCCCCAAGTTGGCTCATAAAACTATGTTTTCTTTATATTGCTTCATGTAAGGGCTGCATTTCTAAAAAATAAAGGTTAAAGTTGTGAAGAAATGAATTTCCTTGCTGAATTATGTTGGGGAGTGGTTATGGCTTTCTGCAAAATATAAATTAGTAGCAGATATGGGTGGTGCCATATTTCTGGAGAAGTTCCCATGGAAGTGCATATGACCGCTCCTTTAGTGACTTTTCAGAGTATTCATGCAGCATTTTAATTTCAGTCTACTTTAAATTTTTAATAGCTGTTTCTTACAGAGGTGTTGACTGCTTAAAGTGGTATAATCATAATTTTAAATTGTTGATTTTGTATCTCTTATGACTGGTTTTATATGTTGCCTTGTGAGAACACTTGTCCTGGAAGGCAGGATATAAATCTTATCATATAATATAAATAAATAGAAAAAGAAAAAGAGTTTGGATTTGATATCCCGCTTTATCACTACCCGAAGGAGTCTCAAAGCAGCTAACATTCTCCTTTCCCTTCCTCCCCCACAACAAAAACTCTGTGAGGTGAGTGAGGCTGAGAGACGTTAGAGAAATGTGACTAGCCCAAGGTCACCCAGCAGCTGCATGTGGAGGAGCGGAGACGCGAACCCAGTTCACCAGATTACGAGTCTACCACTCTTAACCACTACCCCACACTGGCAGACTCTAGAGCAGACTTTGGGTGCTTTTAACAAATTATTTACTTATTAGTGACAGTATACTGTAGTATACTGTATTAGGGGGTGGTAGGCTCTGTGCCTGAGCCCCCTTCTAATTCTTGGACCCAGCACAGATTCAATTCCCGGAATAGCCAGGCTTGCTAGTGAGGTAATGGGCCACCAAGGGAACAAAGAAATTGGCTCTGTGCCCAAGGTCAGGAAGTGGCTCTGTGCCCTCCCCCAACTTGCTAAAACTTTGAAAGACAAAGGCCAGAGTTGAGGGTTGAGTTATGTGAGGTAGAAGGTAGAGGTTGCAGGCTGGAGAGTCAGAACCATTCCTGTTTTATGCTGGAGTCCAAGGCTGCAGCTAAGGGAGGAGCCTTGGTTGCTAAAGCTGTGAGCTTCTCCATTCTAGGCGCAGGTTGTATATATGTGCAAATAAGCATATATCCTAAAGACACTACAATCTCCGCTGTCCCTCATTCCAAGGAAACTGAACCCTAGGTAAGCTTCTGGAACCCCTGGAATCTTGCAACTCTCAGAGATCGGGGTGGCGTGTAACAGTACTACCAGAATTGGCCAGAATTGGGAAATCTGTATTCCTGTAGTTAGTATTAGTCAATGTTTGCTTATTTGTGGTGCTTGCTGAGAAAACCATGGGATTTCCCCCTCCCCCACGTCTGCATACAAAGGTTATCTAGTAGTTTGCAGTCTACTTGCTGTAGGTGATATGGAACCACTTAAGCAAATATTCATAGGAGACTTCTGATTCTGAGCAGCCTTACTTGAACTCCTTTAGTTACTACTCTTTGACATCTGTAGTGAATTGGAAGGGAAGATAGACTTTGTCCAGGCTATGTTAACAAGCAGAAGAGATGATTGCATAAATCCAGAAGCTTGTTTCCACATAGTATTTGCAACTAAAGGTTAATATTAACTAAACATTAGGTCATTTTAATTATCATACCTGGATTGATTTTGTGATTTAAATATATACTTTAATTATTTTTTTTAGCAGGTAGAGAGAATGAAAGAAAGGAAAGATGTCAGAATGTTGACCTCTGTGTGGCAGTATAATGGAAGGAAACATAACGGAGGACGTCTGTACTAGATCATTTGGATGGCTTCAGCAACAAAATAACGATGCTAGACCATGGCTCTGGAAATTCTCTAACTGCTTTTCAGCTACTGAACAGAGTTTCCCTCCTAGTGCAAAAGCGGTAGGATTTTGGCATACATTTGCTGAGTGGAATGCTAATACACCAGTGACCTATTGAAGGCGCTAAGTGTCCTGTTTGTGTCATCAAAGAGAGAAGGTGCAATGTATATTAAGATATTTAATACTCTCCTAAGGAAAGTTTCCTTCTGTCCCAGAAACTGATCATAAATGTGTCCTGCTCTATTAGAG